TTTAAATCTTATATATATATTTAGAAACTACTATTTATCTTTGGTTAAAAAAAGTTATTAATAATATTAAACAGTTTTTAAAAAAATATATTATTTTCTAATAAAATTCTTTATATCTATTGTGAAGTATATTTTTATATTTTATAATATCCATAACTTAAAAATTTAAAAACTAGTTTTATAAACTATTATCTTTGTAAGAATTATAAAAAAAATATTATTAGTTATATTAAATAAATAATTATTAAAATACTAAATAAAAAGCTATTGCAGATATTTTTTTATTTTTTTAAAATAATTTTTTTTAATAATTATTTTCTTTTAGGCCTCTACAGTCTATAATAAATAAAGTTTTTAAAATTAAATTTTATATTTTATAATTATTTATTATGTACTATTCTAAACAGTTAAGTATATTTAATTTAAATAATTAATTAATTTTATTATTTTATTTTTTTTACTAAAAGCTAAACCCTCCCAACTAAGCGCAGATTAAAAAACATTTTTTAAAATTATTAAAAAAAGTATATATATATAATTATTATTAAAATTTTTAAATATTGGATATATATCTATTGCAGTAGACTACTAAACCAGTTTTATATAAAAAATATAGATTACTATAAAGTTTTACTGGACGTTTAATCAGTATCTGGATTCTATACTAGTAAAAACCTAGCTGTAATTATTTTATTAGTTTTATATAAATATAATTTTTTTTATTAGTTATTAAATATAACAACTAATAATACTTATAATAATAGTTTAATTTTTAATATAATTTTATTTAAATTTTTAATTTAGCTTAGCCAGAGTACTCAGCTTTATAATATTTTAACTAATTCTAATCTTTTAAAAATTATTTAAAGCTAGTATTATATTTTTTATTTTACTTATATAATTTAGCTGATAGTTAATACTCTTCTGCAGAAACTTTAGATTAAGATTTTAAACAAAACTATTAAATATATATTAAAAAATAATAATAGCAGTTTTAAAGCCTTTTTTAATATTTTAAAAACTTTTAAAAAAATATATTTTAAAAGCTGTTTATAAAATGCTAATATAAATAATCTTTTTAAAAATTATTTATATAAGCCTTTTATAAACAGCTTCTAAAACCTTTCTATTAACTATACTAATTTTTAGTTATAGATTTGGAAAATTATATAATTTATTAATATAAGTTTTTAATACTGTAAAAAATTTCAGCTTATTTAAAAACTTAAATTTAGTTTAGTTTTTTATTTTTTTTAACTGTAAAATCTGCTGGAACTTAACTTATTTTATAATTTACTAAATATTTAAACTTTATTAATTAATCTAAAGCTTTATTTAGTACTGCAACTATAGTAATATTAATTATTTTTATTCTACTATAATTAAATAAAAATAAATAAAGTATTTGTTTTAAACTTTTAAATTTTTATTTTTTTTATATTTTGTCTATTTAAAAATAGTAGACCTACTGTTTATAAGGTTTATAATATTTATAATAATTTTTTAATTATTTAAATTATTTAATTAACCAACTGGTATAAAAATAGATATTTTAAAAATCTTTTTTTAAAGGTATATAAAATATATACCAGAAGCTTTAAAAATACTACTATTATATCTACTAAATAAAAAACTATATTTATATATTTATAACTATTCTAAACCTAATATTAAAGTTTAAAAAGTTTTTAAAAAAAATATACCTAAATAATAATATTAACTGGTATAAAAAGTACTAAACTATTTTTAAAAAAATATTTTATTTTTATTATAGTTAAAATTTAGCTATTAATATACTGTTAACAGTCTCCAGATTTTTATTAGACTTAAATAAAATTTTTTATAATATTTTTAAATACTAAAAACTCTAATCTACAGTAGAGATGTTTAAAAAATTAAAAATATATTTAAATATTAAAAATATATAGTTTATTAAAGTATCTTAATTTATACTAATACTATTTTAAATATTATAAATTATATTAATATTTTTATCTACTAAAAATTCTACTAAAATTAGTTTTTTATTTTCTACTAAGTAGCTAAAGATTTTCTTTTAGTTGCAACTAATAGTATTAATATTAAATATTTATTTAATAGTTTTTAAAATATCTGCTATTATTATAAAAGCTGTTTTTATTTTAATCTAATTAAAATAATTATACTTAAATATATGCTAATTATTTTATAAATAGTAAAAAATATAAAAATATTTTTAATAATTTTACTTTAGATTTAATTATTTTTATACTAAAAAAGTAAAATAAGAATAAGATAATTACTATTTTCTATATTAGTAAAAATAAAAATATAGATAATTTTAAAAATAATTTTAAAAATAGATTATTACTATAATTAGAAGAGCTGGGCTTATCTAAATTTTTAAATATTATATATATTTAAATAAAAATAAAAACCCGGTTTTTATAATTTTTATATTAATATAATTACTATTCTAAACAGCATAAAAAGTAGTATAAAATTATTAGTATATTAATTTAATATTAAATACTATTTTTATTATACTAGGTTTTATAAAAGTGTTTTGCAAAGCGCAGTATATCTATTAATAAAATAAATAAAATAGATAAAATAAATAAAATAAATTAGTTAAACTTAAAAAATATTACTATACTATAATTAAAAGTATATTATATCTTATATATAATATATATAAAAATAATATATATATTATTAATTAATCTGCAGTTAATAATCTATCTGCTATATCTAATTTTTTTAATCAGCAGATATAAATAGTTAAAAAGGCAGTTATATTTTAATATAATTTTAATTATATAGTTAAAAATTTTTTATATTTAAATCTGACTATACAGTTATACTCAGGTTAAGATTAAGATATAACAGTCAGGTTAAGCCACTCTAGTTACTAAAAGAGATAAAATAAATAGTATAGTATAAATTTTATTTAAAAATTTAATTTATAATATATAATTCAGCTTTTTTGAATAAAAAGAAAAAATTAATAGACTATTTAAACTAAAATTAAAAAAATAAAAAGTAGAGTAAAAACTATATAATTATTCTTAGTAGTCTAATTAAAAATAAATATATAGTTTTAATAGTATAGTATATTACAGTTAAAATATATAGTTTAAATAAAAATATAATTATATATATTTTTTTATATTTTATACTATATCAGTAAGTAATTTATAAGAAGCTAAATTCTATTAATACTACTAGAATTCTCTTTTTATTTTTTAATAATATAAATAATAAAAATACAATTTTTTTAAGTTATTTTTATTTTGTTTAAAAAGTTTTTTTTTATATTTTTTAATAATAGTTTAAATAGTTAAATTAATAACTACTTAATTTAAATTTACCTTAACTATAATAAGACTAAAAAAAATATAGTAGATAAATTTTAGTACTAAGAATAGTTAAAACATTTAATTATCTAGTTTTTAGCTATACTGTAGTTAAATATTAAATTTTTTTTAATCTAACCATAACCTGGCAGTTAGATATAAAAATTCTAATTAACCTAACCTGACCTGGCTGTTAGCCACTCTAGGTCAGGCTATCCTTAGGTTTATAGACAAGATATAGCTTAAAGAGCTATAAACAGGATTAGAAGCAGACAGGCAGTTAAAAAGATTACAGATTATATATAAAGCAGTTAGTAAAGGCAGTTAGATTATTAGGGTAAAATAGATTAAATAGGTTAAACAGATTAAACAGGTAGAACAGGTAGAACAGGTAGAATAGGTGCATTAGGTCTGCACTGTAATACTAAATAAACTCTTCTGGATTATTTAATATAGCTAAAAATTATAGAATTACTAGTATTTTAATAAAACTACTATTTTTAAAAATAAAAGCTATAAAGTATTAAAAAGTAGACTAGTATCTGGTTTTTAGTTTAGCTAAGTAATAAAAACAATAGTATAGACTAAACAATTTTTTATAACTAGTTTTTTAATATATTCTTTAGATACTGGATTAGATTATTTTTAAATTTATAAATAAAATATAGTTTAAAAAGCTATAAACAGGATTAGAAGTAGATAAAAAGTTAAAAAGATTATAAATTATGTATAAAGCAGTTAAAAAAACAGTTAGATTATTAAAGCAAAATAAATTAAATAGATTAAGTAGATTAGGAAGATTAAACAGATAAAATAGGTAGAATAGATGTATTAGGTCTATACTATAATAATAATTATTTTTAGTAGCCTAATTAGTGGTAAATATCTAGTTTTAGTTGTATAATATACTATAGTTAAAATATATAGTTTAAATAAAAGTATAATTATATTTTTTTATATTTTATATTATAACAGTATTTTATTATAAAAAGCTAAATTCTATTAATATTATTAAAATTCTTTTATTATTTTTTAGTAATATAAATAATAAAATACTATTTTTTTTCTAAATTATTTTTATTTTATTTAAAAAGCTTTTTTTTACATATTTTTTTAGTAATAGTTTAAATAGCTTAATTAATAAATACTAAATTTAAATATACCTTAATTATATTAAAGTTAAAAAAGATATAGTAGATAGATTTTAGTACTAAAAATAGTTAAAATAGTTAACTATTTAATATTTAGCTATACTACAGTTAGATATAAAAAATTTTCTAATCTAACTATAACCTGGCATTTAGGTATAAAAATTCTAATTAATCTAACCTGACCTGGCTGTTAGCCACTCTACACCCACCCGCCTTCTGGCCGCGTTCAGGCCACACGCCGGAAGGTTAGTAGTTGGGTGGGTAACCACCCTTCTGTTGTATGTTTTTATCCGCATATTCTTTTCTCTTCCACTTCTTGATACAATTTTCAGCATTAGTAGGTCCTCTTTCCATAAAGTATACATAACTAAAATATCAGACATCTAAAGTAGGCTTAACAGAATAGGTGTAATCTCCATCCAAATTACCTACATGTGTATATGTCTACATATACAACCAAGAAAACACCACTATGAAGCCTCAACTTCTCCACATAGCCATATATCCATAAAACCTAAACTACCGTGCAGTTCAAAGCCCGCACCGAAAAAGCCAGCGACGCCGTTGGCTCCGAAACCGGGCCCAGCCTCTTCCGCACGGCCGCCACGTTCGTCACCTCCAAGTCGGCCTCGAGCACCAGCACCGCCAACAACACCTTTGCCTGCTGCATCACATAGCCGCTGCACGGGCAGCGTCGGGGGCCAGTCAAGAATGGCAAGTATTTGCACTCGCCTTCGAGCACATGCCCGCGCAGCCCCTCCCACCGCTCCGGCCGAAACACCTCGGCGTCCGCGCCCCAGACCTGCGAGTCCCGATGCAGCATGTCGAGGGAGACGGCCGCGCGCGCATCCACGGGCAGCACGACGCCGGTGCCGGATCGGGTCTTCAAGCCCACGGCGCAATCGATGGCGCGGGCCGTGGTGGGGATGGGCGGGTACAGCCGCAGGACTTCGTTGACCACCGCGTCGAGGTAGGGCAGCTGTGACAGAAGCTGCGGCGTCGGGCGATGGCGCCATGGGTTGTGTCGCAGCTCGGCACGCAGCCTCTGCATCATGTCGGGGTGCAGCGAGAGCTCCCGCAGCGTCCACAGGAGAAGCAGCGTGGGCGCCGGGAACCCATGCGAGAAGATCTGCCTGGCGTGCGAAAGGACATCCGGGGTGATGGGCTGGCCCGCCGTGCCGCCCGTTTCCTTGGAGATCCGCCGCAGGAAACTCATCTCCTCGCCGGCCGGGGGCGGGGCTTCGGGGTTGAGGAGGTCGGAGTGGTCCTGCAGCAGTTGCAGGACGATCCGGTCGATCGTTGCGTGCAGGGTGTTCTCGCGGGGGTCGGGGGCCTCGAAGGGCTTCCCGCAGGCGAGATTCATGAGGATATGCTGCAAGGGGTAGGACATGCTCGCGGCCATCTGCACGTACTGGTGGAACGGCGCCATCCACTCGGGGGTTCCGGTGTACTGCCAGGCGTTTTCTAGGCCGAGCTCTAGACACCACACCGTGTCCAGGGCGTAGTTCTGGAGGTAGAGCTGCAGGTTGTCGCCCGTGCCCGCCTGCAGAAGTGCTTGGACGTGGCGCCGCGCGATCGCAACGAGCTTCGGGTGGAACACTTCCAGCGGCGGTCGGTTGTGAAAGCCACGCAGCATATCCGCATGCCACTGCCTGGCAACCTCACCGTCGGCGGTGATCAGTGCATCGCGAACAATGCGCTTGCCGGTGCCAAAGGGGCCTTTGGTCTGGCTTCCACACCGGCTGATGGAGTCAGCATTCTGGACGAAAAGCTGCCGGATCAGGACCGGATCACGAAGGTAGACTATAGGCAGGCCCCCGATCAGGGTCCAGGAGATCCCTTCCTCCGCTGCGCCGTCAAAAAAGGCACCCATGGATGTGTGGTAAAAATCATGGGACCATCGCTCCGACAAGAGGCCCAGGGTGGGAAAGCAGGAGATGTACGGGACGTCGGGCAGAGGGTTGACCCAGCAGCCAAAGATGGTGCGGAGCGCAGCCGCAAGCGTCGGTAGCATTGTCTTTGCCGCGACTCTGACGATGTAAGAAGTAGGCTAGATGGAACTGCAATCCATCCTAGTTTATAAATCTGCAATAAGGCTGGAAAAGTCAGGAGGGAATGTCATCTGCGAGGCATTGCATCTGTGCAACCTTTGATCTTGTTTATTCTGATTTAAAGTTTTATTTTGAGTAAGCCCAAAGCTTAAAAACTTGAAGTTTCGACACTTATTACCGGCTCTGTGCCCAGTGTCAGCCCATCGGGACAGGTTGGACTGCACCATGGCTTGCATTGTTGGATAGGTTTTGTTGGAGTTGATGGTCGCACTTTGGCACCTTGGCAGTTGCAGGTGGGCCATGACCAGCCACAAGCCTTCCCTCTATCCGGCCTTTACTTTAAATGGACTAACTCACTTAATGCCAGGTGCCAGGTGGAGGGTGCTTGCACAAATGACAAATGAGCGGCTGTTGGTAGAATCACGTGAAACTGACACTGATTCATTGTTATCACCAAGCTCAACCCGGTTCGCAATCTTGTCCTTTGCTCATCGTTCACTCACCCTCCAGATCTTCCTCGCCCGCCATCTACAATGATGCAATCCAGACTCTTGACAGGGCTCTTAGTCGCCTCTCTCCTATCTATTCCTTGGCGGGTCTCGAACACTCGCACTGTCACCACCGAGATCCCCGCGTCAGCCAACCCGGATACCATCCGCCAGCTGCTCCAAAATCAGCCACTCTTCATCAAGTTGAATCCGGTGGTCACTGGCATGAGCCTCGCGCCCACCGCACCCACGCGGTACAAGGACGAGTGGCTCCAGACCGCGGAGGCGGGACCCCCGATCCAAACATACATCCTTAGCCAAGTGATCACGATGGTGCCAGGCACGAGCGGATGGGGACAAAAGCATATCCAGTTCGAAACCTGGCTACGAGACACCCCGACCGGAGTCAAGACCCGAGCGGACGCTCCTTTTGGTGTGTCGGTGGCAAGCCACTGGGCAGTCGAGCCGACCGCGTTGTTGCCCGACCCCAAAGATCCACAAGGTAAGAGAGAAAGAGCACCGACAGGGCAAAGAAGTTCGGACATTGACGCGAAGAATAGATTGGCGGATCACGGTGCAGAGAAGAATCTCATGTGTATGGTGGATGATGCCTTTTGTGGCCTACACCTACGACGAGGTCCATGCCAGCGTCATCCGTGATTTCATTGAGCTTGCCAGCTGATCAGCCGGCCACCACGTTGTGCCTGTGGCTGGAGCTCCTGTAGAATGGTACAGTATCTTCCTCACGACCGTCAACTTGGATGTTGCGTTGGAGACAATACAGGCGGTATACGCGGGTGGGTAGAGAGGGCGCACATGGACGGCTGTATATGCTCAACATGAACCTTAGATTTGTGTGCAGAACTCGATTGGGAAATCAAGCGCTCTTCCATTTCTACGTACTATGATTTAATCCATCATTAGGTAAAGAATAATCCACGTATGAGACAGCCAAACCAAGGCTGTGCAGCATCGGCGCAATATCCCCCCTCTCCAGAGCGTATACAGCCGATCAGCATACCCCAAAACCTCAGAGTTTGATTCCCCAGTACTGCCTGGTCCGCGCGACACACTGCTCAACCGAGATCGCAGGCTCGGATTCCACCTGAATATTGCCTTCACCGACCCTCACCCATCGGGCCGGATTATATGCGGGGACGTACAGCATTTCATGGTCCGGCCCACAGACATCACACAGATCCAGAGTCCCCAGGCGCAACCGATCCAAGCAAGCACGGTCAAATCGGACACTCTGACATGCGTTGCAGACAAAGAAGCCGTTTGCGTCCGACCAGGTGGTCCCGCACTTTCCATCGCACTGCGCCTGAAGTGGGCCCTCGAGATTCTCATTCTCGACATCGTCATCTCCTGTGGCACCGCATAGAGTGGGAAATCAATCAGCTCTGACTGACCACGCTAGGTCCCTGTGCGGGGATCTCACCCAACAGTCCAACACAGGTCAACGTCTTGTTCATCCCAGCCTTGAGTTCTTGGTATTTGGCATTCGTATCGTTTGCCTCGTCTTGCTTGGTGCGAATCTGGTCGAGAATCTCCTCGATGGTGTATGTGTCGGGAACAGTCTTGAGATCAACGTTGGTGGTCTACATAGAACGAGGTGCAGACCCGGTCCCATGCCTCCTGCAAGCTATACTCATCCTGCGTTCGACTGCGAGATCGTCATCGTGCTTGTTTTACGACGTAGCATTGCCGCGCAAATGACCAAGCCTATCTCTCCGCCGCACACGGTGACAATGTTGCGCCTGATCTGCTGGCCCTGAGTTGCGGTTGCCATCCGGGGTGCATCGCCCGTGTTCGCTCTCCTCTTTCTCGCTGCGGTTTATGGTTATATTGTAGACGCGCGTCCGTTCGCGTCGCAAATTTCAACTAGGCCTTCTGGTTTCCGAAAATATTATATGCGAAAACGACTAGAACAGTAGAGTGGGGGTTGAGAAAGATATAAGTCAGTAGCCACCCTGCAAAACTAAATCTGCCGGTAGGATAACAAGAATCGGGGGAATCGAACCTCGATAAAAACCCCAACAACCCCAATAAAAACGAATAATGAAGGTAATCTTTGGTAAGGAACTCTAATAGTAATGCCCTCGGCCTTCTGAAAACCCAAATATCCCAATATAGAGGGCTTAAACAATCCCGTGATTATCTAAGGCAGCTGGAGAGCTTTGTGAGAGGAAAGAGGGGGAAGGGGATGGACATGGATAGGTATAATCTGGGAAGCTTAAAAAAGCAGAGCAGACGGGCGGGGATAGTTACAGAGAGTCTTATAAGCGGTCACTGCTGCGGTAAGAATACTTGGTAAGGGAATTTGTTCTTGCAGAGTGGCCACTATATCCTTCTGTAGTTGGGATTGAATGCTTGGAGTCGAACCTAAGCTTCGACGCTGAATAAGCTCACTGGCTGTAGAAGGTGGAATGGGATGTACTGAGGTCTATCGATTGCCCAAGATAGTGGTTGGACTTCTTGGCTTGGAGCGCAAAGAGCCCACCGTAGCGATTGAAATGACGGGAGAGAGTCAGCAAGAGGTTGTGTTATGGTAATGAGGAAACTGTGCTTGAAATCCAATGTCCAAAAGCAATACGTTCGCAAGAGTCTGACAAATACCTTGCGAACCCCAGTACAATTGAACGAGAAGAAAGACGACAGCAAGATTTTAGAAAGCAAGTAGGCTCAACAAGGTCATTAGCGACTGGGAGTAGAGTCACATCAATCACGAAAACTCGACGACAAGCTTTGTACCTCGACCCTCTCCCTTGCGTAGTGTATCTAGACCTCCGAATATCTCATTGAAACCGCCCTTAAATGTGGTGATGGGTGGAGGCCTCAGCCTCAGGCTGGGCAAGCTACCATAAAACTTGCTGATGACCTCGCGGTCCGCCGGCTTCACCGGGAACACGGGGCCAAGGGGCGCCAACATCTGGAACTTGCGACCGAAGGCAGTGTAAACCATGAGGAACTCATAGGTCACGTTTTCCTTCTTCGGCTTTCCTTGATCAAGAAGCGTGATCACTTTGCCACCCTCGCGAAACACATCAGCGCAGAAGGCGGCAGAACTGCCTTCGGAAAAGCAGTCCAGAGCTTTAGTGAGGTTTGGATAGGCCTTCTGGATCTCGCCAATGGATGCAGATGTCCGATAGTCGTATACTGCATCGGCACCATAGCGCTTCGCGAGGTCGAAGGAGCGTGGCGAGGCCGTGACCACAACCGTGTATCCTGCTCTCTTGGCCAATTGGATGGCGAAGAGACCGACGTTCGAGCCTCCTGAATAGATGAGAATGGTCGGAGGGTCCCCTTGTTGAGCGCTGCGTCCGTTCTCAATATCCACCCAGTCAATGTCAAGGTACGAAAGGGCCAGCATCGCGGTGGCTGCGGGAACTCCGTAGGTGGTGGCTTCGCTCAGGGCCGTTTCGTCAGGCACCTTCCAGGCCAAGTCTCCATCGACTTTCAGGTACTCGGCGAATGAGCCAACGTCGGGATACAAGCCCCCGTGGACAAAGCCAGCGATTCGGTCTCCAACCTTCCAACGCTGTCCTGAGTTCTTGCCGACCCGAGCCACCTCGCCCGCATAGTCGCAGCCAATGACAGAATTGCGTGGGGAAACGAAATCGATGTCTTTGAAGTCGATGGGGTTCAGCGCGACAGCGCGCACCTTGACCAAGACCTCATCATCGGTGATGCTTGGGGTTGGGACATCTTTGATTTGCGCGCCCTGCCCAAGAGGACTACGGAGAGCAAGACTCAGTAGACGCTTAGGCAAGAATCGATGTGTGATGACCGCTTTCATTAGGGCGGGTGGTTTTGCAATGTTGTGATCTCAACAGGAAGACAGGAAGTAAGAAGTACTGAACGGATGGAGCACTCGTGCGCAATACTAAATCAAACTGAAACGCTTGCGGGGAAATACGCAAGAATTACTTGGAAGGTTGACTATATAGAAGGTCGAATGAACCTCAGGTCGACGGATGCAAGGTATAATCATCAAGTGATTAGCTCATAGTGGCTGGAACAGGAGCAAACTATTGTGAAGTTGTAACGCTTACAAACCACCACATCACAAAAACATGGATCCCGCTTTGAATCGCCGACCTGAAGAAAGGAGCCTGAGGCAAAAAGCCTTGTCCACGGCTATGGTAAACCCTCGTTGTTAGTGGATGTCATTGGCTTTGGTAAATGTTGACAAATTCAAGTGCAAGCGTCTCGACAAGACGAACCGCTGCTTCGGGCCGACGGTAAGTCAATTACAGCCACAGCTACCACAGCTATCGAAGAATTCTGCAACAGTGATTAGTGATATCCCCGATTTTCCAAGATTCGACCCCCAATTAGATCCTTCTTTAACCCCACTTTTTATCATTTAGTGGCTTTCTGCATACAGTTTGTTCCCGTAAAGCTTATAGAAATTACACGAAAATTATTGAAACAGAAATGGTAAAGACATTCGACTTCTCAAGTCGTTGGTATGCATAAGCTTATATGGTGTTTGCAGGTGGCTCGTTCGGATTGTAATTACGTTCCTACCGACTGTCTTGGGATCCGACAGGCGTCCACGGCGTTTCCCGATCGACCCATACGTTGGATATACTCCTGGAATCGGACGAACAGTTGTAACTTGCCCCGAAGGTCCAACCTTCGCCTCGGCATGTTCACTAATCACTGCCACCGTCTTCCCGCCCAACCCTAGATGATTACAAATGTGTTGTGAGAAAACAAGAGGGACTGCTTTGAATCCACAAAACGAAAAGTAAAAAAAAAAGAAAATCACGGCTTGGAATGCAAGAAAAGTTAAAAAGTGAGGACAAGTTGCACTAATCAACAGAGCAGGACATGGTCAAATAAGCAGGATTGTGGCTTGTACGGACTCGGCTTCCGCCGCACCGCCGATCTCTGTGCATGCCAAATGTGGCCACAGGTACGAATACGAGCCTAACCTTGCCCTGATACGGATTCATTATGGATCTCCTTCAACTTTAACAATCTTGACTAGTCGCCCTAGTCGCCATAGGCCCCAAGTAGCCTTTGGCGACGCTGGCTACCTATCTACCAACGATCAAGGCCGCTTGGTGCTGACACTCTAGGATGTTGGCGTAGAATGTACTTAGCTAGATCTAAACCAATCAAATAAACATGCATATCAGGAAAGTAGTTTAAGCTCCAATTCTGAGCAATCGAGACAAGTCGAAGATGGGCTATCGTACTTGATCCCCGGAACTGAGATTTATTTCTATTGAACTACACGTGAAGGACGTGTCGATCTGCCCGACTAAAAAGTCTCCCTAACGTTGTAAACCAGGTTGGCACCACTGACTTTGTTGGTCCTGAGCAGGTCTATTCCTTCCAAGACACTACGTCGACCATCCTTTCCAATCTTGGGCGGATGGGCCTTTGATCTTGCTGTTATCCAAAAGAGCATGAGCCAGCTGAGTGAACTTCTTGGCGTGCGCGAAATCCTCGGGCTCGGTGGGGTCACTAGAATTCAAACCAACACTGACGGTCTCACAAGGACATAATCGTCGGGAGCTTGGATATGGTACGGGAAATCACCAAGCCTGCAGTCTGAGGTTTGGTAACGATAACGGCCCTCTGAGTAGACATGATTGCGGTAATGATATGAAAAGTAGTGATAACCATATACGTGTGTATAGAAGCCCATCATACAACACTGTGCCAAGGCTATCGAACAACAACTCCCCCAATCGTCGGATGGGATCTTGTTGGTAATCAATGCCATGGATGACAAATTCTCACCTATATGGGTCCTCCTTGTATCCATGACGCCTTTCACCGACTTGAATACAGTAGAATATTTTCTGGACGGTTCCATGTTACAGGGATCGGGGATTACGTGACTACGACCATGGAGCGGATGATGTGTAATGTATGAGGTCCTTATCTCTTTGCTCATGACTTGGATACTGGTGATGGGCCATCAGGCTCGATATGAGCCGGTGGAAAGTCACGGCATCATCATATCGGATGTTTTCGTACCCGCATCCGGTGACAGGAATGAATGATCGATTTACTCTCATGCTATAAAGATTGCCCAACTACCAGTTCAAAATAAATCATAATCCAGATTCACCATCAAAGTACCATTCCATCATGCCTGCTCCGTTGATTTTCATAACCGGTGCTACCGGTTTTATTGGCAGTGCCACGGCTGTTCACGCTCTCAAGTCCGGATACCGACTTCGAATTGTCGTTCGCCGAAAGTCCGAGAAACTTGAATCATTGTTGTCAGAGTACCGCGAGCAACTGGAATTTGTCATCGTTCCAGATCTCACGGAGGAGGCTGCGTTTCGAGGGAAGCTTGATGGAGTGGACTATGTCCTCCACCTAGCGTCGCCTCTTGCCAACGGCACCGACAAGGAAGCTTTTTTTCCCCCCGCAGTGAAAGGAACACTGGCCGTACTCAAGGAGGCAGCTAAGGTTCCAGGCATCAAGAAGGTGGTGGTCACTTCATCTATCGCCTCCTTGATTCCTCTTACTGGACTTCCCGACGGTGGGCTCATTAGAGGTATGTTTAATGAACATAAGCTAAGGCTCCTATCCCTGCCATGCTAACATCAGCCACAGAGGATAACGACTGGGATTTCGCCGTGGATGCCACAGCAGATTTTGTTGATCCCAGTAATCCCGCGGCAACACCGATGACTCTGTACCGAGCGTCCAAGCTGCTTGCGAACAACGCGACATGGGAATTTTGGAGGACAGAAAACCCGCAGTACTCACTGGTGACTCTTCATCCGTCCTTTGTCTTCGGGCACAATCTCGTGCAATCTGCCGCCAAGGAGATTGAAGCAGGATCCAATGGAATCATCTGGGGTAGTGTGATGGGCGGCGTCCCACTTGGAGGCATCACGGGTGTGCACGTCCAAAATGTTGCCGAGGCCCACATCAAGGCGTTAGACCCGAAGATCAAGAATGGTACCAAGTACCTGCTCTCTGGACCGCCAACAACATGGAAAGAGGTCGCTCGAATTGCGCACGAGTTCTACCCCAATGTTGGTGTCAAGCTTACAGAGCGCGCTGAAGGTGCCTCTGTGCCGACTGATACCACCAAAGCCGAAGTTGAACTGGGAATGCAATGGCGGTCTTGGGAGGAGATGGTGCGCAACGTGATGGACCAGCAATTGGGCTTCCTTTAAGACCGAGCCATGAAGAGCCTGGAACTGAACTAGATATTGACTTTCTGAAAACACTATCCTGTGTATTCTGTTATTTGTCTCTTCAATTATTGGATTTCTTATTCCATTCTGAGGTTAGACTTACCCTAAGTCCAATCCGTAGGCGAAAGTAACAGATTTATGTAAGGGCCCTACCAACCCTTCCAACCCTCGCGACTCTTCACAAAGGAATACCATATATTAGTCCTGAGGCACCAACCATATGACAGCTAAGCGAGCAGGCCGCAGCCACCCACAAAGGAGCAACGGCCTTGCGAATTAGGCAGATTAACAACAACACCGTAAGGCAATACATTGGCACCTTTGGTCTCGAGAGTCATTTGTTCATCAAATTATTTCACCATTCTAGCCGTTATAAGGCCTCTAAAATTATTTTTTCATCTAGCTTATATTATATAGAATGTGTGATACTACTTACAACTATAGTAGCAGATTTGAACAGTTAGTTGAAAATATATGAAATTGTGTGAATAAAGAATCAAGTACTGTAGTATAGGATATTCCTAGTACACCTCAAAAGTCTAGCTAGATAACAATTACGCTCGGAATACATTTGCGATGGCTGGGCCACAGCTGACCCCTAGATAGACAAGCCGGGGGCTTTAAGGAACAGCCGCCGACCTCGATGCTACGCCCAGTTCGAGGAGCCGACCGTCGTGGGTCTATAGCCCTGGCAGACTGTGGAGGCAGTTATCAGCGGCAAGCACTTCCGTATTGCAGGCACTCCCTGTAAGCAGTTCCCCAGTGGTGAGGTCACAGGCTTTATCGTTGAAAGCGAGTCTTTCGGGGTGAGTGACGACAGCCTCCCGAATGTGGTCTACTTCTCTGGCGATACTGCGTAGATCGACGAGCTGGCCCGTATCCGGGAAAAGTGGCATGTTGCAGTCGCGGTGCTGAATACGGGAAACACCTTATTTCCGACTCCCAAGGGGATGATGCAAATCACTTTTAACGGACAGCAGGCCGCGCATCGGATGCGAGTGTTTGGAGTGGATGCAATGGTGCCGATTCACTTTGAATCTTGGGAGCATTTTACAGAGCATCAGGCGGACTTGCGAAGGGTCTTGGAGGGAGACAAGGTTAACAAGAGGGTACACTGGCTGAAGCCAGGGGTGGAGATGAAGGCTCTCTAGACGCTTTGCGTCTACCAACGTGGGTATTCTAGATGCGACTACAGAAATCGAATATAAAAGGATGATAGAAGTAGAGCGTGTCTTGTCACTTAGTCGTTCTTGGCTATTGTTCTAGGCAGAGCAGCCCATGTGCTGGGCCTTGGGTTATGGGCAGTACCCTTTCGGCTGAAAACTAAAGGCAGGCCCGGAATAGCAACATACAAGCGTGCCATTTCTTTGTGATTACTAGCTGGAGGCCATGTGCGGTATATCAGTTGGACTTGAAACAAGGGATAAAGGTATATACTTGGTCTCGATCATAACAATGATTGAAAGGGTTCATGTTGGTGCTCTTTCATTCAAACAATGCCATTGTTGTCTTCTCACAAAGTACTGACCGGTACAATGACTTTCCGTGGCCTATAAAGGAGCACAACGCCCGCCTCTTGTCTCCTCAAATATAATATCCTAAGATTATCAGCTATTGTCACCACTTTATCTATAACCGAATTACGAACCCACGATTCCAGCACCCTGCCAAAATGCCCCACCAATTCGAATCCGGCCACGTGCTCGTCGCGCCCATTGACCTCGAAAGCCGAAAGACCCCCGAGGAGAGAGCCAGTGAGAGCGCCGCCATCCTCAAACACCCCCGCCACGCAGAGAGTATCCACTGGCGCGGATGCCTGAACAAGTCCGTCGACCTGGTCGAGCAGGTTACCCGGTACCTGCACGCCCACGGCATGACCTTCTTCGTGGTATGCTGCGCGTACTGGCACCTCGAGAACCAATGGAAGATGTTGGTGGACTTCGGCAAGACGGGCCTCCCGGCGGCGGCGCGCGGGGAGATCCTCGCGCGGTTCCTGGGACCGGAAACGCCGCTGGAGATCGACCTGGCGCTGGAGTTGCGCAAGGAGGCGCGGGCCGGGGAGCGGGCAATTGCGCACTGGGAGCGCAGGCGCGTATACTCTTATAGGACGCGGCTGGTGATGGGGGGGGGGGGGCGCGCTCGTGTGGTCGAGCGCGACGGCGAGGTTTTACTGAGGACACGGGAGTTGGAGAGCGAGTCGCCTGAGGGCTCCGCGACGGGGTCGATGGCCAAGTGGCTCCGCGCCTTCTGGCCCCCGAGCATGCGCAGGAAGAACAACTCCGGTTTGCCGCTGGAGGTGGCCTGGGCGAAGATGAGGCTGCCGGGCAAGATAAAGAACCTCCTGACCGATCTGCCCGCGTTGGATGAACCAGTTAGGTTTATTCCTGAGCTGGAATCCCGCCGCAGAAGGTAAGGCTGGGTGCCTTTCTTATTCTCTGTCAATTTATTCTGTGATTGTAATCTTGATGTGCAATTGTGATAATCCAGCACCCCCAGCATTTTCTCACAACAAACCGTACGCGCGCTCGACCCGTTGCAGCCCCGCGGCATCCTCCCCTGAACTGGTGGACACACTGCTCCGGCTCGAGCGCACCACGCCCGGATGCACCCACAGACCGTACCTCACACGGAGGCTGCGAGTTTCGCGGGTTTTGCGGTATTTGCTGCTTCTGATCTTAGCCAATGGTTTGCAGCGATCATACGCTTTTGATACTTTTCAGACATCATGCCCGTCATGGGCCTCCCAAGCCGAAGGGAAATGTGATAGACAAGCTCTAGCTTGGTCTCCTTACGTCTGGGACCCCGATTTCTCGCCCCGCGCAGAACGAATCATATTTAGAACATGATATCACCTTTTCCAAGTTCTAGACACACAGGCACGCGGTTGCCTACATCCACAAGCTTGGAACTTCACAAGTCCCTGCTCATTCAATTCTAAATTTAGCGCAAATCTTCTATTTCAATCACCTCTCAAGAGTCACCACATGCCGTGATGGTAGACCTATCGTCGTGGCTTGTTTGTTGTAGCCACACTGCGAGTCCCTGCTTGCTCATTGCGTCACGTTGGACGCGGTGCAATGCCCCCAAGTTATGTCTTGCCTGTTTGGCCTTCATCCTGATTAGCCACCAGCCGAGCCTCCTCCTGATTCTGAATATCCTGCTCCCCGGATAAATAGTCAGCTCCCTCCTCATCTACAACTGCGCCGACCCCAGACCCACCTCGATAGCAGGCACCGCCGAGTGCCACGCGGCAACCAACATCCCCTGGAGCGCTACATCCCCCCGGACCTCCTAAACAGTCGTCTGCACACTTGCCCCCCGGAACCGCGAGGCTTTCGCTACGCCGTGCATGCCGAAATCCATGTCGATGTGGTGGCGCATGAGCTCGGGGTACTTGACGAAGGCGATCAGGCTCTGATGGCAGCATGTGCGATAGTATCCGATGCTGCCCAGGAGAAAGCCCAGGCAGGAGCCGCCCAGGAACCCCACCGCACCGGCCGTGCAGGCGTAGCCCAGCACCGTCGCCCCGAACAGGCCGATGATCGCCGCCGTCGAGCTCCCCGCCAGCAGGCACTGGAACATGAATAAGCCTCGGCCGCTGGGCTTAGTCAACCCGCCCACGGCGCGCAGCGCTTGGCCCAGTGAGCTGACGGTCTGCGCTGGTGTCTCGCCCTGGAAGTTGAGATGTGAGGCGGCTCTAGTACGGGGGTGGGGGGGTGGGATCATGAGGGGGGATACTTACCTGCATGTCTGGGGGTGGGGGATTTCGATAGATGAAATCTGAGTGGAGCTCGGGAATGTCGCTGGGTGGGAAGGTGAGATCCGAGGAATAAACGCATCATTATGGGTAGGTCACATACACAGTCTGGCTATACCCACATACGGCGGAAAGGGGGACCGTGCAAGCGTAATTGAACTAGGTGGAATAGCGGTTAAAAGACGTGTCTGTATGTGCTAATTTACCGCTGTATATCTACAATCTATACTATGTGAGCATCGGATCGCAGCGACTGGCTCATTGTACTGTACAGGGAGCACCCCATGTATTCCACGCTGAAATAGAAGCTCTTCCGATCGGTGGTACTCTATTACAAAAACTTGGCCAGGTTGTTCTCTACCCACTGCTGCAAGCGCTGCGGAGGATGATGGGCATAGGTCATTATGTTATCGCGTGCAGTGAGTGCTTCGGGGCTTTCCAGGTACGACCCAGCGCGATCAATCACGTTGTGAAGGTGCCACTGGATCATAGTGGACGGCATGCCGGCGGCCTCGAGGTGCGCGACAGCCTCTTCCCGAGTGATAGCAGTGACTTGGACCTCCTTGCCCAGAGCATGGCCCACGATTCCTACCGCTTCCCTCATCGTCATCCGCTCAGGCCCAAGAAGCCGCACGATCTGTTCCTGGGCGCCATTGACCAGGATCGTCCCCGCGACATGGCCGATGTCCTCCGATGAGATAAAGTCAAACGTGGCATCGGGGTTCGGCAGTCCCACTTGTCCCCGTAGAATGGCCTGCTTCTCGTGCAGAAGATTGCTGGCGTAGAATGCAGGCCGCACCGTCACGTAGCCAGAGCTCCCATAGATCTCCTCCAGCGCGATTTCCACCTGGGCATGCTCCCAGGGGACGATATCGGAGGGATCCACCTCATGGATGTCGGTCAGGATAATGAAACTGCTGAGGAAGACAATAAACTCCACCCCGGCCTCTTTGAGTGCTCGAAGCGCGGCCCTCATGAAGTCCGGCCCGTCGAAGATTCCGTACAGAAAGGCAGCCTGCGCGCCAGCCTGGCGAACCGCAGTCCGCAGCGTATCGGGCTGGGTCAAATCGGCTTGGTATTTCTGGAACGGGAGGTGGTCGAGTTTAGGAATTGGCTTGGAGGTATTCCGCGTCGCCAGCGACACGGTGGCTCCGTGCTGATGGGCTTGCAGGGCGGCGGCAGAGCCCACGTCGCCGGTAGCACCAAAGATGATCACGTTGTTGTACTTGGGCATTGTGAACGATGATTCGGAATCGAAGAAATTGAGTCTCGCTGGCGCTTCCCAACAGATGATCAGGCAGGATGATAATGCTACATCTATTCGTTCTGATGTCAACTCACCTTGTTTTTGTAGTAGTCACTAAACGGATAATCAAGCCAGCCCTAAACCCGGTCGGGTTTTGGAAACTTCGATCTGCGTCCGTGACCCGAGCCGGTCCGCGCAGGATTCAGGTTTGCCATCCACAGCTGGACTTTAAATGGGCATGAAAAAGAATTGCTTTCTCTTGATGATTTACGATCAGTAAATTATTCGGTTAGTCCTCATTCCAAGCGCCTATTGTGTAAGATGAGTCCTTTGTCGCTAGTTCATGCCACCGGGATCATTTCTTCCTCCCTTGCGGCCGGTAAGTTGAGCCTACCCCGAGCCTAATCTCTGAACAGAATCCAACTAAGACTCACCCACCTTCTCTTAAAAGGCACGATCTTCACTTCCTCGCTCGCCGGTGTCAGCACGGCCCAGCTCGCCGTTCACGATTCTCCGCGGCTGGCCGCTCAGCAATGGGTCCATGTCCACCGAAGATGCCACAACATAGGCACCCCGTTGGTCGTGCTATCAGCAGTCTGCTTTGGATGGGTGACCGCGCAAAAGCAGAGCCACTCCCTTCTGGCGGCCGCGACCGCATGCATGGGCATCGTACCTTACACGCTTGTGGCTCTGAAGGGGCCGGAGACGGTTCTCTTCGCGGCTGCCGATCCTGAGCACAAGGTTGGGTCGGCATATTCGACTCGAGATATAGGAGCAGCGCTCACCAGTTGGGGAACGCTGAATATGGTGCGGACCATTTTTCCTTTGCTAGGAAGCGTTCTGGCGATTAGCCTGTGTTTTTGATCACAGTTTTTGGGTTGCATAAGAACAACCCTGTTACAGTTGCTGCCTGTACAGTGCTCATACGTAGAGTTGAACATCACTTGAACTTGTAATCAAATTGGCGTATCTGTCTGCGATAATAGAAACATGGGATTGCTTTTTGGTACATGAGACCATTACGAGTCATAGAGGATGCTCCTTTCCTTCTCTTCACTGGTGTAAGAGTTCGAGGTAACGACCTTGCTTGATACCCCGATATTCGTTCTTGCCCTGGAGCTTCCGCCCACGTTGATCATCTGAGCAGATTCCTACAATCCACTGCCCTTGGTTACAAGCTAAGAGCTTAGGCTGGGAGTTTTCCTTACGATACACGGCGGCGGCCGTGTTGACGCTCGGCATCGTGCCGTATACTATCCTCACAATGCGGCCGACCAACAATGCTCTTATCGCCCTGGCACAATCCCCAAAAGATCTGGCCGCGGCGGACGAGACGAAAAGCCGGGATTTGCTCGCAAAACGGACCTCGTTGAATGGCATCCGTGGCCTGCTGCCTCTTGCTGGGGCGATGCTGGGTATGGCTGCGGCCTGGATTTCGGGTTGAGGGTATGATATGTTGGATGTCGGAGTTCTCACTTTGGATCTGTAATTCGAGAAGGACAAATGTACGGTCGTAAGCAAAGAGCACGGTTGATTGTTTGTCTATGCGACATTCCTGATCCAGTAAACCTGTCAACTACAGAATTTATTTTGGGCATCTATTGAGACCTTTGTGTCTCTGAACTGCTAAATCTAGCTAGGAACATGACACTCGGACCCCGTGAAGCAGAGATATACAAGAGCAAGGGGCCTGGTTTCAAGAGAGCTGCCCCGGATCCTTCAAGGTGATCACGGCTTATATTTCAAGTATTGCGAATGTCCTCATTACGCCGTACCTAGATAACTGAGGTGGCGAACTCAGCTCGCTATCATCAATCACCGCCCGTTCCGTCACTTGCATCAATTCACATCAGGAGGACTCTGAGGTTTATTAGCAAAACACACTCGAAGGATGAGATGAAGACCGACAGATCTGAACTTGTCAAGACTCCACTGATAATCGTCACAGACCTCACCACTGGATCCAAGTACACGAGGTCTGAAATCCGTGAGCATTGACGTCATAGATTACTGTTTGTCTTGGTGATTGCCTTAGCATGGACGTATCGACGTCGAGGGGTTCGTTAGGTCAGAAGAGCTTTGCTGACCAGCAACTTCGGAATCGACACCAAGACCATGAGTCCAGACTCGAGGCCCACCAGCCCTGCATCCTGATCCTGCTTAGAAGATAAGGTTACCCGTGTGGATGACGGGCCAGCAACCAATGACAGACAACAAGTGGAACTTGAAAAAATATAAATGCAGGTGGATGACGGATTTTAAACCAATCAGAGGTATTTCCCATGGAAACAATCGACTAGGAGTTAAGGTACTGTACCTAGCTGCCTAGTAAGGAACCCAACTCTGATCAAAGTCTGAGGTTGGTGTCGAGAGTGAGGTGGACTATATATTGTACAGTACCCATGCGAATCCCGTCGAGAACCGCCGAAATAATTGTTAGGCAAACGGTTCTTTTTTTTTTTTTTTTTTTTTCGACACCAGCGTATGTCGCCAGGCCTACCCATTGGACTTCACTACCTCCAACTTTATAGCATTTTTTTGGGCATGAAGTACGTTTGCACCACCAACTCCCAATCTACTACCCATCAAAGCCTGCTATGCCTACATTCCGAAGTCAAGACATCCCTGATCTCCACGGCCAGGTCATCATCGTCACCGGGGGTAATGTAGGGCTCGGGTACGAGACCATCCGCCAGCTCAGCGAGCACCACCCAGCTAGGATCTATCTCGCGGCGCGATCCCGCAGCAAGGCCGAGCAAGCCATTGCAGACCTTGCCAAAGCCAACCCCAATTCCGCAAGCATTATCCGTTTCCTCCCGCTCGATCTTGCCTCCTTCGACAGCGTCAAAGCCGCAGCTGCAGACTTCCTCCGTCAAGAGTCCCGCCTCGACCTGCTAGTCAACAATGCCGGAATCATGATGACTCCGGAAGGTCTGACGCAGGACGGCTACGAGATCCAGTTCGGGACCAACGTCCTCGGTCCCGCGCTATTCACACAGCTTCTCCTCCCCACCCTCCGTTCAACCACAACTCTAAACCCCCAGACCCGGATGGTAACGCTCTCCTCGGCGGCCCACGCGCGGGCACCCAGCGACGTCTACAACTTCGACGAGCTTCGCACGACCGCCCCCAACCGACATACCACGGAGCGCTACACGACCTCCAAGCTCGCCAACTTGCATTACGCGAGAGCCTTGGCTGAGAGGGAGACGGTGGTGAAAATCATCCCCGTGCACCCGGGCATGGTCGCGACGAATTTGCACCATGCCTCCACGGGGACCTTCCTCAAGCCCTTCCTCTCTGCTGCGGTTTGCTTGGCAGCGACCCCAGTCGAGAAAGGCGCGCTCTCGCAGATCTTTGCGGCGGTGAGCCCGGAGGCGAAACATGGGCAGTACTATGGGCCCATCGGGAAGGCAGAAGCCGGGTCTAAACTCAGTCAGAACCATGACCTTCAGGAGGAGTTGTTCAGATGGGTACAAGGGGAGCTTGTCGGGCATGTTGACACCATTTGGTAAAGAAAGCGTCATGCTGCGTTTTGATTCTATTGCTGTGCTTGTCCTTTTTCCTGTCAGTGTTGCGATTTTTCCGTGTCTTTGTAATGACAGTCGATCGCACTGCGGTCTCATTTCCACATTCGGATTATTCTCGGACAGCCTTTCTCAACAATGTGGCCCAAAGCGAGAAGATATATATAAATGCTGAAAAAACCTTTGATACCAACGCTGATGTTCCAAAGCATAAGTCTGCCTCTGTATTTCACACTGCGATTGACTAAATCTCAAACTTCTGCTAGACCAACCCCTCACTCAACGCCCACAGCTTTTCCGCAAAGTGCCCGCTCTTCGCAAAACCCGCGACATTCTCATCATCCACCCGACAGTCCGCAGTGTACACCCCGATGAAGAGCCAAATATGACACTCTGTCCTCGAAAACTACTCTTTCCGGCCAATATCATCAGAACACAGGCTCTTGTGGGGACACCCGACATATACCTAGTCTAGGCACTTCTCAACGATTGGCTATATGATCATCATCCCGGATCTCGGAGTCGGAAAACCTTCAAGTTAGACCCGCTTGCCAGGGACGGACGCTGCTCCGATTGGCTTGTGGTCAAGTCGGAGTTAATCATCCCATGAGCTTAAGTCCGGATGACGGGATATCAGCCAATCATCAACCTCTCACTCTTGGATCAGTCATCGATTTCAAGGTTGAGTCTTCAATCGTTTCGCCCCTTCATCACAGCAGTCCTCTTCTCCATCCACCTGCAGACAAAGACTTCCACTTAATTGTCCACCACTTCAACTGCACGAATCATAGCCCGCATAGCCCCAACCCTCGTGCCACGCTCAACTGGACGCCAGTGCATCGTCTAAATGTCCTCCTCGCAGGAGCGGATTCGCCGCCTCGACGAGGATTGGTCTGGGATCACCGATCCCGCTCTTCGCAAGAAGCTGCAAAACAAACTCAACCAACGTGCTTTGCGTAGGTATCTCGAAGATTCACTTCCCCACTCATCTGAGCTCGGTCTTTGAGTGTTCAGATCCACAATAACTCGTGTCGGGCTGAAAACAACCACAGCACACTAACGGCCTCAATAGGCGCGCGGAGACGCCAAGACCGGCAACAGGCTCTGCGCCTGCAGCAGGCCAAAGAGAAGAGCCAGGCTGCCTTGCCCCGGTCATATGCTCTCATACTCCCTCGACTGGAGCCGTCCCAGGTCGAGAACAAGATATTGAGTCTGCGACGACCACACAAACAACCCACCACACTCGTCGAGGCCGTAGCATTGATGGATCGCTTCAACGCAGCAGCATATGCCAGATACCATGCCGCCGATCCCTGCCTGGACCATCTCTTTACGCTTTCCAAGTTCAATGTGCTGCGTGCCTTCGTGGATAACATGGCGGCCCTGAGGCTAAGCATTGAGGCCATGGGAGATGACGTTATCTCCCCGTTCAATATGAATTCCCCAGGAAACCCCAGCCGACAAGGCCTTCCGGCGAGTCTTTTCCCCACCTCAACGCAATGCACAATCTCCCACCATCCCTGGCTGGATTGTTTCCCATTCCCGCGCATGCGGGATAATCTGGTCAAGGCCGCGGACTCGTTTAATGATTGCGAGCTGTGCACCGATATCGTGGACCCCACCAATGGCGATATCGGGATGATGGTGTGGGGAGACCCCTGGCTACCGCAGAGCTGGGAGGTGTCGCAGTTGTTTGTGGCCAAGTGGGCGTGGGTGATCGAGGGGTGCCCCGAGATAATCGTGCATAGCAATTATTGGAGGGCTAGACGGGGGCTCGGGAGGCTTAAGGTAGGCGCCGTGTGAAATCCTCTATGATGTATTCCTCGCCTCTCTCCGGTAACGGTCAAGCTGGCACTGCATAATACACTATACACTATAATCACGCATGACTACGACTATGATACCTGGATTGTTTTGGTGTACCCGTAATGTCCCAACGATCAACCCACTATGAGTCGGGTTCATCACATCCATTCATACTGCGTTACTCACCACCATGCTACATACACAAGACAACATTCCCGCGAAGGAACGCCGTTATAGGAACAAATCTTCTGAGGAGTTTGACATCCAGCCCCGGATCTAGTTTTGTTCCCTACCGCGCACCGCAGCAAAGGTATCGAGCGTATGCGTCCAGATCAAATCTCTCACCCCTTCCACCCGATACCGCTGCATAAGATCACTGGGTCGATATGTCTCCCCGGTGGAATCCAGCCGATAAAACCCACTCCCAGCAGTCCCATCCGACCCCTGCGCCACCTCACGCCCACCATCCCCCACAAAGCCCCGCGACGGAAACCGCAAAGTCGTCGCCGCGAACAAATGCCTCTCCCCGCTCTCATCCAGCGGCGTCTCCCACGGCTTGGCCAGCACCATCAACGCCGCAAGCGCACATTTCGTGACGGGGCCGAAGTCCCGACCGAGCCGCGTGCGCACCAGTCCCGGGAACGAGTGAACAAACGAAACCCGCGGATACGCGGCCGCGAGATGCTCCATCGAGACGGAGGTCATGGCTATGGCGTGTTTCGCGCAGTTGCGCAGCGAGTAGTGGGTTTGGAGGGCAAGATCGTCCAGCTGGAGGGCTGCTTCGCGGCCGGCTTCGAGGACGGAGACGACGCGGGAGAGGGGCGGTCGGGCTCCGGTTGCTGGTGGCGTGGGGGCATCACCGGCTCTCTGCAGCTGCGGGAGGAGGTTGGCGATGAAGCGCATGCGCGCGTAGTAGTGGAGGCTGAGCTTTTTGTCGAGGCCTTCGGCGGTTTCTGTCGCGGATGACAACCATGAGGTTAGGGTCGGGGTCGGGGTTTGCCCTAAGGGGGAGGGGATGGGATGGGATGAAATGGGATGCGTACCGTCCCGCCCGTTCATCGTCCCCACGCCCGGACTTAGGAAGAGGATGTTGACTTTGTCTTCTTGCTGTTGGATGGCTCTGCATGCCTCGTCGACTTCGCGTAACAGGGAGACATCGGACTTGATGAAAGTGATCTGCGCGTCCGGGTTGAGTTGTTGCAGTTCCCCGATGATTTGGTGCGCTCGGGCCTGGTCGCGGCCGATGAGGTACGCCCGCGAGGCCTGCGTGCTGCGGATGAAGGCGCGGGCAGTCGATTCGCCGATTCCGCTGGTTCCGCCGACTGTATCGTGTCTTGTAAGTGGATTGTATGTGAAGAGTGTAGATAAAGAAAATCATGCAAGATGACATGGCAGTCGGTGATGGCTGGGTTCACTCACCAAACACAGCGACCAGGCCTGATCCGTAGAGACCAGTGATGGCGGAGTTATTTTCTCGTACGGTAGCAATTGAGACCATATTTTCTGTGGAAGGATCCTAATCAGTCTGAAAGATCAGATGGGTGGAACAGGAGCTTTTAACAGCTATGTATTCAAACGAGCAATGGGATCTGAATCAAAACCATATGTTTTATAGGGTACCGCATTGCGTGGCTTAGATGCTACAATATGATTGGTGAATAAAGCGTCATCCAGGGGCATTAGCGCAAAAAAATCCATGCTATGTGGGATATCCACTTTTATCTCCGTTTCTGCAAGACACATCATGGATCATGGGCCTGACGAGTCTGGGCCTATCCCAGTTCAACAAAAGGTGCGGTATCTTGGTACTGTGAACTCTCTACGTAGGCAGGGTCGTAGATTAGATAGCAGTCATATGCAAACAACCTTATTGGGGACGTCCAGCCATTGTCTTCTTTCAGGCGCGCTTGCAACTGGCCTAATTCCTCGCTATACTTGCCCGTCTCGCTTAAGAACGAGCTAGGGAGGAAGTTGAGGCCGTGAAGAACTGATATCGCGGTTGAGATGTGGGTGAAGGCTAGGCTGGTCTTTGGTTCATTCACTAGTCCGGGCAAACCGATATGGATGGAGATCTGCTACTGAACTCAGGATAGATACAGTCGGTGTCTCACAATGTGGGAATCAATCAAAATGATTGTGGCCTGATTCGATCAAGAATCCACATTGTTAATGTTCGCGGCATCCCACCGACGCGAATCCTCACAATTTGCCACACGCCCTGCGTTCCTCCATTTACACGGGGAAATAGAAGCCGGTATCCCACACTCAGCTGTTTCCTCACCGTGGCGACTTACCGTGAACAGCTTAAAGACTGCCAGGTTACTGTATTTGGTTGCCCGAGAAGGCCGGCGGTTGTGAATAATCAACGTTCGGCATCCCACTCGTACCCGCGATCGCCGACCCCTCAGGCCGTGGTATAAATCCAGGGTTCAGAGGCCGGTCGATAGAGAATACTGCAGACACACAACTCTCCAATCAAGGGCATAGCTGGTCTGTAGCCGCATCATGTCGTAAGCTGCATCTCCCTACCACTTTCTAAACCTCTATCTAACGCACTCCATCCAGGGAACAACGCATCAACCCTTACGATACACCTTACTTTGACCTTGGCTCTCATGGCCGCAACGTGACAACGACCTCGAAAGAAGCACAAACATGGTTTAATCGAGGACTAGTATGGGCATTCTCGTTCAACGTTGGCGAAGCCGGCAAATGCTTCGAGCAAGCCGCGCAGCACGACCCCAAGTGCGCCATGGCGTACTGGGGAATCGCCTACGCCGCCGGGCCCAACTACAACAAAGCGTACAAATTCTTCGACCGGCAGGACCTCCACTCATCGATTGAGAGAGCGAACACCGCCTTGACGCGTGCCATGCAGCTAACATCTGAAACGACCCCCGTCGAGGGGGCGCTCATCAGAGCTCTGACGGCGCGCTTTCCACCATCCGATCAGATCCCCAATGACTTCAGCTCCCTGGACCGCGCATACGCGGACGCCATGCGTCCCGTCTACCACCAATTCTCCAACGATTCCGACATCGCAGCCATCTTCGCCGACGCACTGATGTGCATGACGCCCCGCGGGCTGTGGGACCTAGACACCGGCGAACCCACCGGCGAGCACACCGTCGAAGCCCGGCGGATCATCGAGGAGGGAATGCAGACCCCCGAGGGCCGTCACCACCCGGCGCTCTGCCACCTGCAAATCCACGTCATGGAGATGTCGCCGTACCCGGAGCTGGCCCTCCCCGCCGCAGACCGGCTGCGGTTCCTCGTCCCCGACGGCTCGCACATGCTGCACATGCCCACGCACATCGACGCGGCCGTCGGCGACTACCGTCGCGCCGTGGACTCCAACCACCTCGCCACCCTGGCCGACGACAAATATTTCGGCTCCGAGAGCCTCTCGCTGCTCCCCGGCGGGTCGCTGAGCTACGTCGGCTACCGCGTGCACTACATCTGCGCCAAGCTGTACGCGGCGATGATGTCCGGCCGCTTCGTCGACGCCATGTCCGCAGCGGAGAAGCTCGAAGCGGTGATCGACAAGAACCTCCTCTCGATCGAAAGCCCCCCGGTGGCGGATGCCGTAGAGAGCTTCGTCGCGAGCAAGGCGCACGTGCTTATCCGCTTCGGGCGCTGGGAGGCGATCCTCGCGCTGCCCCTCCCGGCCAATCGCGAGCTCTACTGCGCCACGACCGCGGTAATCCTCTACGCCCGCGGCCTCGCGTTCAGCGCGCTCAGCCGCATCCCTGAAGCGGAGGTGGCGCAAAGGGAGTTCGAAGCGGCACGCGCCAAGGTCCCAGAGTCCCGGTTCAACAGCATTCCGTGCAAAGAGGTGGACGTCCTGCGCGTTGCCTCGGCTATGCTGACGGGCGAGCTGGAGTACCGCAAGGGGACCTACGAGGTCGCATTTGCGGCACTGAGGGAAGCCATCCGCCGGGAGGATGCGTTGCCCTACTCCGATCCCCCGCCGTGGATGCAACCTGTGCGCCATGCGTTGGGCGGTTTGCTGTTGGAGCAGGATCGGGTGGCAGAAGCGGAGGTCTTGTTCCGAGAGGATCTGGGGCTTGCCAAGGACTATCCGCGACGCAGAGCGAAGCTGAACAATGTGTGGGGGTTGCATGGGCTGTATGAGTGCTTTACGCGGCAGGGGAAAACTGACGAGGCGGCGTTTATCCAGTCGGCGCGGGATATTGCTGTCGCGACGGCTGATGTTCCGGTCAAGGCATCATGTTACTGTCGTGTGTCGGCGGTGGGAAAGAAGCAGTGTTGCATGTAGGATTTAGTTACTGGCCTTCCAGATGATAATGCCAAATGTGCATATGTACTATTCCTAGCTCGCTATCTTGCTGCTCTCTTTACAAAACCTCTCGAGAAATACTTTGCTACCATAAGTGGGTCTAGATATACCCCGGGGCTGGCTAATCGCTCAGAGATTGCCCTGTCCCGCATTGCTCGGCACGGTAGTCTGAATCGCCGTGTACGCCGACGCGGTCGCGATGTTCTTGCCTTCAAAGTCGACCAAGAAAGCAGTGTCCGACTGCGAGAAAGTGCCTGAGCTTCCAAACCCGTTGATCTGGCACGCGCGGCCAAGGTAGGTTGAGCAAACGGCGTTGGTCGTCGAGTCCGGGGAGGTGAACAGCTGTCCCGATACTGGCGATTCGACGGGAGTGTCGATGTTCTGGAAGACGTTGCCCTCGGCCAGCACGTAGCCTCCGCTACCAATCTCGAACGAGTGGCCGTCGGAGTCGTACCAGTAGTTGTTTACCTAGTAGCGGCTTGTTAGTGGTCTTTCTGGTTCTGCACAGTATTCAATTGGGGCAAAGCTTCGCTTACGGCGTGCAGAAGCGTGTTGCCCTGGACCTTGGGGCTCCGGCCGCTGAAATGATAGATGTAGTTCTTCTGCAGGGTGACCAGATCAGACGAGCCATCGAAATACAAACCCCAGTATGCGTAGCCATCACACGTTGCGCTGTAGCTGGTGACGCCGTCGAAGTACGAGTTGGAGATGGTCACGCGGTTGTCGGCGCTGGTGCCGAGGACGACGTGCTGACGGCCGATGCGGGCGGTCTAGTTTCTCGTTAGCTGTGCGAGAAGAGATGGCCATAGCCGCCCTGGGCGGTTTGGAATAGGTGAAATGAAACTTGAATGGAGGGAGGAATGAGACGGAGGCTGTGGGTGACATACCGTGACATGGTCGATCCAGACCATATCGGCGTCGTCGAGGGTGATGGCATCACCACCCCAAACGTATTTCTCGTTGATATCTGTAATAGCGATGTTCCTAGGTCAGGTTAGAAGAAGCCTCCGGCGCGAGACTACTGTGACAAACTGGATGATAATGTTGCTGGCACCGCTGACAATGCGAAGACCTTTGCCCTTGATAATACCGGTGGATCCGACGCCGATAAGAGTCTTGTCCGATGCGACGGTAATACCCAACACACCAGCGTTGTCGCTAAAATATCGTCAGCACTCAGGGATCGCGAATTGGCTACATGGTAGACACGTACTAGGTCACGGAGACAGTTGGAGCATCAGGCTCATAGTTTGTGCACCAGTCATTCTGGTTTATCGCGAGCTGGCATCCAGCTGCAGTTGTCCACGGGGCACATCCGGTGGCAGTGGTGGTGCCTTCGGTGCCAGTGAAATCAAATCTATGTCGGTTAGCTCATGAGTCTGTTGATATATGTGAATATGAACTCATTCATATGTCTGCGATGGGGCTATCCCCGCCGAGGGGCCAGTTAAGTGCCACCATGCCCTCCATCACCATGAATCTCGTTCAGGGGAGGCACAGTAGGTACTTAAAGTTAGGTAAATCCACTCACGTTTGCTGCAGAACAATGACTCGCGCCGAGGAGTCACCGAGGTACGAGACCAACTCGTCGGTCGTGGTAGGATAAACCGCAGTCGCACTACCACCACCGGTGACACCCTTCGCGAAGCCCTCTGCGGCACCGGAAACACTCACAGCTGTGGCGAGCCGGGCTGCAACGGCCAAAAGACTGAGAACAGTGGTCAATGCCATAGTGGAGGTCGTCAATAATGCTTGGCCGTGCTCTACTCTCAACTCGCCGAGTACAGCTCCTTTATGTGTTTTCCAACCCCACCGGTCAATATAGGGAATACTTGGCTAGTAGCACCTAAAGCATCTACTAGGACATAGAAAGCAGTGGGTCCGGCGACAAGTGATTAGAGAATGGTGGATTAGTGAATATCCGTGAATTGGAAACCATGTGGTGAAGTTCCTCAGCCGTGATTGATGGAGGCGCGCCACACAGTTTCCCGTCCTGTGCGGAGTACTTCCCGTGTGCTGAATGTGCCGGCTGGGGGCCAAGGTGTCAGTGCACCCACTAAGAAGCAAGGGAGCATGAAGAGAAGCGGGGCCAGCTCTAGGAGCCTAATGACTAGTGCCTTGTCAAATTGCATTAGACTGAAATGTCTGGGCGGTGTTCCGCAAAGACTGATTGACGGAGGGTTCGTCTCATCATTTCCGCCGTTTGCGGAGATTTGTCCGTGGGGCTATAGTATGCTTCAGTATAAGGGGGAGGATGAGTTGACCGCCAAGAGGTCCGGATAGAAGTCATTTCCCTCTAAGTGTGAATCGTTCGAATCCATGCTATCGCGACTATTTTGTCTTTGCTTGCGAGATTCGTGGTGGGCACTTGTTGCGACAAAACAGGTTCGGTACCGTCACCTTAACTAGTTGCATTCTGAAATCAAGGAACCGGAAGACTAATGCATATAACACAGTTTCTTAACTATTTTAACTATTGTATGGTCTGATATGATATGGCGAAAGAGATAAGCACCTCGGATAAAGGCTTATGAGAGTGTTTGATAACGCTCTTGGTTGTGCCAGTACCAAATCCAGTGATTCGCATTTAGAGGTAGCAAAAGAAGAGTGGCATCCTTGGGGCGGGTATATCTTTTCCATACGTACAATTTGACCGCGGCGACATTCGCATGTCTGTCATCTAGGCTGTTCGCTTAAGGAATTCCCCATGAGAAAAGAAAAAACAGTGTCGGCCTTGGAACGACTTTTAAAAGCTGTCTTCATCCGCTCCATATTGGTCTATTGAATTAAGGATGCCCACAGTATCCGTTGCATGGCTCGCAGTGTCTGCAGCCAATGGCCGTACATTCAACTCGGGAGAATTCATCTAGGCCCGTGTAATGGACGCAGACTATTTCTTTGACCGTCGCCAACTGCCCCTTTCTCAAAAGTAGCCCACGTGTTGCGACACAATGAACGGCCGTCAGCCAGTGCCAGGTCAGTCTGCGCTTAGGCCTTACCCATCGATTGGCTCCGAAGAGGCATCGCGTACATTCCTAACGATTGAGAGTATACTGCATGCAAGACAACTCGCTGCGCGCCAAGAACGTTTGCTGTAGATATGGGACCAACTGGGGAATGTCGCCAGCATAGCTGTCGAAATAATCAGTAAGGCTTTGCATGGTCGTATTCCCGGGTGCTTGTCACAAAACCAGGATCCCTGCTTTGAGCGATGCGCTGACGCACAATGAATGATGAAAATTGTATATAAACTTGTTGTGCTGGGGGCACATTTCCCGGTGTTTTGCACTTAATTCATCTCACCCTTGTCAAACCCTCCAAAAGAAGTGCCAGAGACTCGATAGCGAATCCCACTTTCCATAGCAGTGGACGTGCCGTGACGACTATACATAAGATGCAGAACTGTACTCCGGTAAGGGGAGCAGTCTCTCCACTTATCCCTCCGACCTGTTTGAGATTCGCTATTTTAACCATTGTGACTAATCCAATCATATCTCACGCAGACGCTGTTGCCCTGGCATCGTGGCTGGCTATAGACACGGGCCGCACCCTCAGAAAAGTCAGCACGAGGCTCACGATCTACGACATTCACCAGAGACACTTTACAGTGCCGGCGGTACACTTCATCAAATACACCGGGCATGCTGGCTACAGCACGATCACCGTGCCCAGGAATCTGGAAATTGATGAGCATGAGGTGATCTTGCATCTGGGTCGGTACCAGATGGACGTGGGGTCAGGTTTCGGGAATGCTAAGCCCTCCTTTGGGGTGATCGAACGCCACTCCGGACAACTAATCCCCGAGACCACGTTCCGGTCCCGCTATGACCGTGCTCGGCTGGAGCCTGATGGACCAGAGGAGGTTGTCATCTCTGCGGAGAAGGTTTCAGAATCGTTCATTGCTCACGCACTACGGTTGGTGTCTCGCTTTAATACGGGTCGGATGGCGGAGCTGGGCGTAGAGTGTGAAGCATAGCCCTGAAGGCTCTACATCTGACTTTCTCGATCGTCTTTCGTATGTACGCAGGCATGCTTTGAATTATGCAATAGTATGCATCATTGGATAAAATCACTTTTCTCTTAATGCGGTCACTGTTCTTGTAAACGACAAATTAGCCCAGTAGCCGTAGGCCTCTTATTACTATGCAACAAAGCCACTGCAGAACTTGGGGCTGGGCTTATATCGATTAGCTAAAGATATGAATCCTAGGATTGAGAATGTTTTAGTAGCTTGCAATGCCATGCAAGACACTCGCCATGTTTTTATGTTCTGCTTTGAGTTTCAAGCCATGGCGAGCTAGGTATGAACGTCAGGAAACTTAAGTCATAAGGACCCATACACAACAATCAAACATCTGGACCTCCACAACAGGTCTGTTGTTATAATATACTTCTTAGAACCACACGTTCCTGGTAAGAAACGCTTTCAGCTCACCAGATCTCCCACAAAGGTCTCGTACCAAACAGACCCACTGTTATGAAAGAAGTAAGCATGAGAGCCACTCTAAACTTCTACTGGATGTGGTCTATGACGAACTTGTTCATCATATTTACGCTACGCTGGCACATTGCTGCGTTATGGTGTGGTAGATAACGCTCTTATGGCCACTGTCTGGGATAGATACTTTCTATGAGAAGTTGTGCTGTTGTATGTAAAATCATCAAACCTCTGATACTGTATGGACAATACAAGTTTACTAGTAGTGCAGTGGAGCCAGTTTCCGATACGAACCGGCCAATAGGAAGCTCCCTTGCTAGCCACAGGCAGCACATAGCCCCGTCTTTGCGGTGGTCATCACGATCGAGTCAGCCCTAACATGACCAAGGGACTTGAGTAAAAAGCCTATCACTGCATGTCTGATCCTAACACATATAAAATACCCCTCCGCTCACTACTTACGCCCTCTATCCCTGTCACTTGTCATTTACGAGGACTTACCCTCCCACTACTACCTCCCATCAATCGCTACAATGACTTTCCTCACCATCCTCATTTTTTCAACCATCCTCGTAAGTTGACCTCACCGCAAGACAAAGACCCCAGCTCTAACAACCAGCCCAGTGTATCTTAACGCAAATCCTGTACAACTTCTACCTCCACCCATTATCCCGCTACCCTGGCCCACTCCTCTGGCGCGCCTTCCGCTTTCCCTTCATCTCAACCAACATCCGGGGTCAACTGCCCCATCGCATCCGCGCCCTCCACGAGAAATACGGCGACGTCGTCCGCGTCGCCCCGGACGAATTGTCCTTCATCGACCCCACCGCCTGGCGCGACATCTACGCCCCCTTCTGCACCGACTCATCCTCGTCCCACTCCACCCCAGCAGGCCGCGAATTCGTCCGCCCGCACCAATACAAAGACCAACCTCCCGGCAAAACCGCCACGAATCTTATCGCCTGCTCTGAGACCGAGCATACGCGACTGCGCAAAATCCTCGCCCCGGGGTTCTCCGAGCAGTCAGTCATGCAGCAGGAACCCATCGTACAGAAATACATCGATACGCTGTTCACCAAGCTTGACGCACAGATCGTTGATAGCAGCAACGCATGCGCGGACGTCGATATGGTCCAATGGATCAACTACCTCGCCTTTGACGTGATAGGCGATCTCACCTGGGGGTCCTCGTTTGGGTGTCTCGATGGCCTACGGTATCATCCGTGGGTGCAGACGGTGAGCCAGTTCAAGGCTGCCATTGTCGTGGGGTCGTTGAAGTTCTATCCGTTGCTATATCGAGGCTTGATGGCAATCACGCCTGCTGAGGCGCTGAAGCCTGTGATGGAGATGTGGAGGGTTACTGAGGAGAAGATGGCGGAGCGGGTTGCTAACCATTCATCTGCAAAGAGAACAGATCTAGTAGGTACAATGATAGCTTCGCAGGCGATGACGCAGGAGGAGATGGAGGTCAACGCGATGCTGCTCGTTGCCGCGGGGAGTGAGTCGATCACCACTGTTATCACGCGGGTGGTGAATCACCTCCTGCGAGAGCCTGATGTGCTTGGTACATTGGTGGATGGGCTTAGGCGGACGTTTGAGAAAGAAAGCGACATCACTGCTACACGGCTGAAGTCGGTCCCGTATCTGGATGCAGTGCTGAATGAAGGAATGCGGCTGTGTCCGACGATCCCGGATGCGATGCGGAGGCAGGTGCCCCGTGGGGGAGCAACTGTGGCGGGCCATTTCGTGCCGGAGGGGATGATTGTCTCTATCCCCCCGTTTGCGAGCTATTGTTCCTCGCGCAACTACACCAGCCCGGAGGCATTTGCCCCCGGGAGGTGGTTGGGCGAGGAGCGGTTCCGCGGGGACAGCCGGATCGCGTTCCATCCGTTCTCGCTGGGGAAGCATAATTGCCCTGGCCAGAGTTTGGCCTGGTTGGAGCTCAGGTTGGTGCTTGCACGACTGTTGTGGAGATATGATCTTTCCGTGCCACCGGGGGTGGAGCTACCGCGGTGGAAGGAGCAGGCAATTTGGTGGTTCTGGGACAAGAAGCCGACAGTGGTGAGGGTAGGGGCGGTTCGATAGAATGCGCTTTGCCTGTCCTAGATCAGACCAGCCATTTCTAATGATCAGAAGTATGGGACATGCAATGGCATGTAAGCTTAGAGCTGTGAATTGACAAACACATTACACATGACAGAGCAGATAATATGAATATTTGGACACTGTGTGTGCAGAGGCTGCCCCATGTACGTGAACTAATCTTCCAGCACTAACAACCACATAACCTACAAAGAAGTCACAAAAAAAGGGGGCTGCACCGTGAAGCTGGTGAGCGTAGCGCGCGGAAGTCTTTTGACGGAACGCTATCGCTGGGAAGAGGAAGATGGCGTGTGGCGGATTGTTGAAATGACGGAGATCAGCCGGGAGTTCCTCTGAGGTTATGGGTTATCTTCTCCATAGCGTGATGGGTCGCCGTGGGTACATGTGGCCTCCTTGCGGAAATCGACAAAGCCGACCAGTGTGTGGATGTTCTTCGACGCAGCGACCCTGATCCCGCTACAAGCATATTTTCTTCTGAGCTTTGAACTTAGTCGAGTACATACCCAATCCCGCTGTCTCAAGAGGATTTTTCGACCCCCATCCTTCGCTTACACGAACTGTATCCATGATCTTCTTGGGAGGGCCTTGTAAGAGTATGAACAGGAACTATCCCATTGTGGGGAGGAAACACACACTCCAGTGCGACCCAAGTTATGAATATATCTATATAGCGAGGTTGAGTAAATGCTTTCTTACATTTTATACTGCGAATAAAAGTTATAGTCACAGGAAAACATCCAGAGTGGCTTACTTTGTGTTTTGGCCGTGCTTAAGAAACGAAGGAAAAGAAGCCTTGGTATGAGGCTACGATCAGCTGCACTGCATGAGTTTCATGGAATTGTATCGGTAGCGAGAGATTCAGTAAAGCATCTGCTGTGCTCCGACCTCTTAAGGAGATTGTCTGTTCCCTGATATGCACCCCTCACAGGTCTGCGAGGAGTTTTCTTGATGCGATGACATTTGCCGCACCCAAATCTACGTTGGGCAAGCGGGAAGGCCCGGGACTCAAGACACGTTCCGGGGGAACAGGTGGGGATAGTGGGTAGCTCAAGGGTCTGCAGCACTTGATGAAAGATATAGCAGTCGGTTGTGTAGATCCAAAACTGCTGGAGCTATGCCTACGCATCTGCAATTATATGTCATTCTCAGCGGCTTCATGCCGACATCCACGTCTGTGCATCGATATATATTATGGGAATGATACACTAGCTAACACAATCTCAGAATTCTACGCAGCGTATGAATAATATTCTTGGCACATCTCTAATTTTCCGAAGCTCTTCTTTGTACTAAGCAGTTGTTCCATACCAAGAATGGCGATCCCAATAACCTGCCGCATGCGGGGTCATTGCGATCCGGATTGTTCAACTGAGCAAGGGGGGTGTGTCCGGTTGACCCGAAAATAGGCATGATCGACCCCACCCGTGCCTCTGGTATGTTTCCCCGCATCTGGTCCAGGATGCCGCTACACTATACGGAGACCTTACACATAAACAATCAAACCATGGGACTCTTTTCTTTGTGAGAGGGGAGAAGGGCACTTTTAACTTCCATCTGTTATGATGGTACTTGTCCTGTAGGGATTGTGCAAGCTTGAGCTCAAGGGTGATGACACTCACCCCATGGTTTATCGGCTTATCGCGATATCTTATCAGCAAGGGACTGTCCTTGGCGGCCGTACACGGCTGTTCCTGCAATGCAGATAAGCCTAATCCCCGAAACGAGGGGCAAGATGCCTCTCTCCATCTCTCCCCAAATTCCCTCATAAATAATGTGGACCCCCCCCCTCCTCCTCTCCCCTGCCTATTTTCATTACACCTGATCCCCAATCCCTCCACCAACCTAATAATCCATCTCCCTATACACAACACCCACCCCGCCACCACCAACATGTACAACCCGAAAATCGGCGACCCCCTCTCCGCCCTCGACACCCCGTCCATGATCGTCGACCTGGACCTCATGGAATCCAACATCCACAAACTCTTCTCCACCCTCCTGCCCACAGGGCGCAACATCCGACCCCACCTCAAAACCACCAAGAGCGCCGCCCTCGCCCGCAAGCTCGTGGCCGCCGGCGCCAAGGGCTGCTGCGTGGCCAAGGTCTCCGAAGCGGAAGCGATCACCGCCGCCGGCTTCGACGACATCCTGATCACGTGCGAGATCATCGGGGCTCCCAAGGTCCAGCGGCTGGTGGAATTGGTGCAAAAGCACCCGGGGATCCGGATCGTGGTGGACAGCGCGGCGGGGGCGACGGCCATCGATGCGGCGCTCGGCAAAGCCGGGGGGAAAACGCCGTTGGCGGTGCTGATCGATCTGGATGTCGGGCTGCATCGCACGGGGGTGGCGGATACGGCTGCTGCGTTGGCGCTGGCGAGGCATATTGCGGACAATCTCCAGAATTTGAGCCTGATCGGCGTGCAGGGGTATGAGGGCCACTTGCAGCATTTGCACAGTCGGGAGGAGAGGAAGAGGGAGTGTCTGGCCTCGATGGCTATCTTGACGGGTACGGCGGAGGCGCTGCGCAAGGAAGGATTCAATATTGAGGTGGTCACGACGGGGGGCACGGGTACCGCGGAGTTCTGTGCCTCGGTGCCGGGGGTCACGGAGTTGCAGCCGGGGTCGTTTATCTTCATGGATACGGACTACCGCAACGCGGTGGGCGGGTTCTATGCCAATAGTTTGACGATCTTGTCGACGGTGATCAGTCGGCAGGGGGAGAGGCAGGTCACTATCGATGCCGGGTTGAAGTCGTTGACGACCGATAGTGGGCTGGCGGAGTGCAAGGATGCGAAATACGTCCACCTGAATCTCGGGGATGAGCACGGGGCGTTGAGCTGGGAGGCAGGCACCACCGATTTGCAGATTGGCGATCGGGTGGAGATGGTTCCCAGTCATATTGATCCGACTATCAATTTGCATGATTTCTACTATGCGCACCGCAATGGGGTTATTGAGGAGATCTGGTCGGTGGATTCGAGGGGTAAGGTGCAGTAGAGTGGAATATATGCAAGATCATTCCAAAATTCATATTGCAGAATTGTATCGCATTCGATGCGTGCCCTTTTCCTACAGTTTACGTCCCCTAAAGGGCTTCTGGCCTAGCTTGCGCGGCTGTGCTGAAGCACTCTAGCAACCTACCTAGCACGATATTGATTTTGACACAAACAGCATTGGTACGCTCAGCTTTGAGTATCCGTATCTACAACAAGGATATTCCGAATTGACTTGTCTACTTCGCATCACGGCACTCTAATTCGGTCCCTCCCAAACTCGCAGCTTGACCGGCAGCGGCGCCTTGACCCACACCGCGTATGTCTCCTGATCCTCCCACCGACCGAGGCTACCCTGCGCCTGGAGGTCAAAACAATACAGCAATTTCCCCAGGATGAGGACAATCTTCATCCGCGCCAGATTCTGCCCGATACAGTCGCGCGGACCCTGAAGGAACGGCTGGGTAGCGCGTCGGCGGTCCTTCTCGAATCTACCTTCCGGCCGCAGCCAGCGATCGAGGTAGAAGCTCGTAGGGTCGCTGTAATTGTGCAGGGACACGTTGGCGGCCCACTGCATGTAGGAGACGACAGTCTAGATTTTGCGATACAAATTAGTCCTTTAGCTTGATGGCTCATCCGATCGCATGCTTCTCTCATGACTGGGAAGAGATTAGGGCTACCTACCCCCTCCGGGAAGAAATCCCCCGCGATGGTGTGCCCACCCTCGGGAATAAGACGGGTCAAGCCAAGCGGCACGGGCGATGTGAGTCGAATCCCCTCCTTGATAGCAGCGTCGAGGATCGGCAGCTTCAGCAACTTCTGGACGTTCATCTGATCCGCCGTGGCAAACGCACCGCGCACCTCGCTTGTCACACGGTTGAGGACGGTCGGGTTTTGTAACAAGCGGAAGAGAATGCCTGTGATGGCCGTCTGGAGCGTATGGCTCCCCGCGACGATAAGAGTGGCTGCGTTGACCACCATCTCGCCTTCTGACAGCTCGTGTCGAGACTGCTGCACAAGGTGGGCCAGGAAATCCGGTCTCTGCACGGTCGCCCCGGGCTTTGCGTCATTGACCTGCAGTTGCTGTAGCCGACGTTGCACTTTCTTCCGGGTCGTGGCTTGGTGCTGGGCCATCAGGACACCGGCAGATTTGGGCAACCGCTTGACCAGATAGTCAAATAACCAAGGGTAAAAGCGGCAGGAGGCGAGCTGGCCCACCCATTCGTGATACCGCTGATGCTCTAGACAGCCGAAGTCTTCACCAAAGCTTAGAGCACAGATGATGTCAAACGTGCAGAAGCTGATCCAGTTCTGGAAGTCAACTGTAGCGTCTTCGGCTTGGGATTGCAGCTGCGTGATCATATTGTTAACATATCCGGTTACGAGGGGCTCCTGGGCCGTCAGGGCTTGGGTGCTGAACGCGGCTGCATAGGCCTTGCCGAGTCGGTTGTGGTCCGCATCGCAGGCTCCGAGGATGCTGATCGGTTGGCCTGGTCGTGGCGGTGGCTGGCGGATGGGGTCCTTGGGGAGCGATTTGAACTCCCCGCTGATGGGTCGACGCTGGTAGATGTCCTTGACGCTGTCGGGGTTGATGAAGGAAACCTCGTTGGGCGCCACGCGGACGGTCTCACCGTACACCTCGTTAAAGTGCTTGATTTCGTGTGCCAATTGGCCGTTGCGGAAGGCCAGCATATATGGTATTCGGGTCAGGGCCCAGAGGAGAGGTCCATTGTAGGGAGATAGAGGATGAAAGTATAGTCGCCTGATAGCGAAAAGCACAGGAAACTTGGTGGTTCGGTTAGATAGGGTTCAACTCAAACTCGACCGGTGTTGGTGCAAGAATACTTACCAGAAGAACAGTGATGAGAGTAGCAAAGAAAGGCGAAATGACTGCCATGATTACCGAGCCTCGCAGCCAGGAAAGAAGAGACGCTTAGGGACAAAGACGGAAAGCAATCTGTGGCAGAGCGTACAGTTCACATAGTTATATGTACGCCCGTAGCGCGAACGACGAAATCTCTACCCGGGTACACTGGGTGGTATCTCCAAGCCGGTGAGATCTTAGTCTCGACTGGATATCAAGGAATAATAGAAAAGGTTGGGCCATCTAGTCTGGCTCAACTTGATGGGCGTTTGTGGTAGGAGCGAATGTCATTTTGCTCGAGACGGCGCGAAGCTAGTACCAGTGTTGGTTTTCCAAGCATAAGCACTAGATGCGCCATCTTGTCGATCTCACCAACGGTGGCGCCCGATCGACCCACTTTGTTTCTTTGTTGGAGTGACAGAGTTTGGTGTCTGGGCTTCAACGGAACGGAGTCCCAATCAGGGGAGACTGATTCGAGCAGATGGAGGCTGACCCCTTGTCCATATCCTGCTGGTTGGTTGTTTTGTTGGCTGAGAGAGCGCTGGCGGGTGGTACTATACTGTACCCCGGTCAAATCTAGTGATTTGGATGACACTACCTATCACATTTCACTAACGGATGTAAAGCTTGGCATTCACACTCTCACCTACTTAGAAATCGAGTTTATATAGCTAGTGGGAATCTCAGGAGCTATCCCAGGACAGAGCACATAGGATCTAGCTGAGAATGAACATAGCACCCTACACAGGGAGGTTGGTAGATTGTTAGGCAGCCTAGCCTAGCAGTACTGTACAGCAACATGGCCACCACATGCAGCCAATGCAATGAGCAACGGTATTGAAAGTCTTTATACCCTACAGCAATGCGCCCCGTGTCTATATGCGGGTTCCAACACAAGCCAAGACAAAAGAAACCAGAGCATAAACAAGCCAAAGTCACAAATGAATGAGGTTGGACTCTCTCCTCCCCGCCCAATGATCTATCGAGCAAGTCCCCCGCCCTGTAAATCTCTATCCCTTTGTCGTCCGTCTTTGTCCCCGTCCCTTGGTAAGCCAGACCACACCATACAACAGCACGAAATTGGAGCAGCAGAACCCCAGAAACGCGGCCCAGTTCCACCATCGCTGGTCGTATCCATACTCCAACGTCGCCAGATAGTCGTCTCCCACCATATACGGACAATAGCCGCAGTCCGCGGTGGCATTGGGGTTAACCAGATACCCAGGGTTCTGATCCAGATACAACCGTCCCCCACCACTGCCGCTGGGACCAGCATACTGACCGCAAGTCAAGCCGGGAGGCGGCTCGAAGCGGACGAGATCCGAGACGCCACAGTGCACGGGGACGTCATGCAGGACGACGCCGACGGTGGCGCCGAAGAAGTAGCGCATAGGGTCGACCCAGAACAGCCAGGGGCGGTAGAAGTCGTTCATGTAGGCGTGGGGGGTGAGGACGCCGGAGCAGACCATCAGGATGACCCAGATGAGGGAGTTGGCGTAGCCGGCCAGGGTCGGATCCGGGAAGCAGGCGGCCAGCAGCTGGGAATAGCCGATGCTGAACAGGGCGAGCAGCAGCCAGGTGAAGTAGTAGAGGCCTGCGATGGCGGAGACGCCCGCGGGGAACCCCACGGTCCAGTACGTGCCCAGAAACACCACCGTGTAGATCCCCAGCTGCCAGGGGATCTCGACGGCGACGAGCGCGGTCACCAGCGCCCGCCAGTCGTAGATCCCGTTCTGCTCGCGCGCGGTGAAGATGGCCCATTTTCGGAACCACATGTCCTGCAGGTCGGCGCTGGTCGTTGGGATGATCCATGATAGGAGCAGTACGGCGATCATCTGGTTCTGCAGGCCCTGCAGGCTGGAGCCGGCGTGGAAGAAGCTGAAGGCGATGAAGAGGGAGACGAAGAGGCTTTTGGCCGTCTTGCTGAAAAGGTACATCCCGTCGCGCCATACGGAGAGCCAGTGGCGCTGTGTCACGGACACGGTTTGTGACCAGAGCGATAGGGCGTATGCTGCTTGGCTGGAGGTAGAGGTAGAGGAGTGGATGGGAAGATGTGGTGGCATGGTGGTGGTGGGGGCGGCGTTCAATTGGCCGAGGGTCGCGTCGAGGGCGTTGCGTTCCGGAGACTCGCGCCAGATGGCGGGCCAGTCCTTCGAGCCCTCCCCTTTGGAGGTCACCGTCGAGAGGATAAATTCCGCTGGGTTGGCTTGGCTATCTATTGTGGCACCGTATCGTCCGAAATACTCGACAACCTTGGAGGAGTTCTCCCCGGTTTCACCAAAGTAAACGGTCTGCCCCCCCGGCGCGAGGAGCAAGACATGATCAAACATGTCGAAGAGAACCCCAGATGGCTGGTGAATGGTGCAGACAATGGGAATCCCCTCTGCCGCAATGCGCTGCAAGAACTGCACGAGCGCAAAGGCCGCTTGACTGTCCAGACCGGAGGTCGGCTCATCCAGAAACAAAAGCGAGCTGGGGCGCGCTGCCAGCTCCACCCCAATTGTGACGCGCTTACGTTCCTCGACGCTGAGCTGGCCGTCTCCGGGCTCGCCAATGAGGGCATCGGCAATGTCTTCGAGATCCAGCAAGTGGATGATGTGCTCGACGTAGGCCAGCTTATCCTCCTCCGCGACTTCGGCGGGCTGGCGCAGGCGCGCGGAGAACTGCAGGGCTTCCCGCACCGTGGCATTGGGCTCGTGCACGTCCTGCTGCATGACGAATCCGCAAGACCGCGCAAAAGACGGGTCCAGGGGTGCTCCACCGAGGCGCATAGCGCCAGTGATCCGGCCCGTATTTTTGCGTTGGGCGAGGGTATCCAGCAGCGTTGTCTTCCCGGCGCCGGAGGCCCCCATTAGGGCTGTCAACTGCCCCGGGCGAGCATACCCGCTCACATCGCGGAGCAGCTGTCTTTCCTTCCCTGCCACTGGAACAAAGTAGCTGACCTCCTTGAAGGTGAAAGTTCGAGCCACTTTCCTTGGAGGGTCAGTTTCGACCTTTTCCAGTGCATGGGATGCGGCTGGCTCGGTGACCGACTGCGTGGCGGACGAGGACCCCGAGGACCCCGAGGAGCTGGCCGTGGACTTGGGCTGGTTCTCCTCATCGCGTTGCTTGAACCGTTTGAAAATCCGACCGTGAGATCCTCCCGATTCGCGCGTCATAATGGTAAGCCCAATGCATCCCAAGACCACATAGAGGAACCACATAACCAAGACGATGCCGAAATTGCGCCACAGGTGGCTTCGCGTGTAGCCAAAGTGGTCTGCCAGATACACCGAGCCAGGGACGGATTCCTGGCCCATAACACTTCCGGTGATACTGCAGGTCTGGTACTGCAACTGGGTGTAGTTCGACCCGGACGGAACCATATCGCTTGCGGCACAGGTCAAGGTGATTCCATCCAACTCATTTGCCAGTAATGCTTCCAGCGCGTAGGGCGACGGCGATGCGCGGCGCAGCCACGAACCCCATCGTCGCTGGGTAGGCCGGGTCGGACCGAAACCCGAATATAGCAGGCCAACAGGGATCGCGCTGCCGGCCATCATCAGCGTCAGCGAGATATTGGGGACCCAGGCGCCGAGCATGCGGAACAAGCTTTGAACGGCCGCGTAATGGGTGAATATAAGCAAGACAAAAATCCAGAAAGTGGACGCGGTCTGTTGGAGACCAATCTCGAAGTAATACAAACAGGCAAACAGGAGACACTGGAAGAATGCAATCGGAATGTCGGCAAGGGTCTGGGCGATGACGAACGCGCTGGGATGGATGAACCCATATTGCACCTGTTTGAACAGGATGTTCCGCGACTTGACCGTGGAGACAGCCTCCGTCAGGGCATTGAGATAGAAGTAGATCAGAGAGAAGAACAAGGCACTGCTCTTCTCATACGTGCCGGTGACATCTTTGGGAGCCTTGTAGTAGGCCGGACCGTTGATCACCGCGTTGAGGGCGACAAAGGCCACCAGGGTCAGAAAAGTCCACTTATCGCCCCACAGCAGCTGGTAATATCGACGCATGGCAACCCAGATCTGCTTGGCCAGCGTGCTCGGGGCAATCGCCTGGCGTGGCACCCAAGACGAACGGATCTGGTGCACGTCGTCCCGGAAGGCCTGGACCCGTTGGCCATCGCTGGCTACTTCCGCCTGATACCGAACGATATCCTCTTGCAGCTGACGATACTCCGCGCTCTCACGAAATGCGGCGGCGAGGCCATCCGGATCGGTGGGCACCGGCCCCGCTGCATCTTTTAGAATAAGACGCTCCGCGGGGGAGGTGACGGCGGTCAGGAAATCCGGGATAGTCTGGCGATCGCGACACTCGAAGCCCAGTCTCAGGAAGTAGTCTTTGGCTCGCTCGGCGCGGCCGCAGAAGATCAGCCGGCCGCCGTACAGCACCGTGACCCGATCAAAACATTCATAGATGGTCTCAGACACTTGGTACATGGACACAGCATTACTCATGCCAGATTGCGCAGCGAGGGAAGTGATGAGCTGGACGAATTCAGTGGCGGAGGAGCTGTCCAAGCCCCGGGTGGGATTGTCCCAGGCCGCGAAGGTAGGGTTGACCGATAGGGCTTCAATCAAAGTCACCCGCTTGCGCTCTCCGCCGGAAACACCTCTCACGAACGAATTGCCCACGATCGTGTTGGCAGTGTGAGACAGTCCGACAGCCTTCAAGGAAGCCTCGGTCATCTGGTGGGCAAACTCAGAGTCCGACCGAGCTTCGGTCGCGGGCTTGCGCAGCTGGAAGGCAAAGCTCATGGTGTTTTTGACGGACAGAGTAGGGAAATGGAAGTCTTCCTCGCTAGCGTACACTGTCTCGGATCGGTAACGACGTGCCATCTCCTCTTTGGAGAGCGCAGCATACTGCAGCTGGCCTTGGACTTCAACAAACGAGCCGTGGCTGTTGGCTAGAGTCTTCAGCAGGGTGGTGCACCCGGCGCCCGGCCGTCCCAGCACGAGCATCGACTCCCCCGGAAAGATCACGCCACTGACATCGCGAATGAGCTTGCTCGTTGGGGTAGAATGCTTGCCAGTCGCGTGTTGTATGGCTTTGACAGGCCATTGCACAACCTTGCTCACTATCGCTGGCAGAGTCATGATCCCGTTGACCCCGCTGGCAACCCCCAAGACAGTGAGGTCTTTGAACACCACGCCAAGGGCTCGACCATCCTTGCGATAGATGGGAGACGCCGCGGTGGGCTCATCCCCAGTGACTGGTTTCTCCTGATGGAGCATTAGTTTCGTACCTTCTGGTCTTTTTGTTGAGACAACCGCAGATATACAACCAACACTTACCATAGATCGCTGGGCAGGTCAAGCCTGATCCTTGTTCGGCTGAGCTTGGTTAAAGGAGACCAGCCAAATGGCGAGACTCAAGATACTGAAAGAACTAACAGGCTGCAATATAGACCACGGTGCATCATGAGCTTAAGCCCGTTTTATACAGAGGGCAATTCTACGGGGTTGGAGATACGGCAAATTTATTGGCAACGATGACAAATTCGGCACGGAAACTGGCTACAGACTACATGGAAGCAGAACCATGTCATGGAGAGGTATGGTCTTCATGATGAGCTCGGTAGACAAGGAAAGGTAGGTTGCTAATGAGCCGAAAGTACTCGGATTGAAAGAATGGCTCCGATTTGTGGAGGGTTGATGCAATCCCTTGGAGTGGAGATCAATCATGCCGAGATTTTTCGGATATTACCCAATATGGTAATGCTCCAGTTCCACGTGGATCGTATTGGAGGTGACCCTCCCCCCTCCACCTCCATCCATTAGTCAGTACAGAAAGTCGGAGCGGTTGAAAGCTGTGGAATCTCCATTCAGCCAATAAGACATATAATTGATGCCCGAAATGCTGGTAGAGAGAAAGTCGTTCCCCCCGGCAATCTGCTCAAGTGAGGGCGTTCCCATGCCAGGAATATAGCTTAACGGCTCGTCCAAAGGATCCAACAGCTCTCCTGCTGGTGCTGAGAGGTAAACCTCGCTTTAAACAACATGCGATCAATAGGAGTCCCTTGACCAGGTTCGGTTGAGAGGGCAATTACTTACTTGAGCCAGGGGAAATTGTCCGCCATGTTCTCCTCGAGATTCGCCTCGCGAGTTGAGAGCGACAGAGCATCTTTGGCACTCTTCATGATGTCCATGCTCAGCGCTTTGCCGGTGATCGGTCCATTGTGCTCCATCTGATCGAGGCACTGAATGCCACGTTCCACCGACTCGAAGATCATTCGCGCATGCTCCACAGTGACGGACGAATCTAACACGTTATACAGGAGGGTCACGCAGGCAGAGACAATGTAGTTGGCCACGGATGCATCGTTGCGGATACACGTCGCCCTATCCATGATGGCACTGCTTGCGATCGCAATGATCTCCTTGGCCGAGTGGATTGACAAGTCGATGGACTCTTGCAGATTCTCCTGCGTAGGCGAGGCCGGCTCCGATGTCCCATCCGGGCTGTGGCAGAAGCTCGCATACACCAGAGCAGGTCTACGGATCATCATCTTGATCAGGTGGAAGGCCATTCCCAGATGAGTACATTGGATCTCCTGCCACGCTTCACTCTTTGACCGATCGCGATTAGAGAACTGCAGGTAAGGAGGTAGGCCCTGCTCAATCTGCTGCAGCGCCGCGTCGCACTCCGAGATCGTGACTTCAACCCTACGGCGGTCGTAAAGCGCTTGGAGGTTCGCCAGTGAGAAGATCCCGCTCGACACTTTTTCGATGAGCTGCCCGATCCGTGCCATTGACCTCAAATAGGCGCATTGCGTTGTCGGGCCATCCGAGTCTCCCACATAGCCACCTTCAAGAAGTGCACGGGGCACATCCTCGGGAAAGGCAGCGTCAATGTGGCTGTCGAGAAAGCATGAGGGGCGACCGGTGAAAAATGCACACACTCGCTCATAGAAGTAAACGACCCAGAATGTTATGCGCAGCTTATGCATGACGGGGGCTAATCCATTGACGACCTGACTGCGGTTGAGACCCAAGGCCAGCACACTTCGAGCGGCATGCCCTAGATAGAGATAAGCATCATTAGGCCTCATCCCGTGCAACGCATACATAGCCTGATTTTTCATTCAAGTTAGTCGTGTATTGCGCTGTTCAGCTGCTAACTCTTCCATTATGGATGACGACGTATCTGTGGAACCCGTGCCTACCTTGAGAAGTATCAAATGAATCCCCTTGATGCAAGGCTCTTGAAACAACATGCTATAGTCGTTTGACTGTGCCCAGAAATAGTCGGCCCACCGGTCCAGCGTCTCCGCACTGTGGCTATCCTCTCGGGCCATTGTCCGAGCCCCCAGAGCGAGAACCATGTAGACTAGATCTCGGGAGCTGACTTCGCGTCCCGGGGCCGGGGGGGCCCACAGCTTCTCCCACAGGCGAACGATGATGGGCTGTTCGAGGATGGGTAGATGCGGGTGGATGACCTCGAAATAGGCGGCGATAAATCGACGGCCTAGTTCCTGCGACAGGAAGGATTCAGTTGAGCCCCCAGATGAGCGAAGCCCCCCAGATCCGGCGGCGAACATGAATCGTTCCAAGCCCCATTCCCCGAGACCGGTCGGCACTGCCGTCTTGGGTTGGTCCAACAGCCGAGCGTGGGACTGGCGCTTCATACGCTGGTGGATGCGCTGGATGAAGCAGAAATGTGAAGAAGGTCCTAATTGTCCACGCTTCGTCAGTCATTTGGGCGTCTACTTTGTTCTGCATGACACAAGTGGGTCCCCATTTGTCCCTTGTTGGGGCGCTGGAGCGGGGGCATACCATAGAATTGAAAGGAGCCGGTCTGGCTGTTGGTGACTCCGATGCCCGCGCGTAATTCTAATTGCTGCCGATACTCCTCGGGACTGTACCGAGCTGGATCCCCCCCATGACTGACATTTGTAAGCTTGCACCCGTCATTGTCGCTACTGAGGATAAAGCTTGGGGTTGTGGCTTCTGCCACCGAGGGTGGTGGAGGGCTCCTCCGTGCTGTAGATCCCTTGGGGGGCCGCCCTCGAATGCGTGGTTTTTCGCGATACTTGCAGGGCAAACTGTGCTGCCAGCATCGGAGGCACGGATTCTCGCCGTTGCACTTGACCTTCTTGGAGCGGCAAAGCTCGCATGCACGTTCAATACGCATGCCCTTCGACGCTTCTCGTTCTCGGTCTGTGGGGCTATGTTAGCTTCAATGATATATGGGACCTCGTGGGGTTGCTAGTGATCAATGGTATTACATGGTTTGGATTCAGCCATCAGCAGGATGCTTGCAGGGGTGAATAAATTACATCGACGAGGTTGTATGCGAGATGGATGGCTGATGACTTTAAGTTTACTCCAAGTTAGTTACCACCAACATTACCGCTGTTACCGACATTACCGTCACGTGAAGGTATCCTAGGTATTCCATCGGTTTGCTCAACCACATTTTGATGCCTTTCCTCTATGTGTCTGACCTAACTTACTGCTGCTTCAAGAATAGCTTCGCAAACCTCTATGCTTTAATTTTCTTTTTTTTTCCTGCGTGACCAGTGAACAAGTTAGTCAGCCGGACCGCTTACCAATCGCAACTGTAGTGTGTTTTTTTCCACGCGCCAAATAACAGCCAGTGATGGAGTCTCCAAAAATGCCGCTGTCAAAGACGAAGACGTCACTTCTGGTAACGTTACGAGAAGTACGCAGGAAAGAGTTGGAGACCCCAACCACCTCCAACCACATACTGTACTGTGGTATCAAACTACCCATGTCTTAATTATTTGTCAGTGATAGCAATCAGGGAGGTGTGCTTGCCCTAAATAATAGGATCCGATGTAAGCTTCGGAATATTCTTCCGCCTTCCTGCAATCGTGACGAAACAAACACATGATGATGATGCTTCCACCTTGATACTAGGGCAGGCTGAGTCATTTTTTTTTTTTGGATAGCAGTGATCGAGCATTGCTGAATTCCTGAAGTTAAGCTATTATTGTCCAACTGCGAGTAAATCCACAAGGCGGTCGAATTTCTCGCAGTTTATCTCGCAGGACTTGCCGTTTTCCAAGTTGTTCGATCAGCAACCGGCATCGCACACCTCTGTTTCTCGATCACCAGTCATGCCTACTCAGAGGAGAAGCAAACGTTTCCACAACTCCGAAAATGAGATGCCCCGCCCCATAAGAATGCCCGATGTATTCCTTGTTCCCGAAATTTTGGAAGCTATTCTCTTGGGTCTGGACATGCACACATTGCTGATTTCAGCTCGGGTGTGTGGTACATGGAATGCCTGCATCAAAAGCTCTCGTAGGATCCAGCAAGCCCTGTTCTACGTTCCCATCGACGCAGATAGCACAAGGACCCGTCGGAAATCAAGGAAGAACCCTCTTGTGGTGGACAAGATATGGTCCGAATTCATCTATACAGAACTAAACTCGCGGGTGAGACATGGTGCATGGTTTTGCCCTCATACTGCCTCGGACAAAAAAGAAAGAGCGTACCTGCGCCCCGAGGCAAGCTGGCGGCGGATGCTTCTTCAACAACCTCCAACCTCGATCGTCCGCTTCTGGAACCCCGAGTGCCTCTGGGGCCCCTATTGGCATCATCTTCCCAAAGACCAGATGGTCAAAACTGGGGCGGAGTGGAGGCCGGAAGGAGACTATCTCCGCATGGAGAACGTCGCATTTGAGATCGACACGGGAGCAATTTCAGCAGGTCCACTGCCTTTCCTATGCTGGGCAGATGCCACGGCTCTAGGGAAGGCCACGCGCAAGTCCAAGCGCCGCAAGCAGTTACGCCGCGATCATACCCTCAAACGCTATCTTCGCAAGTTCGATCTCACCATCAACACGGAATGTCCTGAGTTCTGGCCGTGGGTCTGGATTGAGAACCATCCGGTACCAATAAGAGATTTTCGTCAGTGGTGTGACACAGAGGATGTCAAGTTGTTGATAGCCGATCCACGTTAGGTTGAAGACTATGATTCCGTCCGACGTTTTGCTTATTCTTCTTCTCTGGTGATTGATCGACCTATGTTCCTTCAAATCTAGAAAGGACTTCTTTTGAGTCATACTTCGCTTAGGAATTATTGCTATATTCCAACGCTTCTCTTCTCACGTTTCTTATCTACAGGAGATGCAACAGAACGGACTCGCCTTCTTCAATGGGAAGCGCTGGTGCTGAGCCTTATAACGGCCACCCGGCAAAAAGAAATCAAAGTTTCTCACCAGGTCTTACTGCAGCAATGAGATTATAAAATTTCAACTCTGTGATTGCCACCTTGAGGTTACTAGATTATACTTATGTTGGCCCTGTGGCCCATCTCGGTGATTCTTACGTAGTTCCTCGGATGACGTTAGCCTCACGGAGTCAGATTTCATCCGTCACTCATTCATGCTCCCTGCTGCTTGACAGCCTTCCTAAGCTTCGTCTCTACCCCTGTTCTAAAACTAAAGCTCTCTTGAATCCTCAGGGTCTGGTTTGATCACGTAACAGTATAAGGACTTTATAGAAATGTTCCGGAGTCTTGAGAGGCAAAAGGTTTTCGTTATTATCATGAGAATTGCCTACTAAAAGATGTTCATGTATGCTTTTTTTGTTTTCTTTTTTTTATTGGCCCAGTTCTCTCAACATATATATTATAATGGCCGGCATCAAGTCAGAATTAAGGTAACGTGGCAACAAAAACATACAACAGAAGGGATTCGCTGGTGGTCACCCACCCAACTACTAACCTCCCGGCGTGTGGCTTAAGTACGGCTGAGCGGACGGGAAGCCCTGTTTTCCACACCCTGTGGTCGTATGTGACTACCTGTCCGTACCCGCAGCCTATATCCGGTAACCAATCGAGCTATCAAAAAGGGTCCACTGCTTGTATTACTTGCTAATCAAATCTATAATCCCATACGCTCATGCCATTCTCACATCGCGAGCGTTCATCGAACGTAGATGTTCGTGTCCATCGTGATTGCGGAGAAACACATCGGGCCATGCCCGTGGTTCGGTTGCTTGGCCTAGATCATGGAGCGAGAGAACTATACGAGCAATGGAGCAATATGCGTATAAAGAACCATTAACATGGGAACCATTAACATGGCCTTGTCGCTCAATCCGCGCTTACCAGATTCCTTTTCCCTTGATAGCAAGGCTATATATTGGACTTAGATGAAAAATGATCTCGCCGGCTACCCACTCCAGTCTCGCTCTTTCCATCCTCCTCACCACCCTTATAATCGAAGCTTCGGCCCAAGCAGGCACCAAACTCCCCCCTTGCACCAACGCCCAAATTCGGAAAGGCGACAAAACCTCTCTGGCCCACTGCGAGTGCTTCAAGGGGGACCAGAAATGCAGCACGCAGTGTCCCGTCAGCTCGCAGCCCCCCGGATCGCCGTGCCCGGGCAACCTCCTCACGCAACTCCACCTGAATGACTGCACGCACCACTGCCGGGCCGACACAAACCACGTCTGCTCTTCCTGCGGGGTGTGGTTCCATTCGCTCTGCACGTGTCTGCAAACAGGCACCTGCGTGCAGCAATACGCCAGCCCGGCACCCGGCGCGGCCTACTGGGTGAAGACGCCGGGCGGCGATCTGGCGACCGTCACGGTCCCCGTCGCGGATATCCTTGCCCTCGAAGTCGAGCATCCCCAGCTGGCCGAGGAAGGGTGGGACTTCGGCCAGTCGGCGAAGGTCTCGAACCCCGCGACGCAGGCCCTGGTCATCAACTCCGTGCACTCCATCACCCACAACCAGATCCACATGCACCTGTGTCCGCTGAACCGCGACATGCAGAAGCTCCTGAGCGGGCTCGTTACGCTGAAGACTCCTCTTTCCCAGTTTAAGAGCCGTCAGCCGGTCCGGCTGACTTCGCAGTTTGGTGGTGCGTTCATGTACTGTCAGGCGGCGCAGGGCAAGAATCAACCGATTTCTGGGAAGGTCATGTCTGATAATATCAAGGCCGTGCGGAATGACAAGAGCCTCTGCGACTATGAGGTTGGGGCGGCGGTATTGAGAGACTCAAATGGCATCACCTGGGGATGTGTCACGGCTGATCGGCTCAGCACGGAGTATCAACGCTTCTGTGCTTGACTGCTGATTAGAGGGGGTTCTTTTGAGATAGGTCGTTGGCTGTGGAGGTCGACTTTTTCTCATATTTTTGTTTCGAATTAAGATTACACGCTCGCGGCGTTTTGCAAGGGTTGTTCTTTGCTGTAGTAAGAGGAGTTGGTTATTGTTTTTCTTTTTCTTCTTCTTTCTCTTTTTTCATATTAAACTTCCCCCAGAAAAGACGCTCTATACACTTCTACTCTTATTGTCACATCTTATGAAGCCCACTAAATTCGGCTTGTTTTGTGGCACGGTGCGGGAATCAAACATTACCGCGTGAAAGAATATACACTCTGTACCGTGGTCAAAGTGAACCAACACTTCTGCCCCAGCTTACATTCAAAACACACACCACAAATCCAAAGTAACGAGTGTGAAGAATGCACGTAATTGTCCTTGCCTACACCATGGGAGTTGGGTTTGTCAAACGGAGAAAGACTGAATTATCCTATGTAACCAAATCAGGAAATGCTCTGAAGCCACGGTTAGGGTTACATCCGGGAACGTCATGGCATCACCATTGGGAGGGAGGCCCACTCGAATGACACCCAACCACAGATATAAAGAGCATATAGGAGCGCCCATCTTTCGAGCCGTTCCCCGCGGGTGTAGCATCTTCCGCCCACAATGTCCAAATCCAAGCTCGCCAACATCGCGACCATCGCCATCCCCAGCGCCGTCGTCGCCGCGGGGCTGACCAAACTCGTCGACCAGCAGACCGAAAAGCCACAACAGCCCCCCCAGGACGGCATCACCCCGCTTCAACAACCGGATGAAACGCCAGGCCTGGTAATCCTCCCCAAAGCCTTGCCCAATACCACGACACCGCTGAGTCCCAAACTCCTCTCGCCACCACCCCCCAAACCGCCCGTCGACCCGACCGGCATCCTCAAATACGGGCACCCGGGCCCCGTGAACGACGAGCTCAACACCGTCTGCCTGTACGGGGCGTACGACCGGCGCACGCGCAACCCCATCTGGGTCGCGGAGCACATGACGCCGGCCTCGCTGGCCAACGCGCCGGGCAAGCGCCGCGACAACTTCCGCGAGGACCCCAGCATCCCCGCGGCGTTCCGGGCCAAGACCAAAGACTACAGCGGCAGCGGGTACGACCGCGGCCACCAGGCGCCCGCCGACCCGGCGCGCTGGTCGCAGCAGGCCGTTGACGAGACCTTCCGCATGTCCAACATGTGTCCGCAGGTCGGGGTGGGCTTCAACCGCCACTACTGGAAGGACTTCGAGGCCTTCTGCAAGAATCTGACCACCCGCTACCCGTCCGTCCGCGTGATCACGGGACCCCTGTATCTGCCGCGGAAGGATGAGGATGGGAAGTGGCGGGTTAGTTATGAGGTTATCGGGTCGCCGACGCCCAAGGTGGCGGTGCCCACGCACTTCTTTAAGTTGATTCTTGGGGAGGAGGAGGAGGAGGACACTGGTGGTGGTGTTGGTGGTGGTGACGGTCTGCTTGGAGGCAAGGTGGCGGTGGGCGCGTTCGTGCTGCCTAACGGGGCGATTAGCGGCGATAAAGCGTTGGCGGATTTTGAGGTCGAGCTGGATATGCTGGAGCAGGCGACTGGCTTGGAGTTGATCGAGAAGTTGAAGTCGACTGCTCGGCGGAAGTTGTGTGAAGAGGTTAAGTGTGACCTGGGGGTCAAGGATTTCAGTAATGCGGTGGAGGAGATTACAGATATGCTGGGTAAAGCGAAGCTGTAAGGGACATCTGGGGCGAGAATGAGATATGTGGTAATTTAGTAACTTCAGATGGTAATGGTGGCCAAGCGCGATCTCCGTGGAGCTGATGTAGGTGGTGGGAATCTACCAAGTCACCTCCCCTACTTACAGAACGATCACAGTCTGCTCGACACGGCTCTACAGGCTTTACGACTAGAAGCAGGGATGGGAATATGATATTAATTATTATTAACAAAAACGAGTGACCAAGATGGTAGAAGATGAACCAGGCGTGTCATGCAGTGGCCACGCCCAAACTCTCGTCGCCAAAAAACAAGATCCTTCAGGGACCGGCGGCAGGGGCACCGGCACCGGCCGGGGCAGCAGGGGCAGCAGCATTCTTTGCGTCAGCTAGCGGCCGCGTGTAGGTGCAGATGCAGCGGCTGCAAGGTTTCGAGCATTAGCACATTTGTTTGGCAAGAAGGTTTGGAAGAGGTTTGGGAAGAAAGAGCTTACAGGTCCTCTGTCCCACCACATTGCCCACTAAGGGCATTGGCGTTCTGACACTGTATATGGCGCATCAGCATGGGCTTGTGGCCAGGTCATACGTGCGACGCAGAGAGGCTTCGAAAAACATACCTGGGTGTTGCATGTTGGGTCGTTGCAAAAGAGCCGCTTGTCCAACTGATTGGCGCCAGCATTGAGGGAGGACGCAGTGGCTGCAGCGCACAGAAGAGCAAATGTGACAATCGAGGAGAACTGCATGATGAATGGAGGTATCGAAGTGTTGTTGGTGGTAGAGTGCTACGAGGAGCAGTGGAAGAATAGAATAGGAGGCTTGGACTGTGATGGGATGATCTGTGTAGAAGGACACTTCCGGGGGGTTACAGCAGACCTTTATACTTCCGTTTGCTCCTGACCACCCCCGGTGCATACAGCAGAGTGTCACCATGATCGACATGTGTATTTTCACTTTTGCTACTTAAACAGTACGTTAAGGGCGCATGATCGAAGTCTGCTACTTCATAGGTTCACGCCACATTCCATAGTGTAGGCATACAGCAATGCGATGTTCAATTCATGGTCCCCAATTCGGGGATCTTCTCAGAGGATGAGTACGATGCGAGCCCTGGTAAGAAGATACTGAACCCATGTCGGGTGGCATCTACCGTCAGAGCCCTGTCATCAATGATCAGCAACCCAAATCACTAGCTAGTTGATAGTCACCGCAAGAATCTGATGGCGAGGGGGAAAATGTAGTAATGCTGGAGAGATTGCGCCCGGACAATCTTACATGTCATACCCCTGACCGATCCCTGACAGCCGTGACATCTGTCATATAGCATGGGACCCACAACATCACAAGTACGGTGCATATTGCTTGTAATTCACATGATCTACTCTAACAAGATATATCACAACAATAATCGGCTTGATGAGCCAACACAATAGCAATGTTGGGATCAACTACCTCATCTCTTCTTCTAACCCTTCACATCGCCGTGGTAGACCCAAACTGATACATCACACATGTCTCCGAATAGATCTCACAACACAGGTAGTACATCTGCAGGTAAAGCGACAGTTTCCGACGACCGGATGTCTCCAAAATCTGCACCAAGTCCTCCAGGCATCGCACTGTACAACCGTGTTCGTACTCCGCCAGCAGCCGTAGCTGCGTCCGCACATCTCCGTCTGCCTCCAGACTTTGCCGCGACGAGAACTCCGGAAAGTCGACCGAGTTGAGGTTCGTGGCGCGTCGGTCACGTTCGATACTGCCCAGGTCATTCCACAACCTGCCCTCCACCGAGATCTGCCGCCACAGCTTCTCGGCCAGATACTTTTCTCGGGCAGTGGGGAAGACATCCCCCTTTTCTGCGGATCCAAGCTTACAAATCAAGGACTTGGAAACCACTGCACTCTTGACGTCGTGCACAGCAGAGGTGTGAAGCCAGGTGAAGAAGGACTGGCCGTTACCGACAGGGGTGGCGCATTCGGGGCTGTCTGAATGCTCTTTTGTATGACCGTTGGTGATATTGTTGTGGAGCGATCGATGCCCTTTGGCTTGGTGTGTGGCAGCAATTGTCGCCATCCTAAGTTCCTCTTGCAGATCGCGTCGATCAGCAGGACTTGGCTTGGTGGTGGCGAGGTTCTCATCCAGCACAAAGCGGATCCAGGTAGCGATGTTGCGTTGGACATTGCTGAGTACACTTCTGGCCTCCCCATTTCTTTCACAGGTGGGCCTCCCCTGAGAAGGGTGATCTCGACAAAGACCATTTGTGCTGTGACGCAACTGCTCAATGTAGTCGGCTATGGCCTCAGAGGCCGAATCAGGTAGAGCCATCAGATCCCTTTCCATCAAGTCGTCCTCCTGGAAGATCCCAACAGAGAGTTCGACCATGCTATAGACTATGCGGGTACTCAACAGATACTCAGGGCGGGAGTTGTTGGCCAGGGTCCAAAAGCAGGCAGCGAATTTGATGTATTTCTCGCCAAGCGCTTTCCCAGTGGAGAAGACATCTAGGTGCTTCAGCTTGTAGCTGAATAGAAGAGCCTCGACAACCGACGCTTCGACCACCCACTTTGGGGTTTTACTCTGCGACGGCAATCGCGCGAAGAATCCGGCCATTTTGCGAATCGTGGCAGCCGGTATCTCAACGAGCATGGATGGTATTACGGCGACTTCGTTACCAGGAGTCGCAGTCTCCCCAGCCGTCACAGCCGCCATGATGTACGAGTCAGACACCGTTGGAATGGCGTACAAGGTCTTGTCTAACCACAGCTGGTCGTCGGTCGAAGAGCGTTCGTCTCTGGAAAGGATAAACTCGATGCCTCGTCTGACGGCATCGTTAACCTCGCTGGCGATTTTCTCAGTATAACTAAAAGATGTCGCACTTTTCAGTATAAGGAGAGCATATGCCGTCTCTTCCGCAGAACCTGCGCTTCCCCAGGAACCGTTCTCCTTTTGAGTGCGGATCGTTCGGATGAGAGCCTGGAACAGCGTGATTGGGATTTGGAATCTCATCAAATCATCAGACAATGCGACTAGGTCGCCAGCACTCCAGCGGTGAAGGTAGGATATCAGGGCTTCGCACATTAGCATTGTGGGGTAGTATGACGAGATGTTCTAAAAGAGTTTCGGTTAACCATTAGGTATCAGGCTTCCTATCTCAAGTAGTCCCTTGACGTACCCATTTGTCCCGAGGCATTCGATCGCACTTGAACCATTCTTCGCACAGGTAGCGAACACACTTCTCAATCTGGGCCTGGTAGCGGTCGTCGGTGGAGAGCAGCACCAGAGCGCTGAGGACGTTGGCGTTTGTGCTGATGCTCTTATGCGTCTCGTAAGAGTACGTTGCGAAATGATCTTCACGCTCAAAGCGATCAACCATCACTTGTGGCGAGTAGCGTTTGCCTTGGAGCATCAGAGCTACCAAGGCCTTAGCAGTGTCATCGGCATCAGGGCATGCCTTGGGTACTATTGACAAGCAGAAACGTTAGTAAATGGCACAGCGGCGATAGTCTACCCTTGAATCTGAGGCAGGGTGCCCCACCGAAGCCTACGAGTCCATGCTGCTTGACTTCTGCCTCAATCGGCTCACCCGTCTGCAGTAGATCGAACTTTGGTTGAATCCCGTTGCGAAGCAGATTCGTGGTCACCTTGGCTGTATCAGCATTTCGTTCCAAGCAATACTCATGATAGGAGGGGAGATCGACATACCCACGCCCACTCAAATACTGTGGTCGGATATCCAGCTGCCACTAGCCCCGATCCCAGACCAGCGCCGTTCAAGATCGCGCTCCGGATATAGTCCTCGGCCTCGTCATCCCACACGGGGCTATACATCAGATATGCCGCTGTCGCAGATGGCGAGCCCAGCATGCTGCCGAGGACCTTGTGCTGTGCTAACCCGCCGAAGTCAATCTTTCCGACCAGAGCCTCCAACGAGTGCAGAAGCGAGGACTGCGGGCCACTGAAGATGAGGTCCAGATTGATCTTGGACAGTTTCTTCTTTTGCAGCCTCGTCAGGTTGGTCCGGTCAAAGTCAAATGTGTGTCCCTCTGCCTCCAGCAGCTCCAGCATGGCTGGGACGCGCAGTTCCAGGCTCACGGGTAGAATACTTGTAACTAGTAAGTCATTAAGATCCTTCAAAGCCGTATCGAGAAACTGTTTTGCTTCAAAAATTCGAGAGTTGAGCTCCTGCGCGTCGACCTCCCCTGGATCTGCAGCGTGTCTTTGCAGGGCAAGAAGAGCCGCCAGAGTGTTGGCTATGGTATCCAACCCGGAATCGGAATGACCCCAACCACCATCGGGCTTTTGGAGCCGCAGGAGAGTCGAAAAAGCGGCGGGAAATGCCCAGGTTGGCGTGCCTCCCTCAATCGCCTTTTTCACCAGCGAGATCCATGCGGTATCGTAGATGTTGCCGGTCATTGTCCCGAGCCCATAGGTGGGATGATGCGAGTTTGCAAAACTCTCCAATAAGCATTGACTCTTTGCCTCGATCAGCATGGCCACCGGATCCTCACGCATCACGTCAAATAGGTGCCTCGAAGAGCTATAGGGGAAATTGGGAGTGGGAATATAGATGGCCGTTAAATCTTGGGAACGCGATGTAGGGTTCTAGCCACACCTTAAATAAATTGTACGCTTACGGAGACTGAGGAGTGAGGCAACGCTTAGTCTATAGAGGTCACTTTGACACGACCACTGGAATATCCCAGCTATAAGTTAGCTCGTTTTGATGCAGCCCAAATCCCCAGCGCAACACGTAGTCACCGAGATTCAAGCGCACTAATGAAAGTCTAATCGGTAAGTCACTTTTCAGTCTGAAAAGCATCTCGGTAGTGAATATGATTCCTCAAGCTAGCCTCAGTTGCATTGCATGTTCAAGTACTGGGCTAGCCTGGACCCGGCTTCAATAGAGCAGGCAAGGTTCTTGCTCGATTTGCAGATAGATGCTGAATCCACCCTCGTCATGAAGTTTACAACCCACGAAAGGTGCTAAATAGTGTTTGGAGACCCAAGGACGTGGAAAGTTGGTCCAAAGGTTTGACCCAAATGATTCGACAACGTAGAATAAGCGGTAGCGTGATGTCAAACCCAAGCAAACATTCTTGTTGAATTTGGAACAATTTGCCGGAGTTCACTACGGGTTTTGAAATTCGTGGCGATGGAGGGTAAGAAGCCAGTGCCACAGGACAGACTCCTGATGGCTTACGGGTATTTTGACGCAGTCGATCGGTACTCTATGATACGCGTGACCAGAACAAATGTGTCAGAGACAGCGGCCCGGATTTGAACCCTTGGCAGGACTGTGGTGGATGTCGATCTTCCGGGTTTGGCAATGCGGAGACTTTCCAGGGGGTCCCATGTCACACCGAGCCCTAAAGTGATTGACATTCATGCAGAATCTGACACCACAAATTCTGCTCCCCTTACTTAGAACTGGCAGGCCTTGGCGCTGCCTGGTTGAATGTGACGCACCTTATCCTGTTGATATCTCTCCCGTCGACACCGTACCCTTGACGGCTGGAAGTGGTGGGATGCGCAATACCCCCGGACCACCACCACTGTTCAAGATGTCTTTGAAGGTAAGTCAAATATAATACCTGGTGTCCTGCATGGCAAGTGATTCTTAGAATAATCGGTCTTCTCTCCTTTCTCGCTCATCAAGCAACATAGAATGCATCCAGCCTCAATGATTGGTGCCTTGCTGCTTATCCGAGAGCACATGGTGCTGAGTGCCCTGAGCCTGACCCTCGTTGGCTTCATTCTCCGCAGTATATATCGTCTGTACTTCGATCCGCTGCATCATGTTCCTGGCCCAAAGCTAGCCGCGATTTCCCATCTGTATGAGTTCTACTTCGATGTCATCCGCAATGGCATGTTCGTTTGGGAAATCGACAGGATGCACCAAAGATACGGTAACGTGAATCTCCATTCGGTGGGATGAACGGGGTCTCCGCCCACCGTGCGCGAACCCTCCCTGCCTAACACGACATATCATCATGGTAGGACCCATCGTGCGGATCAATCCTCGGGAGGTGCACATCAAGGATCCCTATTTCTACGACGAGATCTATGCCCCGGCCACCGGGATGCGGGATAAGGACCCGAAGTCCGTCCACATCTTCAGTGCCCCCGGTGCGATGGTCTCCACCGTCGGCCACCACACGCATCGCATGCGCCGACGGATCCTTACCTCATTCTTCTCGCGACGCTCGATCGAGGGGATTGAGCCGACCATCCAGCGATCGCTGGACAAGTTCCTGAATGCCCTTCGCACTGCCTACAGAGAGGACAAAGTCCTGGACCTCATCAACCGACTGCAGGGGTTGACCGGCGACCTCATCACACAGTATGCGTACGGGAACAGCTACGAGCTTCAGGAGGAGGAGAACATCGGCAAGGGCATCGTTAAGGTGGTCCAGGAGGGGACAGACCAGATCCACCTACACCGATTCTTTCCCGTAATGGGCGCTCTCCTGCGCCTGATTCCCAAGTGGTTCATGGCGCGGGTCTTCCCCGCCCGAGCCCGCGTCTATGATCTGTTGGAGGGCGTTCGGGAGCAGTCTTTGGCCGCGCTGGATTCGAGAAGCGCAGCCCCGGGTGCCGGGGGTGGCCCCAAAACGACCACCATGTTTCATGCTCTTACGGATCCGGACGTTCCCCCGGAAGAACGGACGCTCAAACGCCTCGAGGATGAAGGGTTGGTACTGTTTGCCGCTGGCACCGAGACGACGGCGACCACGCTGTCGGTGGCCATCTTTCATATTCTCAATGATCCAGCGGTATTGAGCAAACTCCGAACGGAACTGAAACAGATCATGCCCACTCCGCACCACCCGGTGACATGGCGCCAACTTGAGAAGCTGCCATACTTGGTATGTACTATCCTATCTCTCTGATGATGCGGTCTTTTTCCTTTCCTTCCTGGTCATCCGCGAAGAGGCCCCTTTCTGATTGAGGTGTTTCCGTGGCACAGACAGCAGTAATTCACGAGGCTCTACGCTTTTCCGGAATCGTGATGCGACAGCAGAGGATGTCGCCGACGGAGGCCCTGAGATATAAGGACTGCGTTATCCCACCGGGTGTAAGCTATTCCTCGACCTCCCTGGCTCCGTAACGACGACGGACTCACGCGGGCCCAATAGACACCGGTCAGCACGATCGCATACTTCGTGCACAGAGATCCCACCCTGTTCCCAGATCCGGACAAATTCTACCCGGAGCGATGGATCCTGGCCGCGGAGCGGCAAGAGGGACTGTTGCGCTATCTAGTGACATTCGGCCGGGGCAATAGGGCCTGCCTAGGAATGAAGTACGTTTTTTCTACAACCCCACTATGTCTCGGGCGGTTTCGTTTGCGGCTAACGTCTTCCCTCTCGTGGCACAACAGCCTAGCCTACGCGGAATTGTACAATGTCTTGGCTACGGTGATTCGTCATTTCGATCTGGAACTCTACCAGACAACGAAGGAGAATGTCCGATTTGTGCGAGACAAACTGCTTCCGCGGGGCAGAGATGGGCCATGGCGAGTGCGAGTGAAAGTGACTGGGATTGTTGAAGAATAAGTGGTATTATACTTTCTGCTGTGGGTGTATTCGGCTCCATAGGGCATTGAAGCCGCCGAGGGGTTCGTAAGAAGCCATAGAAGCACTGCCCCCGGGTCGCAAGTTGTAGATCAAGAGTACTGTACCTGGGTGATTCCAACAATACATACTTTCTAGCTATCATTTTGCACGTAGTGGAGTTGCAAATCGCGCAGTCTACACCGACTGGACTCGCATGTAATTCTGATAAGATACATGCAGACATTGCACATCCCGGCATGTGTCACGCTGTAGTTACAGACGTGTCATATCCTGGCCTCTGTCATCTTGAAGTGACCAGTTGGAAACCTGGCGGGCAAAGCACCCCCGGCCAGCCCGCCTCTCCCCCTTGCGTCGACATTCGTCGGGGTTGAGGATTCTATAAGTCGAGCCATCAGTCACAGCACCCGGATAGTTTTACCCTCAACTTGTACCCTCCCCCTTCCTTCAGCCCCAACCCGAACACAATGGGTCAAGCCGCCTCAGCTCCCCAACCAGGGACACAACTCCAAGTCATCGGAGCGGGCCTGCCTCGAACGGGGACCGCCTCCTTCAGCGCAGCGTTAACCATCCTCCTCGACGGCCCCGTCTACCACGGCGGCACGCAACTCACCCGCGGCAGCCCCGGCGAGCTGAGAGCCTGGATCCGCATCCTCCGGTGCTGGCTGGCCGGCGGGGAGCAGTCGCCGCAGCGGCGGGAATGCCAACGCCTCCTGCGGCATCAGCTCGACGGCTACGCGGCCATCACCGACGCTCCAGGCTGTCAGCTCCTGCCCGAGCTGTTGGCGCTCTACCCAGACGCCAAGGTCATCTGCACGGTGCGTGACCCCGCGGCTTGGGAGAAGAGCATGGCGCAGGTGCACAGCTTTACCCGCCTACACTTCCTCAAGCTGCTCCTCCTTCCGCTGCCCGGCATGCGGCACTTCGTGGACTTCACCTGGCTCCTGCGCCGGCAGTGGTGCCGGCTCTATGCGGACGACCGCAGCCTGACCTCCGTCCAGCAAGTGCGCGACACGCTGATCCACCGCGGCGTCTACGAGCGGCATATCGCCTGGCTGGAGGCGAATGTCCCCGCCGACCGGGTGGTGTTCGTCGACGTGCGTGACGGGTGGGAACCGCTGTGTCGCGCGCTGGGGAAGAAGGTCCCCGCCGGCATTCCCTTCCCGCGGATTAACGATGCGGATGCGATTGCGCGCACCGGGCGGGAGTACATTCGACGCGCGATGGTTCGGTGGGTCGCGATCCTGGGTGTTGGTGGCACCGCGGTTCTTCTGCTCCAGCGATGGAGGGGTTGAATGTGTTTCACAATGGAGGACAGCTCGAGGGTGGCGAGGGAGTGGTGGAGATTACTTAATTTACCAAGTCTTAGATTAGGGTCGATGTAGCAGGTCCGACTGTATTCGCTAGCGAGCCGATGACAGCTCCAGTCCCCCTGGTTGGGGTCTGACCCTGAACATCCCCTGCGTATGGCATCGTCGTCAAAACGAATACCAAAGCTTGGCCTGCCCCGTCGACGGACCCACCAGCGCCTCGGCATTGAAAAGTAAACGCACCCAGCCTCTAGTAACTGTATTTGAAGCCTCCAGTTGAGGTGGGATATTCGACCGCATGGGCCTTCAGCACGGTTTCCTCCCCCCCTGTGCTTGAGGATGTGCAGCAGCACCAGGATACTCGGGTCGAAATGGATACGATGAATAACCGGAAAGGATAATTTGTCCCCCACCATATCCACAAGGGTCTGTTCCGTCCGTATGTGGCGGCCTTAGGGTTCAGGATGTCGTCGCGTATCTGGAAGATTCTACTGAGGAGGTTCGTCATTATGACGCAGCGACAAGGGGGGGGGGGGGGGGGGGGGGGGTTGTTTACCTTTTTAGGTACATATTGTACGCCCAGGGCAAAGAAAGGCCATTTCAGGGTGTCTTATTACCTCCTACCTGCACGGGCATGACGGCCAGATGAAACCAGCCTCCTCCCGTCTTGCTCAACACCATCGCCGATGTTTTGTAATACGGACGAACACTGCCAGGGTATCAGACCAGGGAAGATCCAGCCCCTGACCACGTTGCAAATTCAGGAGCTTGTCAACGGAAGCCTCGTCAGCACGCTGACCCTCTGGCTTGGACAGCCTGTTCTAAGCGAAGAGGTACGCATAGTTTGCGGAATTGATGGTCTGCGTGTCACGACAGTTGCTATGGGCAATCGGCTGGCCGTGAGGACGCCCGGAGGAGTCTTGGATATCCTCAATTGTGATTCGAGGCTTTCTGCTGGGTCCAGTATAGTTAAATTACTCACAGCAGAGAAGCGGTGTGCAGGACTTCACAATCATGCGGATGATGTTGGCCAGCTTGGACGGTATTCACAGTCACGGTCGAGACTCAGCAGGTATCCAACTTGAAGACCACAATCTGACCTGTTATAATGCTTAAAACTACGGAGTACAATTGGTGGTTTGCCTTGTGAGATGACAGGTAAGAGCATAGGCCCCCGCGGAATAAAGCTATGAATTGCGGGTTTCGGGCGCTGCAACATGACAGCTCTAATTTGCATAGTTGCAAATCCGCTCTTGGCAGAGCAACAATAATGCTAGCACTGAATTGTCATCTTACACAGATATCAGTATCTAGAGTCTAATCCTCCCCGAGCCCTTTGTGCTCTGTTCGATCCTGTTAGGATGTGAAATACATGGAGTTTAGTCACCGGAATGGCATGTTCCTGTTCATCAGGGCTCTTACCGCAAGTCACTCCAGCGCTATTGTCTTCCTACAGTTTTGTCAAATGTATGTGAATGTCGAATGTCACTCCAGCTGATAGAGGAAATGGCTACAGCTACAGCCGATGTCTACGCGATAAGACTACGCACCTGTGTTATATTAGCCTCTGGTGATCGTGGTCTGACCCTCTCTAAGTGGTTCACCAGTGTACCCTGAAGATCCAACACAAAAGCAATCCGCCTCGGCCTTGTGGCCAGTGAGTTGGTTGGTCGCGCAAAAGCCTCACGACACGCAGAGCTCCCAAAGCCAACCAAGCATTTGGCTAGTTCAACCAGATATGTAACCTACACTACCGTGTCGGTGGGCATGCGCAATGGAGGTGCTGCAGTGTTGGAGGCGGAATTGGGTCCATTTCGAATACCTCTAACCGCTGCCTCTAGCTTGCTAAGCCCTCCAGGACTATTGTAGAAAAAGGGCCGTGTTCCAATGTCATTGTTGCCTTATCCTTCTATAAGGGCCGCGCAATCAGGGTGAAGTCAAGCGTTGCTAGGTAAAGTAGGAGGCATAACGCCGTTCCCTAGGATGCTTATTCTTGTCCCAAGGAACCCTAAAGAGAACCACACGCCCATCTCGACAGGATCACCCACAAAATGAATCATTGTACACACGGCCTCTGTATCGTGGAAAAGAATGGAAAGGGATATCTCGTCAAGTGTGAGGTACATACTATACGTACTATCTCACTATAAAGACGCACCCAAGCAAAGACCTCCTGGCACGATGTTATTCGCATACATTAGTGGCACCGACCATTAAAAGCCAACCTGTTCCACGGTGCATCCTTTTCTCACAACTGGGCAACCGCCCAGAGCACGGTCGGCATGCCCATATTAAATAACAGGTGAAAGGGCACCGTCCACAGAACTGTATACAGAAACTTAGGCGCCATGACGGTCCAAACGACGGCCTCTTCCCTTCGGAGGTAGCATGCTGCCATGGCGCCGAGAAGGCCATACGCCACGAAGAGGGTCCGGAGTCCCAAGTGCTCAAAGAAGCCACTAGGACTTCTGCGTTCTCCCTGCCCGGTGGCAACCAGCAGTCGTAATCCATTACCACTCCACCAGATCGGACCAGCGTAGTTGCTGCAGAAGGTATGCACGGGGCTCAGCAGCCAGTGGTGGGCTTGAAGCCCGTTGAATCCCTCGGTGTATCGCAGCGCGGCAATCGTGTTCGCATTGCCGAGGGCGAAGAATGCGCTGTGGGTGAATAGGACGATGGCGAAGCAAACTTGAAAGGGGCTGAGGTGAACGGCGGAGGACACTGTGTCATGAAGCGGGGTCAGAGACATCTGTTTCAAGGATATAACAATCGGCCCAGGACAAGACCAATACGCACCAAGCCACTCGAGCTGAAGTCGGTAAATGAAAAGTAGCGGGATATTGGCTGGGACGGTCTGCATGATCAAGTATAAATTCAGGATTTCCAGCAGAGGGAGAAGTTCGGTCGCTGGAAATTGCCCATGTTAGCTGTCATCCAGAAGATCGACAATATCAGGATGTTCCCTTGCCAACTCACCCTTTTCGTTCTTCAGCGACGCGTCCCTGGCATGAGAGCGCAGGGCCACGTAGCCAAGCCCTATAGCCAGACTCACAAAAACAAATTGTGCGATCCGCGTAAGGGGAAGTTGCTCCAGAATAATGCCCTGCAGCCATTCGGGAGCGCGATCAATGAGACCGGGGCGGATTCGGGCCGCAGATGCGAACTTAAATACAAAGATGAACAGGAGTACTGCTCGGTGGGCGAGTCCAAGAAGTGGGTTGTCTTCAGCATCACGAGTGACGTTCCGCCTGCTCTGCGCTGCGAATGTGTAGGAGGTGTGGAGGAGGGTCACCGCAATCAGAAGCCAGAGACAAAGGGGACGTCTATCCAAGAGACCCAGAATGCTGTATACCTCTTCGGGTGAACTCCGGTCATGGATATTCCACCGCTGCGCGAGTAAATGTAAGACAACGGGGGTTAAACTACGGAGGCCTACAGCGTAGGAATGGCAACCGGTAGTGAAGACTACCCAGCCCATCCATACTGTAGAGCTCCAAAACCAAAAATGATGCTCAGCCTCCACGAGATATGGAAACAGCAAAGCAAGGCTGTGGCCAAGTTGAAAGAGGTTCAAGACCAAGAAGTCCCGGTTCAGCGGCAAAGTTGACTTACAAGTAGCACAGGCAAGGAGGAGTGCGATCACAGCGATTGCAATCCCGTAATGGAGAATAGAGACTTGGATATTTCCGCTAGTCGCATTGTCCAGTGCATTCTGAAACTTTTTGCTCATCTACAAAATCTCGTCAGTCATGCATGTCGCGCGCCGGCCAACGGGAATGGATTTGTTACCAGGGAAAGCTCTGCTAGGCTTTTTTCATTGAGAGGCTCCTGTGGTAAATGATGCCTGTCAAGGTCGGTCTGGCAAACATCCATCCCAGTATCCGACTTGCAGAATAACGCACTGAGATGATTGAGATTCTCAAGAACAAGATTGGCTCGATCTTTGATATCGCTCCACAGATCAAGAAGTTCATGAGCGAAGACACCAATGCTAGCGGAGGGTATAGGAATCCCCAGCAACCCTGCCATGGTAGGTACAACATCGACCTGACGGATGACAGTGTAGTAGTCAAAGGCACCAACCGTCGGCGCCACAGGTGATTCATAGGTCCGATTGAGCAACTTAAATTGCGGGGAGATGAACATCATCGCAGCTGACACTTCGGGATCCGATGCACCTCCATGACCCCCCCACCGATCCATGCCATGGTCACCCCCAGCCACGAACAGTGTGGAGTCTAGATGGGCCTCAGTCTCGAGAGCTTCATAAATCTCTCTGATAATAGCATCCATTTGACGTTGCTTTGATGCCATGAAATCACTGTCCGCACCGCCCATGTGACCGACGTGGTCAATGCCGGGAAAGTGAAGGACCAGTGCGCTCCAATCATCGCGTTGAAGCTCTCTCATGGCATTAGTGGACACATTCAGGTCTGGTGAGTGAATATCCTATGCAGGCTTCAGCGTTGCACCGGTCAACCGATGGGTCCTTTTCCTCTTCCGTGCGCGGAAGAAGAGGTGGGCTCCTGGGACTTCGAAACTCACCGGCACAAACAACGGTGAGATAGGACATCCTCGATCGAAGACCTCAGCAAACAGCTGTATCCACGTGTCGTCACCATAAAAGACTAGTTCTCCCCTTCCAGCAGCCTTCAATTGCGCTAACCACGTATCCGTTGTTTCGGGTGTGCCGGGTCCGTCATCGGCGTTGTGAAAAACGTCCAAGAATATGGAGGGTGAGCCAATGGTCATGGCCTTGACGCATGCCCTAGTCAGACTTGGAGAGCCGGTTTTCATAGTAAAAGGCATGGCTGCACCGGAGCGGATCAGTCTTGGATATCATGTCAGCTCAGGGGATTCTGATGGTAGTTTATGAAGTCGCCGACGGATTGATGCCTACTCTTGCGTGAATGAGAATTGAGACTGTGGGCTGTAAACAAAGTCACTGCAATCCTTTTTCTTAGTATCACGTGGTGGTTTTAAAAAGTTGTCGCCACCGGCATCTGTTTCGAAACCTACCTGCGGAGCGCATCAATAATCAAAAACACCACTTTCTCAAAGGAGGCACTTCGCGAGAGGACGCTCCTATCTACTGCTGCTCTTCTCGCCGATGAGGGGGCCATGGGTCGGAAAAAGCCCAAGGTGAACACAACTGTAGACGCAAGTACCAGTCCATTGGCAAGAAGGAGAAGAGCTCCACGGTAATGCCAACCCATGGCGTTAAAACGACTGATGGAATAACAGACTATAGACAGAGATAGTGATGCTGACGGGTAGAATCCCACGTCGGATGCGCTGTATATGTCGATCTAACTGCGTCGTAATATCTGTGCCATTGGCGTCGAGGTTCGCAATGCCCAAGGTATAAACCGATTGTGCTGAGTAGAGGCGGCAAAGCTATCCGGAGAGTCTGATATTCCCAACCAATGTTGCAAATTCTAGAACATCGAGCTACTAGGTACAAGAACAGAGGTACTGGTAGTACTCCGTACTCCGTAGCGAGTACTGTACAGTACATGGCGGACAAAATAAGTTTTTTGATGGGTCCAATTCAGCTGCATCTCTCATAATATGACCTGTCTTGCACAATACGAGCATTGAATGGATCGAGTAGGTGAGCCGTCGATCCCCAACGATCCACCATCCGACGATCTGGTCACATTGTCTGCACATACAGCTTCTCTTCCCATCCAGGCCCTTTTCTCAATACAAGCGTTGTTGTACATCCTGGACTCCGCAGCGAATTACGTCCTCCAATTTCCACCTCGGTGGGATTGAGTTTCCATGCGCCGACTGCTTGGTTCTACAACCCAATCCACCCGCAACGCCACTGGAAAACTTCAATCTCAGAATATCCCCAATCTCGTCACACGCCGCCAGAACGCGGTTGAGATCCTCCAGGTTATGCGCTGCAGAGACACAGAAACGCACTCGACACAGCTCGAGCGGAACGGCGGGGAATGGGACCACCACCACCGAGATCCCACGGGCAAGCATCATTCGTGAGAATGCGGTCATCTTACCCGGATTATACAGAATCAACGGGATGACGGGGGAATCGTCGTTCCCATAGACAATGAACCCTAGCCGCTTGAGGCCGAGGCGCAGGTAACGCGAATTAAAGGCCAGGCGCTGCAGTCGTTCTTCCTTCTGGCCCGGCAGTAGCTCACCAGTCAGGATGTGAAACGAAGCGGAGATCTGCGCCATTAGAGCCGGGGCTATAGCTTCACTGTACAACACGCCCGCATTCACGGCGCGAAGCTTGCGCACGATCTCTCCATCTGCTGCGATATATCCTCCGACGGCGCCAAAGGATTTCGTGAGCGTGCCCATTAGGATGTCAACCTCCCGCGGGTCAATGCCAAAATAGTCGCAGACGCCTCGACCCTCCGGACCCAGTGCGCCGATGGAATGTGCCTCATCTACAAACAGGTGGAACTTGTACCGGCGCTTCAACGCAATGATGGCTGGAAGATTGCAGAATGTGCCCTCCATTGAATACAGCCCCTCGACCACGACCAGAATCTTCTTCCAGGGATGATAGCCACTCCTGGGGGCGGTCGCGGTGGCCGGCTGTCCCTGTGAGATTGCCTCCCGCAACCTTGCCTCAAAGGCCTGCATGTCGTTGTGTCGGAACGCCACAATCGATGCGCCCGATAGGCGCGCCCCGAACCGTAGGGAGGCATGGTTGAGCTCATCCGAGAGAATTAGGCAGCCCGGTCCGACCAATGCGGGGAAGATGGTTGCGTTGGTGCCGAACCCAGCAGAAAAGACCATGGCGGATTCCTTGCGAACGAACTCAGCCACCAGCTGCTCGACCTCTACGTGGAGATCCAGGCCTCCCACGTCAGCCCGGGCACCGCCTGCGCTGATGCCATACGCGCGAATCGTCTCTTCAACGCGATCCGCGCAGGGTCCCCTGGACTGAGCAAAGCCAAGGTAGTTGTAGGATCCCAGGTTCAAGGTCTGAGTGCGGGCACCGGTGAGCTGAAAGGATTTGTTGTTGTCGCGTGTGACTCGATCAAGCAGCGTGATATACCGTCCGGGGACACCCGTGGTGGGACGGTCCAGGCAGTCGGCTAGACGTACCTTCATACGCCGTGTATAGACGCTCTCGCGGGCAGTGAACCAGGGTGCATATCCGTTCCAGGGGCGGAGATGCCGGTATTTTTCCTCCTTGAAGTAGATTCCGAAGAAGTCTCGGATCAAACCGATGAGATGAATGATTGTATAGCTCAAATAAGTCGTGATGACGTAGATGCACGGGGCCCGGTCGGCAATGAGATCGGTTAGGGGCTCCTTCGAGGGGCGAGGGCAGTAACGATGGCTGGCATGACTGATCGGACCAAATTGGGCAGGGTCTTGTTCCATAGAGCCAGAGATCTACGACAACCTTGAGCGGTCGCCGTATCGTCGATTGTTGCCCTGGTCGGTGTTTCGCCAGAATCGGGACCTTATAATGCAGTTGAAATGTCCGAACAAGCATTGTATGCTGGGAAGCAGGCTATATGCTGCTGTTCCATGATGAATTGTCATATATGGTCAAGGCAGTCAAATGTTAGTAGGCTAGGAGCTGTCTCGGTCATTCCGAATAGATATATCACCTACCGACCGGCAGATGGTACCTAAGCCTATGTGACATATTGCAAGGTCTTGCAAGCATGAATCGTGCCGAGATCCTTCGAGGCTCAGACCTGTAAAGAAAGACCTTCCTGCTTCGTCACGAAAGACACTCGGGAGAAATCAAGGGGAATTGGCATGCAGATGCAGGTTGTATTGAGGGTGGGCGTAGATCTGAGATGGAAATGAGGTCGATCATCCCCTAACTGGGAATAGGGTTCGAGCCCCTTGCGTCGTGCTCGCTCTTAAATCACCGCGGTGAGGACACATACATGAGAAAACCCGTAGCATTGGTTTCATCATCACTTGTTGACCTGCCTTTACTAACCCATCCAGCGATGGCGAACTCTGTTACTGATCTGACGACTGGCTGCCATGCTCTGATTGATGGATACGGCACCCCGTACGGCTACCTACCGGCCTTCGCCCCGGGCGTGGTTTTCTGTACCTTGTTTGGTCTTCTGGCAGGAGTACACGTCATCCAGATGGTGATATACCGACGGTTCTGGTGGACCATACTTTTTGTGGTTGGCTGTTTGAGTATGTACTGCCACCAAGACGCGCAAGAGCAGGCCTACCCCGGCGGCGTGGCTAACCCTAACTGTTGATCCTTGCAATAGCTGAGGTCCTAGGATGGGCCGCCAGGATCTGGACCACGCGATGCCCGTACAACCTGAATGCATTCCTCATCCAGTTCTCCACTCTGATCATTGGTGAGTGACGCCTCTACTGGTTGAAGAAAGCCAAGTGCAGAAAACTTACTACTGATTCATCCACCAGCCCCCACCTTCTTGACCGCCGGTATCTACATCCTGCTCGGGTGCTTTGTGCAGATCATAGGTCAGAGATCTTCCTTCCTCAGTCCGCGCAGCTACCTCTGGATCTTCAGCGCCTGCGATCTTATTTCCATTGTCATCCAAGCTGTTGGGGGTGGCATCGCTTCCGCGGACTCCAAAAAGGTCAACGGCAACCTTGACCACGGATCCAACATCATGCTCGCCGGCGTGGTATTCCAGCTCTTTTCCATCACGATCTTCATTCTCTGTGCCTGGGACGTTTTCTATCGGGTTCACCGATTTCGCCTATCGGTACCGGGCGCATCCATCAGCCTCTGGCGCGGGGTACTAACCGCAGCGACCGTCTGCATCTACATCCGATGCACCTACCGCACTATTGAGCTCGGACAAGGGCCGGGCGGTTATCTTCTCCTGCATGAGAACTATTTGATCGCCTTGGATGCTGTGATGATGGTGCTTCTGGTTGGGATCTGTGCCGTCTTCCACCCTGGTTGGCTCGCTCCTCGGAAGGAGTTCTCGCGTCTCAGTGAGGTTCAGTTACTGGAAAGGGTGGATTGACCGAAATGAGCGCGATAGCGCACAACCCATGTTCCGCTTCGAGCACGAACTTCTGTCCAGCATCCGTTCGCGGGGACGGGTGACCAAACTCAATCCTGTCGATCAGATCCTCTAGTTGCCTCTCATTTGTGATGTATACTATTTTTCTTCCGTGAGTGTGACTCGTCTCTTTCTTTACGCCGTAAAAGTGGGAAGTGGGGCAATCCGCGGTCACAATGCTTCGCTCGCATGGTACCTAAATACCTAAAGGGTATATGCAGGTGGAGCTGTCAGGGACAGCCTGCAGCTGAGATCGAGAGGCACCATCAATCTCGGAGCAGGTACATATCCTCTTTTAGACAGATCAGATATTGATCAATCGTAAACGACATGGGGCTCTCGATCCAACCACGATCTTTTGTTGACATCAAGAGACAAATATCTTCTGCCGTGAGACCTCTGGGGCTTATCGCAAATTTAGTCTACACCGCACTCGAAAAGGCGAAGGGGTTAGAGACACGCTTCAATAAATTCGCCTGGGTAGTAAGATCTCGTGAGGATGACAGTTTCCGATCAGGTGAATGTGCGACAATCCATTGCGTCACATCAGCTCGGTAAGGGCGCAATCCCATCCCTACCGGTCAACTCGAATACCACGATGAATGTTAACGATCATTGCTTGAGGATTCTCACTACTGGTCCTGGTCGCGCACCTATTGGCCGATCAGCATGCTTTCATCGCAGCTCTTCAGGCGCCAGTCCGGTGCTGGGGGTCCGACAAGGGCACAGTACATCCTCGAGATGTATTAGACGATTGGGGCTCTCTAGTGGTCTTCTGCTTCGTATTCATGCTCGCTCGCCCCCTCGTAGCGGACCACCTCCTACAGCCGATTCTACGCAAGTATGGTTTCGGATCCCAGGACTCCTCCCATCTCGCAGCCCTGGGCTGGAAGGCCATCTCGCGCGGTATCATGATGCTATATGCCCTAGTGCGTTTTTCACCCCGCTTTCACAGCCAGGATCACACGGCTCGCCACTGACTGTAAGCCTATCCAGGGCCTTTGGTACAACACGCCAGACCTACTCAATCCCCAGCAACTATTCCAGGACTGGCCACAATCCCAAATCACCCATCCCATGCAATGTTTCTTCCTCCTTCGCATCGCCTTCTATCTGCACCAGTGCCTGGTCATGGTCATCGAACCGATCAAAGATGACTTTATCGACAAGTTCCTCCACCATCTTCTGACCTGCGTGGTGGTGGTCACCTGCTGCAACAGCCGGGTATATACCCTGCTCTATGGAATTCTCCTCACCGCCGATCTGGCGGACTTCCTTCTCGCCGTATGTCTCCACAAGCATCAGAGTTGAACTCAGCAAATGCAAGGTCAACAGTAAGAGGATGTGCTGACCGACCGGCCAGTTCGTGCAAATCCAGCGATGTTTGCAGTATCAGAAGAGCCTCCGAATTTCGCTCGTCGTCTTCATTGTGATCTGGGTCTTGACCCGACACGTGATGTTTGCCTCTCTACACTGGAGGCTGCACCGCCTGCTGCCGGTATCCGGGGGTTGTGATGCTGTAGTGACGGGACGCATGATGCTCGATCCGGGGGCGTCCGGATGGGAGAGACTGGCCTCGCAGGCGCAGGTCACGCCAGGCGCTGTTTGTCTGTCGCGGAATGTGAAGTTGGTGTTGTCCGGTATTTCGATCGCGTTACAGGGGTTGTTCACGATCTGGACGCGCGATTTCATTCGAGTGGCGGTACAGGTGCACAATCAGTGTCGCGCTGGCGAGGCGAGAAGGAAGGCTGCAAGGAAACGAACCTAGTCTTTTCGAGGGTACATGCTCAATGTAGGGCCAGACTTCTGTTGTCGGTAGTGGTGCATTGAGGAATTGAGTTTTGTGTGTCTCAGTAGCTGCCTCTTAAGTGGCTTTGTCGTCGCAAGATCATTAGGGCGTGATAAGCAAGACTTTGCAAGAGTGGAACACTAAATGGCAAATGGACTGGATCATAACACGAACCTCTTCAGAACGGTACCTAAGTCAGTCCTCTGAGTAAGAGTGGCTGCAATTGAACCTGTTTCGGCCTCAAACTTCGGCGTCATAGACTAGAAAGCATCGGGTAAGAATTCGAGAGATTTTGGCTATAATCCGTGTGATGTGTCATGCAGACGCGTGTATGAAAGAAAAACAAAAAAACAAAGGAAAGAAATATCCCGAGCCCCGTCCCTGCATGACTGCCGATCGATCGAGTCTGCAAAGATTGTGACACCCCAAGTAATCTGGTCAGAAGGGGTCAGATCGGCGGTACCTGAAGATAACAGGTTTGTCATAAAAGCATACAGGCAGTTCACCAATTTCTAGCTTCAACGTCTTCCACCTCCCGTCAAGATGGACTTCAGCTCGGATGTTGTGACCAACGGTGTAATTGTAGGCCTGTTGCTTCTGGCTCTACACCAGGTCTACATCCGCCTTCTGCTTCCCCGGCCGATCCGCGATATCCCCCACAATGCAGCGTCTGCCCGGAGGCTGCTTGGAGACCTCCCTGAGCTTCAGAAGGTGATGGCACGTACGCAGGACATCCAGTCCTGGCTTCTGCAGCAGACGCGGCATCTGCAATCTCCTCTGATCCAGCTTTTTCTGGACCCGCTGGGCAAACCCATCGTGGTGCTCAGTGATCCCCGAGAGGCCCTCGACCTACTTCTCTACCGCAGTCGGGACTTTGACCGTACACCCATGGTGCAGGACATCTTCTCCGGTCTGTCTCCGACGCACCATATCACCATGAGTACTGGCTCCGAGTGGAAAAGACACCGCAATCTGGTGAAGCATCTGGTGACCACGCCCTTCCTTCAGCATACCGCAGCACCTGCGATCCACACGTCTGTCCTGCGGCTGGTCGAGCTGTGGAGGATCAAGGCGCGGGTGGCCGAGGAGTCGTCGGCAGGCTTTGCGCCCCAAACGGATTTTCAACGCATGGTGCTTGACACGCTGTTGGAGATATCATTCGGACGCGACTTTCCGAAGGACGGGATCTCATCGCAAATCGAGCTTCTCCGGAGCGGCAACCCCGGTGGCAGGCCGACAGTGAACAGTGGGCGGCAGATCATCACATTCCCCGAGTCAAGTCCCCACGAATTCATCCGCGCGCATGGAGTGCTCAGTGACGCCATTGAGAAGAGTGGGACATCACTGTTCCCACGACTGTCATGGTGGATGATGTCCCTGCGACCCCGACTGGCCAACGCCCTCCGGGTCAAAAGCCGGGTCACGCGGGAATGGCTCGAGACTGCGGTCTCCAGCACTGTCTGCGCACCCGACGATTCGGCCTCAGACCTTCCTGGCCGGACCCAATCGTCGGTCGAATTCATGATTCAGCATGAGAGGGAGCTGGCAAAGCAAGAATCCCGGAAGCCGGATTACATGTCCCCAGCGATGGAGGATGAGGTGAGTCACGACCAACCCCAAACCTTCCCCAACTGCTAAACTACCCCCCAACCAGCTCTACGGTTCCATCTTCGGCGCCTCCCATAGCACCGTGTTTACCTTAGCCTGGGGCGTCAAGCTTCTATCAGATCATCCTCAGGTGCAGCGCCAGCTCCGCGAAAGCCTGCGCGCGGGGTTCCCCGAAGCCCTGCAGGAAGGACGCCCGCCCAGCGCCCTTGAACTATCGGCACGAACCATCCCCTACCTCCACGCTACTGTCGAGGAGATGCTGCGGTTTGCTCCGACCGCGTTCATGATCGACCGCATCGCCATCCGGGACACCGAGCTCCTGGGCTACGCCATCCCCAAGGGCACCTGCGTCTGGGCCCTCAGCAGCGGGCCGGGATTTACCTCCCCGGCGTGGCCGATTCCCGCCGACAAGCGTAGCAGCGCTCTATCCCGGACGACGATGGCTACGCCTACCACAAAGCCGAGTCACACGCGGCAAACTCCCAGTACCGAGTGGGTGGGCGATGATCTGGACCGATTCGTCCCGGAGCGATGGCTGGTCGCCCCCGCCGGTGACGACGGCCCAACGACCTTCGATCCGAATGCGGGCCCAACCCTGGCCTTTGGGGCCGGACTGCGCGGCTGCTTTGGGCGTCCGTTGGCCCAGCTGCAGCTGCGCATGACGCTCGCGCTGCTGGTGTGGCAGTTCGAGCTCCGGCCGTGTCCCGAGGCCCTGGCGACGTACGCGGCGGTCGACGGGCTCTTTCGCCAGCCGAAGCACTGCTATGTTGTTTTGGGGAGGTTGGGCGGTGAGTAATTTGCATAGAGAGTCGTCGTTCTATGGGTTGGCTCTTGTGAGTGCATGAATATTCAGCACGATACTACCGCCTCGTATCTGTCTGTGCTGCAAATTTATATGTTTCTTTGACCATTGGGGATCCGCTCTTGGCTAATGTAAAATGGACAAATTGCCAATTCCCGGAATACGAGCCTTCGTTGACATATAAATTGGTACTTTTCAGTTGTTTTCCTTGTCTCATGCGAGACCCTTCATTACACCTAGGAATGAACCACACGAGAAGCCTTCTGAAGTTAACAGTCGTAGTGGGAGGAAAACGGACGTGAATGCTTCTGAACCACCGAACCCCGCAGCAAACCCCGACCGAGCGTACAGTACTGATCCATACATGTAAGAACAAACGCTTGGATTGCAGCATCACGTTACGTCAGTCGAGAGAGCCACTATACTGGTTAAGTAGTTACAGTACAGTAGTACAATCCACTTGTTCAAGAAAATACGCACAAGTGGTGCTGCTTTAAGTACAGTTAGGTCAAAAGCACAACGACGATCAAGTAAAGTACAGTCAAGTAAGTTACACTATCGTGAAGTTACCCGTTACTTAAACACCAACCCCGCCGCCATTCCGTCCTTCGCAAATCCACCCAACCCCAACCACCCCCATCCACCATGTCCGGGTTAGCACGCAAGTATGAAATCAACGCCGATATGGGCGAAGGCTTCGGGCGCTGGAAGATGGTCAGTAGCTCTTGTCGCTCTCGTAACTGTCAAATGCACCCACCAGTAACCAACCGTCGCCGCCACGCCACCAGGGCCCCGACGAGGCGCTGATGCCGTTCATCGACGCCGCCAACATCGCCTGCGGCTTCCACGCGGGCGACCCGACCATCATGCTCCAGACCATCCGGCTGTGCAAGCAGCACGGCGTCAAGGCCGGCGCGCACCCGGGCCAACAAGACCTCTTCGGGTTCGGACGCCGCCGGATCGAGGTCGACCCCAGGGACATGTACGCCTCGGTGCTGTACCAGGTGGGCGCACTCCAAGCGATGCTGGACGCGGAGGGGATGCCCCTCGCGCACATCAAGCCGCACGGGGACCTGTTCTTCTACATGCAGCGCGACGCGACGATCATGCGGGCGGTGCTGGAGGCCTGCGCCACCTTCCGGGTGCCCGTCTACGGCGCCCAGAACCCCCAGCAGGCGGCGATGTGCCTGGAGCTGGGCATCCCGTTCCAGGGGGAGATGTACGTGGATATCGACTACTCGCCTGACGGCCGGCTGCTGCCGGTCGCGCAGTCCCGCGTCCCGACGCCGGAGCTCTGCTACGCGCGGGCGCGGTCCGCCGCGTTGACGGATACCGGCAAGGATATCGAGGGACTTGAGTTTCGGTTTGGGTTCGAGGGGACCCCGTTCAGTATTTGTGTGCATTCGGACCTGCCGACGGTGTTGGAGAATGTGGCGGGCGTGCGCAGGGCGGTCGATGAGGCTAACCGGCTGCGGTTTCCGCAGGAGGCTTCGGCGGCTTGAAGGGAGAATCGTAGAGTACTGTACTGTACATACTGGAATGCTCAATTGCCCCAGAGTGAAGTACCAGATTAGAGAGAATCCGCGATCACGTAGCTGTACTCCGTAAACTGACTGTCAATTGGATGCGTGTGAGGCCTCGATCACCATTCAGATTGGCAGTCATTGCTATGGTTGCAGTCCGGCCCATTAACCGTACCTGCTCGCGCCTTGTACGCTGGGAAAACGTGACAGAAAATAACATTGGCCGATTGGTTGGTTCTTCGGGGTCTGATTCGTTGATTTCAGTGTGTTTCCTGGTGGTTATTAGACCATTCTTCACATTGTCCTCACACTCGGGCCGACCGGTCCATCGCCAGGGTATGCAGGGCATGCGACTCATACTCCAAGTCTTGTCGTGTGTCTCTGGTATCTTATCTGTTATTCAGCTTGCCCCGCACTAACTACTAGGTAGTGATTACCCCGCCGTTGTACGACACATGACACATGTGTGCTGTACACGGAGCGGACGAATGAGGGGCAGAAGCCAGATTTTGAGGTACTACTACTGTACCTTATCTTTGCGAGATATCCTGTTTGGGGGACGCGAGTCTAGTCATTTTGGTGGACGCCAAGGTGTGGAAAGTACAGGTTAACGTCGGCGATATACTGAAGAAAGACCAGGTAACGGCGATTCTGCAGGTAATGAAGATGAAGATGGAGATTCGAGTCTCGGTGGAAGAAACACACTGTGCCGCCCCACGTGACTGCCATCCCTGGTCGGCCCGGCACCGTGGTTGCCCCAGGCACCACACTTATTCCTGCCACTCGCATCGGCTAATTCAGTTGTCTACGTTACACATCTATTCTCTCAAGTAGCCTTCTTTTGGTATGATAACCAGTTGCTGGTAACTATCAAGCTATACCTTTAACCTTTCGTCATGTTTCTTACTCGATTAGTGGAGCGAGAGCACAAGCTGAACCTATCACACATTCTTCTGTCTTCTTCGGGATGTCAACACGTGCGTGAATAATTAGCAATCTAGTCCACCCACTGCCCCATATTGTAAATCCACCTCAGCATTGTCACTGTCTCTCTTCAAGCCACGATACACTGGCTTATCTTTCTCGTGTCTCGATTGCCGACAGCTGGCATCTCAAAGACCGAGCACTGAACTGGAAGAATAGCACTAAGACTCGACGCAAGCACTATCTAAACTCACCCATCACCCCAATACAAGTAAAAAGGCTCCACCATCATCACACACAGGTATGTAAACTTCAGTGTCAATCGGAAGGGCTGCCATTTCCGGGGATACTAAATAGTGCTCCCAGGCTTCCTCTTGCTGCTCCTCCACCTTCAGATCGATACCGGCTGATTCGCACTCCGTTCTCAGAACAGCCAGTGCGTCCTCGTCAATCTGGATCACGTACAGCTGGATTTGGTTCAGCCGGGCAAAGAGACCTGGGCCGTGCCGGACCAATCTCAAGAGCTCCGCCACCAGACTGGGATAATCGCAGTCTTCAATATCGGTAATCCCCAGAGACTCCAGCGACGCGGGCAGTATATCCAGAAGTAGCATCTCAAGCGCCTCGGCTGACTTTGAAGCCGAAATAAATTCTTCGGGTCTCTGTCACTTTGACTTACCTATAACCAGTATAAAAGTACTGATCAGTGAGCCGAGACTGAGAAGGAGGAGCAGAGTGTCGAAGATGCAAGGACTTCAGCTTGATGCGTTGTGCTGCTCGGACCTCTGTCCGATACTCGCCGGGGTCGCAGGTAGGGTTTGATAGGACGATGCATAGTGCCGTGTTCCGTGCAGCATTAGTAGTCATGGATTACCCTGTGATTTACTGCAGGTATAGTCAAGAGGAACTTTACGATGCTACATCAAGAGGAGGCAACCCTTAGGCCACGATTAAGAACCGTGTGTAAGCAATGATTAATTCAACTAACCTCAATCCAATTCTCTACAACATCCCTTCACACGCAATCGGTCCAAAGACATCATCCCTTTGCATGGCACCAGGCCGGAAAACAGTCACAGACTAATCAACCGATTCAAATCCCCCCCCGCACCCCCTCAAACCGCAACAGCAACCGCCTCCACCCCTCGCTTGCTCCTGGGAGCCTGATCGGCAAAGTCCTTGACGCCCGTCTCAATGGCATCAGAGATGCCGCCGGCGACGGTGCCAGCCAGGCCCTGCAGCTCCTGGGGCACCTTGGAGACGATGGTGTCGGACAGCTTCTTGGCGGCGGCCTTCTGCTGGGTCAGGTCGTTGTAGGTCTGGGCGCCCTTGCCCGCCTGGACGATCAGGGACTTCTTGCCGTCGAGCTTGGTAATGACGGTGGCGATCTTGTTCTTAAGGTCGTTGACGGGGCCCGGCAGCCCCAGCGCGTCGCCGGAGCTGAGCGCCCCCGTGCCGCTGACCTGGCTGTTGCCGTTGTTGATCGCTGTAACCAAGTTGTCGGACGCCTGTTGGACTTTGGTCACATCGCCGCCACCGTAGGCTTGGATGGCCGACCCCAACGCGTCGACCTTGGTGCCGATGCCGGAGAGCACGCTTGTGATGGTCGGCAGGTCGCGCTCCACCCGTGTGGGCGCGGCTAGGGTGCCTGCGGCGAGGCCGAGGGTGAGGACGGAGAAGATGGAGAGCTTCATTTTGAGGTTGATTGATGGGTAATGGCTTGTGGTTTTGTGAGTGATTTGGCTATTATTTTCTTTGTTTTCTGGGGAGTGACTGAGCAGTGATTGTTGATTGTTGAGAAATGGTTGATGGTGATGGTGATGGTCCTTTGCAGCCCTTTATAACTTTGGGGGGATTACGTGCTTCCGTGGAGATGTTGAGACCTTAAACTAGCAAAAGGGCCATATTGCAATGGGATGATGGATGAAAATTGGGGTCGGTCGATCTCAAGGATGGGACGATGTGCACATACCCGAATCTTAAATGATTGACAGGGACTGAACCACCAGTGGTTAGGAATGTCTCACATTCCAGGGAAGCTGAAGCAAGGTCCTAAAAACGGGGTGACTTATGGGCAGGTTATAGGTATACATGAATGTTGCAATCATCTTCTCGTGGCCATGCAGTACTGCTTCGGGGCTAACTCGCCTATGGTGCTGATGGCCTCAAACATCGGTTACCCTTAAATCCACAGGGACTATAGTTTCAGATGGAAGATCGGATCTCTGGGCTGGATAATTGGGCTGGAATGGCCCTTGCTCTTGCTGCCAGGGGTCTCCCGGGCGGAAGCGCAAGGCAGAATCTGCGGAGAAAGCTTTCCGCCTTACTTTCGCCGGCAGAATAAGAGAGAGGGATGGGGCGGTAAGTAACTCTGTAGTCATCGAGAGGAGAGGAGCAGGAAGTGTTGAGAATGATGAGTCTTGTGCTGACGTACCTACCTACCTAGGAGTAATGTTAATTACTACCTAGTAGTCTAAGGAGTTTCAAGTAATAAGGACCTATATCCATGATTACTTCATACTCACTCCGATCATAATCATAAAATCAAGAAAAAGGGCAAAATAACTTTGGAAGGAGGCACGCTGCTCGAGCAAGAGACTGGTCCTGTTGGTAGGGAGTCCGCACTAAACTATGGTCAGAATTCGTCCTGCAGTAATCGGGTCCTGTACTATAGATGTATTCTATTCTCAGCTCCACAGATCCTCAGCTCCCTGGCCGCAGCCATCAATGTGAGTTCTCGTTCGATATCCAAGCATTTGCCATCTAGATGAGGCTTTTTCTTTATCAACATATTTTTCCCGTAGTAACTAGAGCTGCAGTGTGGTAAAATCTGTTTTAGGAGCAACTATCCTTCGTTGCGGTATAATTGGTTCTAAGCTCCATTCTGTCGATGTACAGGCTTAGGCTGGGGAAATCCTATCCGGTCTAATGTCAGTAAAAGAAGATAAATGGTTTAAGAATTGAGGTGGAAGAAGGCTCCGGTAATTCGCCGAGGGTGAACCCGCACACTGGACAAGAAGAGTCGATTTCAGTCAATGGCAGCATGGCACATTCGCTCGTTTGAAAGCCTTGCTCGCATAATTCCTCACATATCTCTTTATCTATCAGTATCTAAGATTTTTTTAATTTATATCTTCACTCTTTGAGAAACAATTACAGGAGTTTGCCGTGGCTCGCATGCCTTGGCCAAGGGCTGACCATGAGTTACCCGATGGCCAGGCTGGATCTTTTCCCGCCGGTCAAGGCAGAAGACTAGCCGGCGCTCGCTCGCAAGCAAGCGGAGTATTACTTGCTTTTGATCGACCTCAGCAACGATCTCGTGACTAGTGGTGCACCCGAACCTCTGATCCATTTCGGTCTCTGTGCCACCTTGTTGGTGTTACTGGTCGACTGTATTGTTTATTTCTTTCCAGACTGGATCGTCCGCTTAAAAGTTCCCTGCCCACTGCCTGGAAGTTTAGGAAAGTTTCTACCTCAACGGGAGTGTAGTTGTCTGATTGTTTGTTCGCCTATCGTCTACAGCGTGCGCGAGGCGGGGTGAGGTAGGGTATTTCCTTCCGGTCGCGCACTGGTCGGCTCCAATGTGGGGGCAGTGGACCACCATGTGGGCACTGTCCCGAGCGATGGTCGGCGTGCAGTGGTAGCGTACCCCGCATCGGGCGTCATGGGCATCTATCCATGATGAAGATGCTCAGAAGGACGGAGATAGTTTTCAGATCCGGACAAGAACGCTTGTCTAAATTTGAGGGAGGTTTTGAGGCTGTTATACGGACTGACACCACTGTATATTCCAAGGCAGAGGGTAGGTTAAAATGGAGCAATATTGTAGAAATACTGTTGTTGAGAATGTTGACGCTGCTGCTTCTCCAGCCTTTGAATTCATCTTTCGGGCCTGTGGCTTCTTCTTTTTTTCCCGAAATGCAAACCATCTCCTGGTATTTATGTATGCAGTGCACACATGCACCATCCTCAAACATTTGTGGACTAATGCAGGCATTACAGTGAGGCAGTATAAGCCAGATTACCAAGTAACCTACATTGCACTAAGCCTCAATATGTCTCAGACGCACAAGTGAGTGGTGGAGGTAGCCATCTTGTATTAACAGGGTACCCCGCTTGGCCTGACAAAGCAACCTTGAAGGAAGTAGAGCAGGTGCTCTGACCCAAAGCGAATTAGCCTGAGCTTTGAACAGACAGGTTATTGTTCTTGCCTTCACCTCTTCCACATTTTTCTCGATTAAGAGTACCTAAAAGGTCCCGCAGAAATCACTTGCTCTGCGACGTGTATGGTAGTTTAAAAAAATTAAAAACATCTTCAATAATTGTTACTAAGGTCCATGTATTATTTATCCACCTGCAGGACGACCCTTCCAAGTAGCATACCCTAGTTAGATTAATGACAGTCCAGCATCTGCCACGCGCATGCTGTGAACCTCCCTGGCCGGGCAATGAACGCTGACTGTGTCTGTAGGAACACCTTATCTCCCTCAACTCCCCCTCCTCTACTGTTTTCCTCCCAGAAACTGTGCCAAGCACAAGCACAAGCACAACCCCCGAACCGGCCCTGACGGCCCTACAAAGGGCTGCAGCAACCTTACCCCATGCATCTCGGCGCCAACGCCCACCAAAGACGGCAGTACCGCTCTTGCGGGCATGGATCTCTGCCGGGAGCAGCCACAACATTGTGTATATCATTGCGGGAAAGGCGACCCAAGACGGGACGCCTGCAGCGCGGTGGCGATCGCCGCCGCCAGAAAGCTGGGCACGAACTGGATTACCAGACCGCACGCGACCACGCAGACGATGTAGAGCTGCGAAGGCGTTCAGCGGGGTGACCGACCTGCTAGGGGTCGTATGGGGTGATATATGGAGGCTGTTTGGTCATGATAATGAGTGCCACCCGAGTGGTTGTGCGATTCCAGCGAAAGTGACTGGACGAACTGTTTATTCTCAGCAACAAGAGGCTAGAGCTTGAGCTTTTTTGGTACTCTCAGAACAAACTTGACTCTTGTCATAACAGTCAACACAGCAACACTGGAATCATGCCACCTCACAGTCTGGATACCCCTGCTGCACGTGCTATGCAGGGGAAGGTCAGCTCACCGGCGTGCAATCTAGAACCCTGCTATACTGTACAATACGAGGGTTGTCTTACAGCCACATTTCCGTTCTTACCGTACAGGAGGTAATCATCCACCATTCATATTACGCCAGTTCACTCCTCTGGTGCATTTCCATGTCAAGTGACGGTATAATAGTGAATGATATCGATATTAACCGTCCTGTCTGATTGGACTGGAAATCAGCGAAGTGGGGGCGAAGGCGAGACTGGGCAGGAAAAGCTGACAGGGAAAGTTAGATAAAGTGCCAGCTCCCCCGCAGTTGCGGGGGACCGGGCCATCTCCACCCGACCCCACCGGAGTACTACCAGAATCAACGTTGCACCCGTAACACGCACCCGCTAGGGCACTCGGGGCCCCTTCGGTGCAATGAGAGAGCGAAGCGAGGCAAATGCGACCCTTCCACGGTCCACGTGCTCGGAAAACAGACCCTCCGGAGTGGAGATGTTGGGTTGCGGAGGTCCAAGTCCGGGGACTCCGCAGTAAGCTTGAGCTCGATTAGGCTAATCTCACCCTTCCCATGAATTACCAGGGAATACCAGTGAATACCAGTGAATACCACTGGATACCACTGGATACCAGCAATTACCAACACAAGCGGTGTATCACAGCTATAAAGATCTGAGATCCCCCAAGATCCCCCCAGATCTCCCTCCCTCCCCCACTCCTCTCTTTCTCTCTTTCATCCACCCCTTTTCTCTCCGAGATCGTCAATATGACTAGCGACAACCCAGAGAAGGAAACCTCGGCGATGGAGGTCGAGGACCAGCCCACCTCCAAGGACGAGCCTGTCTACGATGCCAGCGAGAAGGTCGACTACGACCGAGCCGGCGCCATCGGTGCGGAGGAGGTCGAGCATCGCATGACGGTGCTCGAGGCTGTCAAGGCGTATCCCGCTGCCAGCGCGTGGGCCTTCGTCATGTCATGCACCATTGTAAGCTCTGGTCCCCAATAACCCCAATCAACCCAACAGGCAGATCGTCTCTCTAACACTCCGAATGCGATGCGATAGATCATGGAGTCCTACTGTGTTTTCCTGATGGGACAGTTTATCGCGACACAGAAGTTTGCCGACGATTTCGGTGTCAAGAGCGACGTCACAGGTCTTTATATCATCGAGGCGTCATGGCAGTCAGCCTTCCAGTGTAGCGGACCACTGGGCGCCTTCATCGGGGTCTTTGTGGCAGGACCCATCACAAGTTGGATTGGATATCGCTGGGCAACCATCGGCGGGCTCATGGCCCTGAACGCCTTCATCTTCATCTTCTATTTCGGCAACAGCCAGGGCATGTTCTTCGCCGCCCAGATCCTGGAAGGCATCCCGTGGGGCATCTTCATCGCCAATGCACCCGCCTACTGCGCCGAGATCGTGCCCATGAGATTGCGCGCGCCCGCGACGCAGATGCTGCAGATGTTCTGGGCCATTGGCTCCATCATCGTCGGCGGTATCACCTACCACTACCAATCCAAGAATGACTCCTCGGCCTACAGGTTCGTCCGCTCTTACCGACGAGGTCGAGAGAGTACTTGACTGATCATCTCTCAGAGTTCCCATTGCACTTCAGTGGATGTTTCCCACTCCTCTCGCTATCCTCCTCTACTTTGCCCCGGAATCGCCCTGGTGGCTCGTCCGCCAGGGCCGTCTGGCCGATGCCGAGAAGGCGGTCAAGCGTCTTGGTCGCGCGAGCGTAGAGGAGAACCCCGCGGACGCAGTCGCCATGATGCGTCGCACGATCGAGCTGGAGAAGACTGTCAAGAAGCCCACTCTCGTGGAACTGGTCCGGGGCACCGATCTCTATCGCACCCTGATTGTCTGCGGTGTGTACGCATCTCAGAATCTAACAGGCAACCTGATTGCGAACCAAGCCGTGTACTTCTTCAAACGTGAGTCCCGTCATTTCCTCCCTGCAACCTCATCGCAGACTAACTCCAGTGGACAGAGGCCGGCATGGGCGAAACCACCGCATTTGCCCTGGGACTCATCACCTCGGCCCTCCAGTTGATCATGGTCATGCTCTCATGGATCCTGACCACCTACCTCGGCCGGCGCACCATCTATGTCTACGGCCAATCGATCAACTGTATCTTCCTGGTCGCGCTCGGCATTGCAGGCTCCTGTGGCGTGAGTACGGCGGCGAGCAACGCGCAAGCCTCCCTGGGCTTGATTGTCTCCGTGCTGTTCTGCCTGGGGCCCGCCCCGTCCTCGTGGGTCATCATCGGCGAGACCTCGTCCGTTCGCCTGCGGCCCCTGACCACCGGTGTGGGACGCGGCGCCTACTACTTCATCAATATCCCCTGCATCTTCCTGTCCAGCTACATGCTCAACACGGACAAGTGGAACCTGGGCGCCAAGAGCGGCTACGTCTGGGCCGGCACTGCCTTCATCTGCACCGCCATGGCCTGGCAGTGGATTCCCGAGATGAAGGACCGGTCCTTCCGCGAGATCGACATTCTGTTCAAGCGTCGCGTCCCGGCGCGCAAGTGGAAGCGTACGGTCGTGGATATCCGCGACGATGAGTAGACGGAAATTGGGGTTCGGAGGGGTGCTGCCTGGGTGGCGCGTATTCAATCTAATTCGATGGAGACGTTATCTAGCTGGAGAGCCAGGCTATTGTATCTAGCTATGTGATACTGCATAATCAAGTCAACAGCTTCAAGCACTGCTGCTCCTTAATCAACATTCTCTTCCTGTTTGTCGTAGTATATCTTAGTACCTGGTTACTGCATCTGCAGTGATCAGGTCTCCTGGTTCTCTGGGCCCACACAAGGCGGGTTCCACGATCCTCTCACCACCCCTCGCTGTATACATACTTTTGTCACTTTTCTTGCATGTGTCGGGCAGGTGGTGTCAATGACATGATATTGAAACTGGTCCACCACAGCAAAGCCATCAGGGTAGTGTCGAACCGGAAGTGCGGTGCAAAGAGTATGTGCAGGCTATCTCAACACGCAAGCGAAACCACTGCTATTCTCTGGTGACTCTGGTATCTGTGTCCTGAGTATATACGCCCATGTCAGCAACTTCGATGATACGGTTTAGAGGCACCTGATCACACTCATGCCAGAGATAACAGATGAAACATCGAAACCACCAGAGCACGTTCAATGCACGTGACTTACCACCGCCAACAGCAACAGCAACACTAATGACTCAAAGCCTCGGCTTTCCACGAATCTCTCTTTTCCCGGTAAGAACATTTTGGTTTAAGATTCGGTATCGCGGAATCGACTTCCAAAGCACCAGGGCTGCTAGCTCCCTGGAGCCCTCCATATGCTCGCCAGATCGTGACCGTAAATCCGGATCCTGACGCCGGCTCTCATCGTGCTCGCCCAAAGAGACCACAATGCCGGCGTACTTTAGTAGGATAGCATGTAAGATCAAGCGGCACGTTCTTCCGTTACCATCAGCGAAAGGATGGATCATGACAACATCATTGCAATATTTCGCGGCCATGTGGTGACCGCATCGAGCTTGTGGCTTTCGGCGGGTGGAGGCCGATCTCTCCCGGTTTCTGCCTTTTCTGCTGGGGTGTGGTGGTTTATCCACTTGATAGAGTTGCAGAAGAGGTATGAAAAACAGAACAGATGTAGGAAGAACAGATATTCAGGAATATACAGGTCAATTAAGGACACTGGGGGTTGTTCGAAAGGTCTGTGGTGTAAGCAGTGGTGATGTAGCCGGCGGAGGTCTGGGTTAATTTCGTGGTGGGAGAGCGGGATACATCAGTTGTAGAGATGATATTAGATATTCTACAGGTGATGACAGGTGAATCAGACTGAGCCGGAGCAGTACTGAGTGAATCCTCCACAAACCACGGTTCCCACCCAAGAGGCAAATGTCAGGGAAAGGCATTATATTTTGTCATACGACAACCACCCTTTTACCATAGTAGGCGCTTGATTGAAGGGTCTAGTACTAGGTTTCTAATCTTCACTTCTATTACCAAGATAGTAAGCACTATATTTCAAAGTAGTGAATCTGTGGAGGACGTGGATCAGTGATGAATGAATCATTTGTGTGTGAATTAATATGGGTGTGGCGGGCGGTGACCACCTTCAATGTTGAGGCCTCAGGCCCCAACGACATCAAGGGTTCATCGGCACCTCGCCGGCATATGCCGGCACTCAAGTGACAACGTCATCGAGACGGGCTGGGTCCATGAATGTGACATGGCTGACGGCAGGCACTGTTCCATTCCCTTCCAAGGAGAGAGGGGCCGAGTGATGATAGAAAAACCTATAGTCCCAGCAGAAGAGAAAGACCAGTCTCGAGCTGAACAGCTGAAGCGGCAAGGGAGGCATCAATCAAGCCCTAACATATCCAGTCCGGGAGATGACTGCATATACGAGAACAGCTCGAATCAGCGCCCAATGTGGAGTTGGAAGGTTGATGGGGCGAAGTACCGACACCGGATGTAACCCTAATTTGGATTGGAGGTATGGACTCATCATGCATACGAGTGGATCTACGGATTTGTGTGGGGCGGAACTGAGTCTTCTACGTCTTCGGGAATGTCAGGCAACCGACCAAGTTCTTTGGCTGAGCGGTACGCTCATCGCAGCACCACCTAGCCTCCATGATTCGTTCCCCCGCGATAGGCACTTTGCAAGCATATAGTATAGTACTCTGTTCAAGAGCCAGAGTGATGTAACCAGATTATATACGTATCATCGACTTACGCGGGAAGGATGCTGTTGGAATGTACAGTACCTCTGCGGGATCTGGGGGGGCTTGTCTCGTGCCCTAATCAGTGCCCTTTGCCCGCATGGTCGTTTTCAGTTCCCCTTCGCCCCCTCCTCTGGCGCCGCGCTCTTCCTCTCTCTCTTTTTTCTCTACTTCCCCTGTATCAAAAATACTAACAATGAAACTCGCTCGCGGTATTTGGTTAGCGGGGATAATTGGAGGTGTCTTGGGCGCTCCTGAGCGGCGCCCTTCGACTGCTGAACTTCTGGACTCGTGCACCTCTTCCAATGAATGGGACTTCTCTCTGAGCACGGAGAGCAGCGATGATACCAAACAGAGCCACCTTCATCGCGCGATTGAATTTCCCTCCGAGTCTCAAGGGACTAGTCCTCGTCAGATCAGTGGGCAGGTTTATCTCCACGGACCGGTGGGAGTCTCCGCCGACGACAGCGATGTCGCGAGTGGTAGCGAACCGACCCTGGAAGTTGTTCGACACGGCAGCACGGTCTGGTACTCGGCACAGCGACAGGTGATCACCCCCAAGATCCGATATGCCGGTCCCGGCTCCGTCGGCCGGATTGTGCTCGAGACCCCGGACCTGAGCGCATTCAACATCACGATCGGCAGTGTCTACGGCTCCTGTCCGGAAACCAGCCGCGGCTCCACGCGCATCCGTTGTGACTGGCAGAAGGTCTCACCCGGATTCTTCGGGTGGAACGACATCGGGCTCTACCTGAGCACCGAGGACGACGCGGAGCTCGAGCTGCCGTTCACCCTCACCTCCTACGCGGGCGACAAGGTGGTCGCGACGACGAAAACCACCCTGCGGTGGACGACCCGCCGCCCGTTGCGGTACGTCCAGCGCCAGCCGGAGCTCTTCCCGCAGCCCCGAACCCTCGTTCTCCCCGCCCTGCCCGCGGCCGACTCAGAGCGCAGCCGGTTGAAGCAGGCGTTCACCTTCGCCGACTTCCACTGCACCGGCTTCTATCTCAACCCAGGTACCCCGCTTCACGTCCAAGCGGACGGCGTGCAGCCGGACGGCCCGTTGCCCCAGTTCCTGGTGGGCACGCCGGCTCTAGTCGACCCGGCTATCGACTCCGAACGCCTCCCCAATACCCTGGAGCAGCTGCCCACCATGGCCAACGGCTCGCATACCGTCTCCAGTGCTCTGGGGGGCATTCTGTACGTCAGGTTTACCGCGCGGGAGGATGGCGAGGAGGTAGGCCCGGTGACGATCACGCTGCACGACCGCACCGACGCGGCGCAGCCGTTCCCCTTCGTGCGGGAGGGTATCACGACCGACGAGGAGTACCAGGCCATGCTGGCGGCGACGACGGTGCCGTTTGCGGAGCTCAGCGGGCGACGGGTGATCGTGACGGGGCTGGCGCAGGACGCGCGGCCGTACGCCGAACAGGGGCAGATGCAGGCGCGGCTGTTTCGCTTCTACGGCGAGATGATAGAGGCCCAGGACCGCTTGAGCGGCCTGCTGCCGGACGAGCAAGCGGACACAGTGGATCGCGCGAGCCCCCTGCGGCCGATGGTGGTACAAACCCGGCGCGGAGTCAATCCGAACAGCTACCACTGGCGAGCGGCCATCCCCCGCGAGCGCCACCGGGAGGTCTGGGGTGAGTATCACCTGCGGCGGTCGTGGATGATGTGGCACGAGCTGGGCCACCAGCGCCAGCAGACCCCGATCTGGAGCTGGACGGCCCTGACCGAGGTCACCGTCAACCTCTACAGTCTGGCGGTCCTGCGCCTGTCTGACCCGGAGGCCCGTGGCCGCGTGGCCGAGTGGAATCAGGCCAAGGCGTACCTGGCGCGGCCGGCCGCTGACAAAGACTTCGATAAGGCGGGCTTCTACGTGAGTCTGGTCATGTTCGAGCAGCTGCGCGTCATCTTCGGGGACAGCTTCTACCATCGGCTGCACCACGGGGCTCGCCGTGCCAGCCCGCAGGCCACCGATGCCGATAAGAAGCACTACTTCCTGACCCAGACGGCACACCTGGTGAAGGAGGATCTGACCGATTACTTTACCCGCTGGGGCTTGCGTCCGGAGCCGCGGAGTGTCGCCGAAATGAAGAAACACCCCAAGCCCACGGAGGACTACACCAAGCGGCCCGTCTATGGCGGTACCGGGCTCTGAGTACCGGGACAGGGAAGACGAACACCGCCAAGGGGGGAGGGCAGAGTACTTCGGTCTGTTGGATCATATCCTACTGGACAGGGAGGAGATGTGGATGTGATTGAAGGGCTCGACTGCTGGGGGATCATCCATCTTAGGAACAGGCCATGGTCGAAAATTCATGTCAATACGTTTGATGTATGAGTAAGCTGTCCAAGTCGGAGACGAAGTTCAGTGATGCACTTTCTACGCAATAAAAGCCCGCACTTGGCACTTCCTACGCCAGGGGCGCTCTACTCCAATTTATGCTCTGAATTTTTCTTGCTTTTTGCCTGCCTGACACACCTGCCTTGAGACTGGGGTCATTGCAACTCCACATAACTAGGCCGATGAATAATTTGAAAGCTGGCTGACACCCATGGGACAATGGACGTTATGAAGGTGGTAGCAACGGAGGTTTAAGCTCGAAGATTCCGAGAGAAATGATTTTCACTATCTTGAAGGTTGTTGATGCCGGCTGGAGTTGGCCCACTTGGCGACGGAAATCAGACACCTCGCTACGTACTGTACTAGATACTAGCAACACAGGACCACACCGCTGAGCGAACTCCTGCCATGGGTTTTGTCTCTATACCAGGAGAGACACCGCAGGCACAGGGCAGAACTCGTAACTGACGCAATCGGCCTCCAACACACAGCGGCCATTGCGCAGCATCTGGCCCGGCGGGCAGGGCGGCGGGAGATTGTTCACACAGCGTCTGCTGCTGGCATTGAAGGTCCATCCGGGCGGACATTCGGTATTTCCCTCGAAGACACACTTGCCTCCCTGGAAGGTCAGCCCGGGCGGGCAGTGCGGGTCCTCGAGGGAGACACACTGGCCCTCCAGCAGCCGCGTGCCCGGCGGGCAGGAGGGCCGGTCGCCCACGCACCGGTTCCCCTGCGGAACTGATCCCGGTGGGCACTCGGGGACGGCGTTGGAGATGCACTCCCCGTTGCGCAGTGTGTATCCGGGAGGACACTGGAGGTCGCCGGTGGAGACGCAGCGGCCGCCCATCCACTTGAACCCCGTCGGACACACGGGCTGGCCGGTCCACACGCACTGTTCCCCGACCAGCTGGGTGTTCTCCGGGCAGGAGGGGGTCGCGCCGGTCACGCAGGCTTCGCCGTTGAAGGTGGACGGCGGCGGGCACTGGACCTGCGTGTTGGAGATGCACTTGTCCCCGTGCAGGGTCGTGTCCGGGGGACAGAGCGGCGCGTCTGAGTGGGCCACGCACCGATGGCCGTCGAAGGTCGTGTGGTCCGGGCAGGTCGGTTGATCACCCGTGATGCAGGCCTCGCCGTTCCAGAAGGCGTTGTCAGGGCACTCGACGTGCCCGTTTACCACACAGTGGGTGCCGTCCCACGTCGAGTCGTCGGGGCAAGTGGGCAGCGCGGTGGTCACACAGAATCCGTCCTGGAGGACCGTGTCCGCCGGACAGCGCACGTTCTCGGTCACTACGCACTGGTTGCCGATCAACTCCGACCCTGGAGGACAGTGCGGGCGCTCGCGCGTCACACAGCGGTTGTCCTCCAGATCGAAGCCCGGCGGGCAAGTGGCCAGCTGCCGCACCACGCACTGCCCACCTTCCAGGCTCGTCCCCGGCGGGCAGCTGGGCTCCAGCACTCCCGGCTGCCGACAGCGGCCCCCCTCCAGCACGGTGCCGGGAGGGCATTGCCCGTCGACGGGGAGGAGGAAGCACTTGCGCCCATCCCAGCCCATGCCGGTGGGGCAGCAGAAGGCGGTTCCGGAGAGCGGATCGATGGCGAGCTGGCTGTGGGGCGGACAGGACGGGGAGGTCGTCGTCGCGCACACGTTGTCGATCGGACGACTGCCGTCGGGACAGACTGGGGGAGTCGTCGAGACACAGCGGCCGATCTTCTTGTTCAGGGTCGTGCCCTCCGGACAGGATGGTTCCTGGTCGGCGACACAGATGTTGCCCTGGACGTGGCTGCCCGGGGGGCAGGTGGGGTGCGTAGTCGAGACACACTTCCGGATGGTGGCATCGTAGCGAGCTCCAGTCGGGCACGAGGGCAGTTCGTTGGAGACGCAGACTGCACCCTCCAGACTCGAGCCCTCGGGGCAGGTAGGTCCTTCGCGGTGCACGCAGGCCTCGCCGTTGAACCAGCCGCCGTTCGGGCAGGACGGTTTCAGGATCGACTCACACACGTTGCCATGGGCATTGAATCCGGTGGGGCAGTGCGGCAGGATCTGGCTCACACAGACGGGCCCCTCGCGGATGTAGGGATCGGGACAGAAGGGCTCCTGAGTCGTGATACAAGTGTGTCCATTCCACGTACTGCCCGTCGGGCAGAGGGGATCTTGCTTCGAGACGCAATATTCGTCGCGGGGCACCGTCCCTTCGGGGCAACTGGGCACCCCTAACGTGCAGGACTGGCCATCAAAGGTGGTCCCCTCCGGACAGCATTTCACCTGGCCTGTGCTGGGATCGATCGAGGGTTTGATCTGGTCCAACGACAGACGCGTCAGGACTTGCTGCTGCTGAGCGGCGGCCTGGAAAGCGGGCAGCATAAGGAACCAGGCGAGAGCCTGCTGCACCGGCGGCATATAGAGGCCAGAACGGTAGCCCAATTGAACGGGAAGTTGTGAAGGAAACGAATTACTTTAGTTTCACTCGCAGCTTTCTTGTTCGTCACTTTACTAAGTAGATCGTCTCTCGTCTGTCCACTTCCTTTCATAGCTCCCACTTATCAGCCTACTCTTCAGTTGTCCAGTACATCCTGGGCTCACTGGGAGTAGATTGCAACGCCCTATCCGCAGGAGCCTCCCACAGATCAACTGCTTGTTCTAGTGTAGAGTCCGGGATACTCTGCTTCCCTACATTTCCGTGCGCATAGAGCTGCCATTGGGGAACCGGCACCGGTGGAAACTTCCGTCCGCCAAGCCGGGCGGTTCCTAGCACTCTCATTTGTCGAACCGAGAGATATCAGTGCGTGCGCATAAGCCGGTCGATTGCTGCTTTGTTCATTGGCAGGCCTGGAGCCATCGATATCAACTCCGTCGAAGCACAGAGGTTGAGTTTGATTTTCAATCGGTCGCAGAATCTTACGAATCAACGAGATCGCCTCCTGGCTAACGATGGCCGCGCCTTATATAGCCGGATGCTACCCCTATTAGGCATCATCTTCAGCATAATCCCTCGATCAATCCATTGATTCAGACACCATCCCCAGCGCTCAATAACCATGGGCGACAGTAAAGATCTTGATGCGAAGAGCACACCTAACGAGGCCCTTCAAGCTCGGTACCTCAACAACAACAGCAACAACACACCTCCCATTGATGCCTCGAACCCCGTTCTCGAGACCATCTGGCGCCACAAATCCATCCGCCACTTCCTCCCCTCCCCGCTCCCCGACGACGCCCTCGAAACCCTCATCGCCTCCGCCCAGAGCGCCTCCACCGCCTCCATGCTTCAGACCTGGAGCGTTGTCGCGGTCCAGGACCCCTCCCGCAAGGCCGCCGCCGCGCAACTCAGCGGCAACCAGGACTTCATCCGCCAGGCGCCGCTCACGCTCTTCTTCTGCGCCGACCTACACCGGCTGACCAATGTCTCGGAGTGGGAGGGCCAGGCCGGCACGGCGCTGGAGAAGACGGATATGTTCATCATGTCGACGATCGATGCGGCCGTGGCGGCGCAGAACGTGGCGCTGGCGGCCGAGTCGCTGGGTCTGGGCATCTGCTACGTGGGCGGGGCGCGCAACAACGCCGCAGAGCTCTGCGAGCTGCTGGCGCTGCCGCCAAGGGTCGTGGCGCTATTTGGTATGGCGGTGGGTTGGCCAGATCTGGCGGCGCAGGCCCCGGATATCAAGCCGCGGTTGCCGATGCAGGAGGTCCTGCATCGTGAGAGATGGGATGGTAGCCACCAGAGGGAGAATGTGGAGCGGTACAATGCGAGCCTTGGGGCGTTCTACGAGTGGCATCAGATGTTCGGTCGGCATACCTGGGCCAAGTTCGTGGCGGGCATGCTGGCGTCGGGGGAGTTGGATGGACGGGAGAGGATTGGACAGGTGCTGCGTGATCGAGGGTTTGGGCTGCAGTGAGAGGGGTGAAGGAGGAGGGTTAATAGAAATCATAGGTTCGAAAGTGAGTTTTATGTGGACTTGAACACACACAGGGGGGAATCTACTCAGTAGAAGCTTTGAAGTTCTGGGGTTTTGGTATAGAGTCGGTCTGTCTAGGGTTTAGCACGGTTCGGTGGGGCTGCACCACGCCTGTTGATCCCGATCTGCATGTCCATAGTCACTGATTATACTTTCAAAATGTGGAAAGAAGCTCCTCTGTAGAGGAATTGCGAATATATGATCAAAGCTGGAAATGGTCGAGACTATTGTCGTCATCACGTGATCGTAGAAGCCTTACTAATTTTTCCAGTGCAGCCTCGGAAAACCCGCCACAAATTGATGGGTTCGCAAGAACCGGTTCTCGAAAGCATAATGCATCTATAGCTATGCCACGCCAATCCAGCCGATCGTGCGATCGATGCTACGGCATCAAGGAGAGGTGTTCCTGGGTGGAAGGCTCTAGCCAGTGCCTGCGATGCTCCCGCCTCGGATTCACCTGCAGCAACACCCGCCAGCCCAAAAAGCCCGGTCGACGGGCTCTGTCCGCCGCAGCACTGCAGGCCAATGGCCCAGACACCAGTAGAAGCACCAGCTTGTTGCCGAGAGCCTTCCCGTCGACCGGCCAACTCAATTTGATCCATAGTTGGATGTCCAACTACGAAACCTTCGACCGCTTTCTCCTGGGCCCCGCCTTCTGGCCGCGCCACCGCGCAGCCCTAATGACGCACCTGGAACACTCGCAGCCCATTCTTGAACACGCCTTCTTGGCTTCCGTGCTCTCGGCGACTCATTCAGAGGGGAGCAGCCGTCACACCAGCCAGCCTGCAGATGGGCTGTCCACGGTATACCAGCACGCTGCCTCCGCGCTGCGGCGCCTGCGCGAATTGCACGTCACGAACCGCCAGCAAGCATCGACGTGTCTCGTTTTGGGCACGAACATCATGCTCTTTGCCATGTTCCAGCGACCCGAGAACGTGTTCACGCTATGCCGGCAGACCCTGGTGCTGGTGCGGCCCGTGTACGACACCATCGACGGGCCCGACCCGGAGGACTTCTTCTTCCTGACGGGCACGATGATGCTGGACATGCTGGGTAGTTTGATCTACGGGGCCGTGCCGGCGCTGAGGTTCCGTCCCCCCAACGATTCGGTATATGTGGATCGCTACCTGGGTCTGTCGACATCCCTCCTCCAGCTACTGTACCGGGTCGGCGAGCTGAATGCGGCGCTCTCGGCTGCCAGCGATCCAGATCTTGCCGTCAATCCCCGATCAACCCAAGACCTCGACGAGATGGAGTCGACGGTGCTCGCATGGCAGCCCGATGTTCCAGAGAAGCTCTGCTCGGCCTTCTCGGCGGTGGAAATCGCACACATCTTCTGCCAGGTACAAGTGCTGCGACTCTGCGCGCTTCTGATGATCCACCGTCTAAAAGTCCCCTTCGGAATCCATGACACACCTGCGCGCGCGATTGCCATCTCCATTCTCATGCAGTTGCAAACCACTCTCGCAGTAACAGGGAAGGCGATCAAATTCGCCATGCTACCCGTCCTTGTAGCCTGCGTCGAGCTGACGACCCAGGAGGAACGGGATCTGTGGTTGGTGCGGATCCCAGAATTAGTATGCTGCTCGAAGGCGTATGGTCTATATATCCAAGGGGCTGTCAGGGCCTTCTGGACGGCCCGGGATGCGGGGGTGGTCTTTCGCGGGTATAATATCAGCCAGTTTGTATCATGCACTGATGACGGGGCGGAGATGCGTCCGACAGCGGCCTAACTTGATTAGTCGTCTGGAATTTTCACCCTCGGATCAAACGGCCTATGGGGTTTCTCACACTGTTACACCTCCTATTCCGAATCATTCAGAATCTTCCTCCCAATCTCCCGCGACGCCAAACCGCGCAGCGTGCGCTCCCGCAATCGGTCCCCGAAGACCATCAGTCCCACCACAAAGGTGAACGCGAAGATCGAAAAGAAGGCCATCATCCCATACACCCAGCCAAATCCCACGCGAGCTACCCACTGATTAATAAAAAAGGGGATCACCAGCCCCAGGGACAGGCGGTAGGCGCCCATGAAGGCGGCCACCTCGGTGGGCTGCGCGGCGACGCACTCTATGGCGTACGTCACCGTCGCAGGCACGGAGCTCATCGAAGCGAACGTGATGAGGTAGGCGCCCAGCGCCAGCACCATGTAGTGCAGGTGGTACTGCAGGGCGGCGCCGACGATGCCCAGGCCGATGGGCAGGAGGAAGAGCGACGGGATCCAGAGCGTGTGGAGCCGGCACTCAGGCTTCCAGACCCCTTTGTTCCGGCTCCGGCAGACCCAGAGCGCGATGCGGTCGTTGCAGAGGTAGCCCCAGAGTTCGGCGGTGAGAAGGCCGGCCCAGAGGGAGAAGATGACTGTTTGCGAGGGGAGTTAGGCGGGAATTTCAGGAAGCAGTTGTTTGGGGAAACATACAGAAGGCATTCCGTTGGGGTGTAAATCCCCAGCCACCGACGTTCGCGGGTTTCTCGAGCCAGACAGTGATGAGACTGTGGGTCGCCACGAACCAGCCGAAGGAGGCAAATTGGAACAGGCCGACCATCAGGCCGATGGGGGAGAGGCCGATGCGGAAGGGGAGATATGCGATACGTCCCTACGCGGAGTTGTATTAGCGAACGCGGTTCGAGAAACCTGATTAAGAATCATACCAACTCAGAGCGGCTTATTCCAGTTTTGTGTGGAAGCAAGGTGGCCATCCGATTAGCCCAGAAGGATGTAGGCTTCCGGGTGGGCACTGTCGTCTCATCGCGTGAATAGCTGGTGTCCTCGAGGAAGCATAACGCTGCGCAGTCGTAAATCAGCCCTGATTCCCATTCTATAGATTGAGAACGTCGAAGAAGAAATGCAACAGACCTAGCACAAGCACAAAACCCTGTGCGATCACCACCCACCAGAATACCCACGGCCAATCTGTATGCTGAACGATAAAGCCCCCAAAGGTCGGGCCAGCCACTGTCCCAAAAAGAAACGAGACATGGAAGGCCGCGTAGGCCTTGCCACGCTCATGCAGGAAGAACATCTCGTAAACAGACCCGACTCCCAGGATGGACGGGATGGATCCAAAAATTCCATCAAAAAGACGGGACGCCACGAAGCGTTCATAGTCGCCTCGACCGGTCATGTTAGCTGACCAGATGGCACATGCCATGGCGAAAAGAAGACACCAGAAGATGATAGCGGTACGGCCGAACGCATGAGCAAGGGGGTTGATTAGGAGTGGGCCGTAGGCGATACCGGCAATGGAGGCGGACAAGGTGTAGGTCACTTCTATAACCGCCTTGTCCCAGTTTTGGGCCTCTTCTTTCTGGGCCAACTGATTCGCCAGGTCCAGTGCTGTGCCCGCAAATCCGGCCATACAGAGGATGGCCAGGTTCCTCAGCTTTCGAGCCTTTGTCCAGTTCTGTGGTGCGGTCAGCGCATGTGTAAGCAACGGTCTACGAGCAACAGGGTAACAGGGAGCATACCAGTGGATCTTCAGGGTCTTGAGACGGTTGGGGTATCAGAACTACCCCATTATGCATTTTTAGATCATGATTTGAGTCATTCACAGTTCCTGACTCTAAGTGAGGCTTGGCATCGAGGGAGTATTGGGCCATGATGGGTGGTAACTAAGGGAGTTCCTTCTATGCCCGTTTTTGCAGAGAGGAGAGATGAGGAGAGGGATATAAAAAAGAAAAGGAAACGAATCGGACAATGATCAAGGAGTAGTCTTACGAGGGTAGGACATTTGAACCACTGCGGGCTAATTTAGATTGCATATGATTAGTGCTTACTGTTAGGCATATTGATCCTTGCACTGCGCTGCATTAGTGTATGCTAGCACCAGTCACTATATACGGGCTGGCTAATACTTGCCTTGTTAATTTCTTGGTATTCTTTCAGAGTCGATGATGTATCTTTGTAGACGAGGCTATGGCATCCCTGCAAGGAGAGTCGGGTCCATGGATTTGTTGGAAATGACTTGATTCAAAAACTTGTTGACGCTGGCTGAGGGTTGCTTCCTCTTAATATACACCATCAACACACAACATTCCCTCGGATAATAGTCAATTGCCACGTTCACTTCAATGTTTGTTCACCATGGCACTGACACTGACCGGAGTCTACAACGCGAGGCAGCTCCAGATAGTGGTGATTAACAGTATTCTTGTGTTTTTGTCAGTGACCGCTGTGTTGTTGCGATTCTGGGCTCGAAATTTGCAAGGACTGAAACCATTTCTGGAAGACTACCTGATACTCGTTGCTTTGGTATGTTTTTCTCTCCTGAAGATCATAGAGTATAGCAGAGATTGACCAACATGGATACAGGTGCTATCCTTGGGAGTGAACATCCTTCTCTTTCAAAGTGAGTCAACATCTCTCATTTCTACCGGCAAGAGCTCTCTAACAGAGATATCAAGGCCTTCATGCCGGCGTAGGTGAGCATGTTGACTCTCTGACAACTGCGACCGTACAAGAATACTCCCTGGCATGTGGTCTCTCTGCTCCCTGTGTTTTGCATGTTACTGACCTGACTGCACGAGCACATAGAACCTGTATATGATGCAACTATTCTGGAACACCTGCCTTCCCATCATCAAGCTTTCCATTGCCCTCTTCTACCAACGCATATTCCCAATCCGATCCATGGTCATTGCCTGTCGCACCATCATCGTCTTTCTCTTCGCTTGGTACCTGGCCTTCCAGACGACGGCCATCTTCCAATGCACACCAATTCACCACGCATGGCAGAAGAAAACTACCCACGGGAGATGCATTCAATTCGTTCCCTTCGTGATCACGTTAGCTGCGACAAATCTATGTACAGATATACTCCTTCTCGCCCTGCCAACCCGCGAGATTTGGAAGCTTCAAATCGCGCAAGGGAAGAAAATCGGATTGTCGGTCATTTTTACTCTGGGTGTTATGTCTGCTGCCCCTCTTTCGGGTAACTTCGCTGTTGTTCTCAATAGTATGAGGTACTAATGCGATTTCTGACGTCCAGTGTGTGTATCATCTCGCTCGTACGGCTCGAAAATCTGATCGCCATCAGCAATGCGGACATTACGTGTGAGCGACAAATGCTTTTATTGTTTTTTTTTTTCTTTGGTCTCTATCTCCCTTATCGAACACAGGGATATTAACTCCTTATTTCCTTAGGGTCCGATACGTATTCCCATCTGTGGACGGCGATCGAAAGCAGCTTAGGGGTGGTGGTGGCGTGTCTCCCGAGTCTGATGCCCATCGTCCGCCTGATTCGCCATGGGAAGGAGTGGAGAGGACAGCACCGCAAATCTCCTCCTGGTGCCGGTCGGGGGTCGTCTTCCTACCTCAGTCACCTGCGTGGGTCCTACGAGCTGTCGCAATTATCTAACCCCAATCACATTAGCTCGGGGCCGGTTCGGCCTCGACTCCGTGCCGGCAGCAGTGATTCGGCCTTGATCGAGAAATACATGGGGGAGATTGAGATCACCACTAAAATCGCGCAGCAGGTGGAGTCTAGTCCTCCTCGTACTTAGTCTCTGCGAGCTAGACTAGGGAGGGTCTGAACGGGTGTGTCATGTTGAATGTGGGTTGGGCTCCTGCTCTGACTAGTCGTGAATGGCACGAGCTGAAGTGGGGAACCCCACTTTGGTTGGTGAGAGCACTTACAGGATCTGGATCCCTGCCTTATCTCAGTCCATTTCCAAGAGGCCGTGGCATGCTCACAAGGTTTTGCAAAGATAATTATGATGCGCGAGCTCACTTGCGTTGAAAGGAGGATAGATAATGAGAGATGGTGCTTTTAGGGCTAGGGCACTGCCACCAGGGCAGCGATGCCTTCTTTCTCTCCTATAACTGTCGAAAACCTCACATCAAATGGCTTCATGACAAGCTTTTATTCCGCCGGAAAAGCCGCTAAGGCTCCTTAGCCTCCGTAAGGCTTTTCTTAGCCTGACCGGCTAAAAGCTTAGTGCTGCGCCGCGGGGTTTGCTGCCCCCCAAGCCCTGTCAGAGCGTCTGATGCCCCTCCCACCTTAACTCAGGGGTTACACTCCTCCACCTGGCAGCTGGTCTCCCAGAATCTCTTGTAGCGGAAGAGCCTGCCACCACTGACTTCCTCGACTCACAGACTCCATCGACAAGACAACCATGGCAACCTCTCCCTCCACCGACGGTCCCGTGCGCATCGCCATCATCGGCGGCGGCATCGCAGGCTTGACGCTCCTCCTGGCTCTCCTGAAGCACACTTCGCGTGACATCCTGCAACCGCACTTATACGAGGCCGCGCCCGCATTTTCCGAGATTGGTGCCGGGATCGCCTTCGGGTCCAACTCCCTCCGGGCGATGGCCCTCATCGACCCGGAGATGATGGCCACCTACAACAAGCACGCCACCGTGCAACCGGACGAAGGCGCCCGCGACCGGAAGCTCTGGTCCAGCTACCGGATGGGGATGGACGGCCAACGGCGTCCGACCAACACCCTCATGGCCGGGGATCATATCCACGAGACGCGCGCCTCGGTGGCCCGGAGCAGCGTTCACCGCGCGCGGTTCCTCGAAGGAATGACTGAGCTTCTCCCAAAAGAAGCGCAAGAGAACCTTGTTTCCTTTGGGAAGCGACTGGTCTCGTTAGACGAGAACCCCGATGCCAGCGTGACGGTCCGGTTCGCGGATGGCACTGCCGCGACAGTGGATGCGGTGATCGGATGCGACGGGATCAGGTCCCGCGTGCGCCAGATCTTGCTCGCGGGCGAGGCGGCAGCCGAGCCCGTCTTCACGGGAAAATACGCCTACCGGGGCTTGATTCCGATGGAGGAGGCGGTCGCTGCGCTGGGCGAGTACACGGCGCGCAACAACCATTTCCACTGGGGGTATGACGGGCATGTCTTGACCTTTCCCATCGAGAAGGGAGAGACGATGAATGTGGTGGCGTTTCGCACCAAGCCGAACGGGGTCTGGGAGCATGGCGCGCAGTGGGTCCTGCCGGGGAACAAGGAGCACATGCTGCAGGACTTTGCGGGCTGGGGTCCGGATGTGCAGGCCATCCTGTCGCTGATGCGCAACTCCGATATCTGGGCCATGTTCGACCATCCCCCCGCGCGGACCTACCACAAAGATGGGCAGATATGCATCATTGGGGATGCGGCGCATGCCAGTACCCCGCATCAGGGGGCTGGGGCCGGGATGGCGATTGAGGATGTCTTTGTCCTGTCGCGGTTGCTGAAGGAGGTTCGGGACCGGAGTCAGCTGGGCCGCGCATTTGCGGCGTACGATGCGGTGCGCAGACCGCGGACCCAGAGGCTGGTCCGCACGAGTCGGGATGCGGGTCTGTTGTACCAGTGTCAAAAGCCCGGGGTGGAGGATGATGTTGACAAGATTCAGCAGGATCTGGACGAGCGGATGCATTGGATCTGGGACTTGGATCTCGAGGCTCATCTTGCAGAGGCATTGGATGTCTTTCATCAGGGATCGTAGACTTAGATTCAGGTCATTAGTCAAGGGCTTCGGTCTCGGCAATGACAGCTTGTATCCCCAGGTAGGCATTGATGCATGTCATCCCGAGAGTTTCAATATAGGCTGTTTCCCAATCAAGCCAGATGATTTAGAGAGCGGAAGCTTGAGCTGAAAGTTCAATAACTTCCCTGGAGCGCCTGACTTCCAAGTTCATCATGTAACGTGGCAGGCAATACAAGCTTTCCCTGTCCTGCTTTGCAGACAACGTAGAAGACAATATTAGTCTTGCTGCATAAGTTTGACTGTCAAATGGGTCATCTGGCGGTCTGCATCACATGGTATTGTACTGGACTAGCAAACTTGCCGTGGTTGGTAACACCGAACCGTCCCCCTCCCATGCACTTATATATGTTTCCATCCTCACCACGATGAAGGCCTACTTCCCACAGTGGAACATGCCCACTGGTGCAGTGAATACATGAAATGATGTGGGCCACGCAGTTATCTTGGTCACTTGTTTTCTTATCGGCCTCGTTGTGGATGCAGGCCATTAATGCTCTTCCCAGTGCATGGACAGGATCCAATTCTTCCTGGCCCAAATCGCAACCGAGCATCACCCGCGATATTGCCATCATCGGCGGTGGCTCTGCAGGAACGTATGCCGCAATTCGCCTGCGTCAGATGAACTACAGTGTCGTCGTCATCGAGAAGGAAGATCATTTGGGGGGACACGTCAACACTTACACCGAACCGACGACAGGAATTGCCGCCGACTACGGAGTGTTATACTTCGAGGATGACCCCTGGGTCCGCGACTACTTTGCCTATTTCCGCGTCCCGGTGGTCAAGGTCTCCGTCCTGGGGCAGGGTGTGATGCGCCGGGTCGATCTCCGAACCGGGGCCTCCGTGCCCCTCTCGGATGGAACCACGCTCCCCGCGTTGGCGGCATACGCGGCGCAGTTGATGAAATATCCCTATCTCAACACCGGGTTCAACCTTCCCGACCCCGTCCCAGAAGAACTCCTTCTCCCCTTCGGCGAGTTCATCAGGAAATACAACCTGGACGGGGCGGTGGACATCATTGCGCTGTTCAATCAAGGTGTCGGGGATCTGCTGCAGCAACTGACCCTCTACATGATGAAATACTTCAGCCTGGGTGTGATTCGGGATGCGGTTGGAGGTTTCCTCCAGCCCGCCAGCCACAATAATAGTGAGCTCTATGGTGCAGCACAGCGAGAGCTGGGGAATGATGTACTACTCAGTAGCACCGTCACAGCCACGCACCGTGAAGAGGAGGAGGGAGACGGGGAGGAGAACTGGGTCTACCTGCAGACGCGCACACCCGCCGGGGAGCAGACGATCCAGGCCAAGAAGCTGATCGTCGCCATACAGCCCAAGCTGGAGAATCTGGACGCCGTAGACCTCGACCCGACCGAAAGGAACCTCTTCGGCCAGTTCAACAACACCTGCTACTACACCTCCGTTGCTCATGTGCCGGGACTCCCCGTCGGCATGCTGGTTCTGAATCGTGCCACGAATACCCCATACCATATCCCGCCGCAGCCCGCAGTCTATACAATGAGACCCACACAGTCCCCTAACCTGACCTCTATTCTCTACGGCAGCGTAGATCATATGAGTGAGGCAGATGTCAAAGAGCACATGACGCAGAGCGTGCTGCAACTGAGGCATGCGGGTATCCCGGTCCAGGCACCGGAGTTTGTCGCTTATTCCGACCACTCCCCATTCTTGTTGACCGTCTCAGCGGACGCGATTCGCGGGGGCTTCTACCGGGACCTGAATGCTCTGCAGGGCCATCGCAATACGTACTATATGTCTGCATCGTTCAACACGCATGATTCAGCGCAGGTCTGGCGTTTCATTGACGAGACGTTGAGGACCCATTTCTCACAGTCGGAAGAATGCACAAGATCTTGAGATAGCTTCAGACACTAGATATAGGTCTTCTTCGAGAAGGTTGAAGCCCCGGATGGGTAGTCGTTGCGGAGCTAGGGCTCGCTCCGATACTCTAACATCCCGAAACCTCATTCTCATACCTCGACTTATACGTACCGCCTGGAGTCCTCAGCCATGACCGGGGACGAACAGGTATTGCTTTACATTAGAGTGGTTGATTCAATCATCTTTCTCCTTTACGATGTCCTTCTGCGTCGCTCTGATGCGTTTCTTGGTGTCGGGCAGTATTCTGAACACCTAGCAAATAGCTCACTATACGACACCCAATGGCCACGATGCAGGCTTTACATACCGCGAGTGGCTCACTGCCAATGTAAACCGTATCCAAACCGTGTTCTCCTATACCCTCGACCAAGTCCTGCTCAACCTGCTGTAGTCGTCGATACGTCCAGGCCCTAGAGGCCAGCTTCATCAGCAGGACACTGCTACCATGACACCGCAGCATGTCGACATCGTTATTGCGGTTGTCTGTCACACATCGAGCATCGGTAACGTCGCACAGCCAACCTGTATGTCAGGTCTGATGCATGCATCATCAGATCTCTTGCAGCACGTTACAAAGGTGCGGGGATTAATTCGCCCACAACTTATGACCCAGTCTAGCCCGCTGTTGATTATGTTGTGTCTGAATTTTCAATATGGCTGTTTCCTTTTCTCAAAACAACCCTCGTCGCATCAACCCGGATCAGCTTCTTTCCACCCCACACATGGTCTAGTCTGTTGAGTAAAGCGACTCGGTTCCCCATTCCCCTTGAGAATAGAATACCCAAGGAGTCAATAGAGTGAAACGAAGAAGCTCACTTCATCACGATGCATCCGATCTTATCGCGATCGAGATCCCGATGGCCGCCCGTGCTCCAATGCATCTGCTTCAACCCTGCGGATAAGGCGTTTCAGTCACGTTTAAGGGAGCGTTTGCTTGACTTAAGGTATCTCATCTATAAATAGAGGCAACTATATGCAGAGTTATGTGTTGATCTATACAGATTGTTTCAATGATGGATCACTTCAACTCGTGATACAGAGGTATGGCATACAAAACAGTGACTAAGTATGACAGCACGCACTTCAGTTAAGCACACCTCCTGTGAAGCATTTGCGCCACAGAAGAGCGGTTCAGGGGCCAGGAACCTCAGACTGGACTTATGAAACAGCCTTTGGGATGGTCTATGTGCCAACCGGTTGCTGTGAATCTCCACAGGGTGGCTGTATGAGGAATGATCTAAATAGACGCCATTAAGCCATCGGAACTCCACCACAACACAGAATATACAACGGCAGATGTTGTTGAGTTTCAGATACCAAACTTATCAGTCAAATTAGGGTAATATGGAGCATCATGCTGTCGGGGCCAGTGCAGCGAATGCTTGTAATATTAGATCCACGACTCTTCCACGGCGTGCCAGCGCGGAACATGACTGAAATTGAGCCTTCTATTGAGTAATACTGATGACACATGATATAGACACACCACTCTGTATCCACAAGGCGGGTAAAGCGTAAAACCCAGCCACGAGACGATCTATAGTATCAAGCTCTGACCCCCTCACTGCCCAGGTCTGCCCGTGCGCATAAACACATTCGAAGGCCGCTGGCGATCCCGAAACTCCTCATCCACCTCGTACACAAACTCGCCGCCGTCCTGCTCGAACCCCAGCTTCCGGTACACATGGCGCCCCATGCTCGACGCCTCCAGCACGGCCTCGAGCCCCCCGCGCTCCCGCGCCTTGCGGAGCCCCCACTCCACCAATTCTGTCGCGACCCCCCGCCGCTGGAACGCAGGGTCCACCGCACAGAGATCCAACACCAGCACCGCCGGCGAGTCCGTACCCGCAATCTCGCGCACGTACTCGATCCGACGGCGCTGCAGCCCGAACACCACCTGGCGCAGATACCGTTGCTCGGACGGGTTGCCGGGAACCAAGGCCTCCAGGTCCATCGTCTCGCCGATATCCACGACAGGGGCGTCCCCGTATCCGGCCACCTGGGACGCTTGGACCCAGATAGCCACGCCGGCAATCTCCTCGTCGCCTGCTGCGCTGCCTTCTGGGCGGGGGACCACGGCCTTGAGGAAGATAGTGTTGGGACGGCCTTGTTGGTCGGTGGTGGTGGACGACCAGCGGGCCGCGAAGCGGGCGCTGCCGCTCTTTTGGCCCTCCGGCGTGTCCCAGCCGGGGTTCATGGCACACCACACGCCGTCCTGGACCTGGTGGCCGAAGGCGAGAGCGGTGATTTGGAAGAAGCGGTCGAAGTCGGCCGGGTCGGTGATGGGTTCCACTCGGAGCATCTCCCTGGTTGACTCCGCGTTTGCGCTCATGGTGATAGCCGTTGATCCGATTGAGCGGGGGACTTGGGGACTGGCAAGGTACGTAGATGCGGGAAGTTGGGTTTCTGGGGACACTATGTGAATTGTATCAATTTGATTACAAGGTCGGACATCCAGAAAGGTATTGTTGATCGTAGATATACGCGGAACATAGAGCCACGTCACTAGGTTAGTTGTTAGTTCACTTCGGTATGAGCTTACAAATCACATGCCTAACAAAGTTAGTCAAGCTGGAATCTACTCCTTGGCATTCTGGGCCTGTTTCTCTTCAACGGTGGCAGTGACTTGGAACGACCGTTCATATAGCATCGGAAACTAGTCGAAAAAAACTCCTGCCTTTGCGCGTTGTGATTGCCAGGCAATAACCTGAATCAACATGCCAACTTCCAGTGCACTCAGAACGACACACGCTATCATGGAATCCTTCACTCTATTCCAAGAAATACATACAATATTCCCACTCAATCAAGACCAGTACACATCCACACCATTAAGTAGAGTTCTACCTCAAAGGGCAGAGCAGTTGACAAAACCATCCTCATAGTGGCGAATCACGCCACAGAAGCGCGCTCTCGCAGTCTTGCCTGTTCCAGTATACTCGAAGATGAGCCGATCCGGTAACTTCTTGACATCACCGCCGCTGTAGATCCGCGCGGGATTCTCGCGGTCCAGAGCGAACTCCTGCTTGCTGGCGCCGCACTTGAAAGGTAGCTTGTCATGGTTGGCGAAGTTGTGGGGGTACTTGTCTGTATAATGCCATCAGCTCGAGCGTTCAAAGCCTTTCATGAGAATCTTCGGGTGAGGATGGGTAACGGTAGTAGCTCCGTACTCTTTCCAAGCTTTTTACCCTCGTTGGCATACTTGGCAGCGTCAATGTATGCCTTCGCCAGCTGTCCGGAGGTGTAGGTGGTCTCCGTGTACGCGTCGGTTTTCGGGCAGGTGTAGCTCTTGCTGGGGAAGTCTGCAGTTGCCAGTTTAGGGGCTGTCTTGCCGCGCTTGTTAAAATCCTCGGTGATGTAGTCCGGCTGTTCAGTACGGGCCTCGACAGGCAAGACATCACTGGAATGGAAGTGGGTGAGGGGGCTGGCGAGAACAGCTTGGCCCATGAATGCGCCGGCCAGCAGTATGTGTAGAACACAAGCTTTAACTATGTAGGGCATTATCACTGATATGTTGTGGGATATCAAACAAAAAATGATACTGAAGGAATGCTCTTGACAAGCTATTAATGGCTATAGATGCTTAACCACGACATGAGATTACTTGCGCTTTATAGAGTTCAATTCTTGAGTACAACCTATTTCCTGTTGGTATTCCGATTCATGTCTGCTGTGAAGCTGTTTCACGTTGGACCACATTGCAATGAGAATGGCTTAAAGCTGGTATTCAGGCGTGGGTATACCAGGATGCTAGGGTTGGTGCTTGCTCTGGCGATCGAATTCATCCAGGTCATAATAGCGAGGGGGGTTGACCTTGTCTTTGGGGTCAATTGCTGAAACGGTGAGCTTGGGGTTGACAAGCACTTACTATTCGGTAAAAGAGGTCTATGTTGGAAAGCTGCCAAGGACTCTGCTTTTTCCTTTTGCGCGTTGGCCATTGTTCACTTTTGTCTCTGTATGTTCCCGAAGCCGGACCCCGAATTTTGTGAGAGTATAGTTAGAGGGCAATGAAGGAACAATTGGCATCATTGATAAACCAATCCAGAGCGCCATGTCATGATGGCTCTGTGCATAAACTGCGATGGTGCTTACTGGCAAAATTAGGGCAACGGGGCGCAATGGGGGGCTGTGTTGTAACAAGCCCCCAGCAAGCAAGCAAACAAAGAACTGACAGGGTCCGAGGTACTGACCAGGGTTTGATAGATGAGTCAGAAACTTACCAGTATCATTCACTATAGCACCCCAAACCAGTATCCCTCATTAAACATTCGATATTTAAATTCCCACCTCTCCTTCCTTCCTACTCTTCTTTTAAACAGATCTCATCAAGCCATCCATTCTTCGCCCATCGCTTTTCACCATGAGCAACATGATCCCCGAATATGAAGCCTTCTTGGCCCAAGAGGCACAGGATGAGTGGCCTCCACGCCCAGAGATCCTTTCCGCTCTCCGGACCCTGCTGATCGACCCCTCTGCTCCCGCTGCAGACGTCGCCAGAGCATGCGTATCTCGCGCTATTGCTGAGGCGAACCCGACTCCCGAGTACGGCGACCTGTGGTCACCCTTCATCGGCGCCGTGGAGCGTTTCCCCGAGCACTGCGACCGATTCGTGGAGTTTCTCATCGCCCTGCATGAGCTCCCCGACTGCGATGGGGAGTTCAAATGGCTGGAGGGGTTCTCCATGTACCTCTGCGAGTTCACTTACGACTGTGGGTTCTTACTTATACCCTGAGCGACTTGCTGTTTCGAGCGATCCTTTAACCCTGTAACAGGAACTGAGACGGTCACAGACGTGGATCACTGCTTCAACGCGACGACCCGCGAGACCGAGCGACAACGCTTCCTGGACGCGAATGTCTTCACCATCAAGTTCTACCAGCGTCTGCCCCGCCCCAACCGCTTTGGATTTCTGATCAATCACGGCGCGTGGGTGCTCCGCAGGACCTTGGAGCATGCCCCCTACGAGAGGTTCCACCATCCGCTTATCGAGAACGTCATCCAGGATTGCGACGAGGACGAGGAGGACTTCTACAATATGAAGCGCGATGAGGCGCTCGAGATCATCGACGTCAGGGCGCTTAATGGGTTTGTGCCGGCGGCTGCCGTGTGGCTGGAGTATTGTGGCAAGGAGATCTATGAGAAGCAGGGGTCCCTGGGACGGGAGATCCGCGCGTATGACAAGTGGAAGGGGTCGGAGGGCTGGTCGAAGGAGCGCTGGGCATTCTGGAAGGAGAGGTTTACCTGGATTTCTGCAGTTACGGCACTGGATCGGAAGACGAGACGGATTGCGAAGAATGTGGTGGAATCGATGCGCAGGATTGAACAGGGAGATGATGGGGTACTTGAATAGGGGGTATCTGCAAATTGTGGCGCGGGCTTCTATGTGTCTCGCTGGTTATGGTTCAGAATAGACGTTTTTGCTGTACTAAAGCACTACTCAATCTTTAGCACTCTCGGATTGGGATTGCATCTCGACTCCAACCTCTATCTCGATACAACAGTCAAGTAGTGCAGTTAATTGTAGAGACCACCGACAATTGTTGACGTATCCGATGCAATCTAACACAAATAAGCCCGCCTGACTGGCAACTGATAACCAGGTATAAAACAAATTGCTGGACTCGGATATGTAGACGATGGAGTATTAAAGCCATTGTGTGACCGGCCACCTGTATTGCTCTCACAAAGATGTTGGTGAGATATCAAATGGGTATGATTACTTGCTGTGCACTTCGATGTGCCAACAAACCTCACTTGTTATGTCTTCATCGCTAGACTTCACATGCTGGATGGGTATGAAGGACTTATCAGAGATGGTTTTAGGCGCGTATCAATTGTGCAAAATTTAACTTAAAGTTTGATATATATATTGCCAGATTCGCGCCTTGCACGTTAACGAAACACCTTCATTTCTTGGAAGATATCTGGTCTCTGTCTGTAGGTCTGTCATAAATATACAGCGATGATGGTGTCATTAAGCCTGACTGTGCAGCTCAGTGCCGGTTTCAGACACCTAACATGATTGAAATAGGACAAGACGAGAAAAGCACTCAAATGTAAGAGGTTGGTTGTGAAGGCATCCTGCAAGAAAAGACATATCAACCGCTCGCATGGCTTAGATGGTAAAGCGCAGCACTAGTAATGCTGAGATCCTCGGTTCGAGTCCGAGTGTGAGCAACTCTTCTTTTTTTGGTCTCATGTTGCCCTTTTGGGTCGCGGTTTTTACCCTACTATCAACTGGCACCGCACATTGTCTCCGGGAAGTTGGCAGACCATATGATAAGGGCTGTATGTAGATGTAGATTGGACAATGCTTCAGTCGTTACAACTCAAAGACTGCATCGTCCGCATTGCTTTGAGTACAGAGTACTGTAAGGAGCTCCGCACCGAATGTCTCAGCTATTCTATTCTGCATTCCGGGTCCGATTGATCTGTGCCTCGATTCCGGGTCCCTGACCAATGAGCAGGCATAGCAGGTCTTACCCACAGATCCACCTTTTTCCATAGCCACCGACCAAGGACCAGCAGCAGAAAAACAAAAAGATGGAGCTGCGGGGAATCGAACCCCGGACCTCTCCCATGCTAAGGGAATATTATACCACTAAACCACAGCCCCAATTGTTGAAATGTGGCTCAAAAGTGTGCTACATGGTAAAACACAAACATACCGTCCAGCATCATGCCCTGTCGTTCCCTCTCGACCAGCCCTACACTCCCTACCTTGACTTATTACTTGACCAGGTCGACCAGATGTACTCCTGAGACTAGCAGATAACACTAGACTTTGTGCCATGCTCCTCAGATTGCTGAGAGTAATATTATCCACTGATGTTATTCAACGAATGGAAGGTCTTACTATCGCTCCTGCGATGTATATTTTCCCCCTCGATGGTACTCTCGGGCATACACCACTTCAAGGCCAACGTTGGCGTGCCACAGGGCCTGCCAACTCCTTCCATCTGTGAAAAGAAACTCTTTTTCGCACCATGGAGCTTGCCAGTGTATGCTGAGGTATTTAAGCGCCCTCGATCGTCGCTCTGCATATTGCCAAGGCTCGTTCATTCCTGCGCAAGGCTGAGACGGAAGGCGATGCAGTCGCGGGGTAAGCCATATTAGGGCCTCTCCTCCGCACGACCAAAGTGTAGAATTCCTGGCCACCACATAATGATCAACCCAGATATGGCAAGATCACAAGAAGCGACGCAGATTCTCCAACAAGAAAGCAATGAGCCGAAAGACCGAACAAAAGTCCGATACTCCACGCTCGACGGCCAACAGCATGTATGGCAAACCGGGGCGTGGAAGCGACTCCCCTACCTCGGTCTCCTGTCCCTGCTGGGCGTGCTCCTATGTATCGGCTTCAATATCGCCATCCTACTGACCTGCAACGGCCAGTCCGTCAGCAAATGGTCCGTGCAGCCCTCCGTCCTGCTGGCCATCTCCGCCGCCCTCAGCAACGGCCTCCTCAAGTTCGCCATGGCCGAAGGCGCCGCCATCAGCTGGTGGCTGCGCGCGATCGACGGCTGCACCGTGGACGACCTGCACTGCTACTGGAGCTTCCCGAACAGCCTCTACGACGCGGCGAGAAACATCCGGGTCGCGAACCTCCTCACCTTCGCGAGCGTGGCCTCCGTCCTCGTGGCCGTCGACAGCCCGCTCTATCAGCGCGCCCTGACCATCGTCACCGACACCGTCGCGCACCAGACGCCCCTCTCCGTCAAGATCGCCCGGCAGATCCCCGAGGGATACACGGGCACGCTAATGCAGCACACCACGCCGCCGGCCCTGGGGTCGATGAAGCCCGCGTTCCAGCAGGTGATGGAGGGATACAACAGCCGTGAGACCATGTACATCAACAGCACGGTCGGGGGCAGCAGCGACAGCGGCAATTTCACCGGACTGACGATCCGCGCCGCGGGGTTTGCCGTTGACTGCGCACAGGAGACGCGGCCCTGGGATTTCGGCCCCGCCTACGAGACCAAGAACGGCTCGCTGACGAGCAACGATTCAAGCGATATTGTCGGGATGGTCGACGTGGAGCGCACGATGTTCCAGACCAACTTTACCTTTGACGCCACGCTGCCGTCGAATATCACCTTCACGGCGGTGTGGAAGGACCAGATCCCCTGCGTCAGTCGGTTGCAGGTCAAGCGGTGCCGGTTCCAGATTGCCGAGCTGTACTACCCGGTTACGGTTGTCAACAATACGGTGGAGTTTGCTGGGGCTCTGGACGAGCTGGGGCTCTCTGCGGAGTCGATCGCCGCGAGGTATGAGATCGACAGCAACGAAGTCACCCAGCGTAATGGCAGCACGCTGGGGGGCATCTACCTGGGCGCGGAGGATCTGCTCAACGCGCAGGCCGCTGCCGACCAGGCGGACCACATCTGGAGTCTGGATACCTCGGGCACGCTGGCCCAGGACTACGCGAATAACTCCGATCTGACCACCACGTGTCAAAGCACCTGGTCCGATCCCACGTCCGCGGTCATTTCCACCCTGCAGGAGATCATGTTCCGCACGGCGCTCGCGGCGGCGAACGACTCGAGCAGGCTGGAATACTACAAGGGGGTGGACGCTACGCGCGTACAGACGAACCAGACGGTGAACTCGGTGCTGACCACGGAGGAAGTAGTGTTCAAGCTGCATCCGGAGTACTTGGCGGTAGGCGTCTTAGTGACGATTGCTTGTGTGATTCCCGTGGCGTCGACCTTCTATGGGTGGTGGAAGATCGGGCGGCCGGTCACGATGAGCCCGATTGAGATCGCCAAGGCGTTCAATGCGCCGGTGCTGCGTGGCTCGGCCACGGGGAGTGATTTGCAGGGGTTGTTGCCGGTGGTGGGGAGGCGGCGTGTGCGTTACGGGGCGGTTCGATATCGCGGGGAAAAGGTGGTGTTTCCGGAGGAGGGATCGGAGGAGGAAGAAGGGGGCGTGGAGACTCGTCTCGAGCTGGCTCATCTTCATTGGACCTCTGTGCCTGAACAAGGGGCGCATTTTGCGTAGGGCTGAGGTAAGAATATATCAGGTGTAATGTAGACAGTATCAGCAGCGAAAGCTTGGAGAGTACTGTACAGTACATTCTAGTATGCGGTTCCAGCCCTCTTAAATCAGGGCTATAATGAATAGACCCTCAGAAAGCAATTACTTACAGCGAGCGGAGCAAACATGGTATCATGCAAGGGATGACGCCTCCTGCACAACAGCAGTGGTACTCCGTAGAGTCCGTACAGACCGCTCCATGCTTCGGGAGGGGTAATCAGCCCCTACTTGGGCAATCCAATGTACATATTAATTCCAAGCTCTCCCCGCGACTGACAGTAGCTTGTTTGGTTACTCACCCCACTCATACATCCACCATGTTGGGCATAGGCACCATCCTGGCGGGCCTCACAGGCGCCCTCAGCACACGACTGCTGATGCAGCGCTCAGAAACCCCCACAGCCACAAATTCCACGACTCTCCCCCTCAAAATCGACACTCACCACCACTTCGTCCCCGACTTCTACCGCCAAGGTACAGTACAGTACCCCCTCCCCAACAAACCCCACCCCACCTCAACCACCACCCATCAACCCTAACTCCCCCGCCAACCTCCAGCAATCGACGCCGCCGGCGGCGACCCAGCGGGCTTCCCGACCCCGAACTGGACCCTGCAAACCACGCTGGACAACCTCCAAACCAACGGTGTCCGCAAAGCCTACCTCTCCCTGACCTCGCCCGGCCCCACCATCGCAGGCCCCAACACAACCACCATCCGCGACCTCGCCCGCCAGGCCAACGAATACGCCGCCGCGCTCGCCGCCGCCCACCCCACCCAGCTAGGCTTCTTCGCCTCCCTGCCATCCCCGCTCGACGACCCATCCGGCACCCTCGCCGAGATCACCTACGCCCTGGACACCCTGCACGCCGACGGCGTCACCCTCTTCACGCGCTACGGCCCGGACAACCACTACCTCGGGCACCCGGCCTTCCGGCCCCTGTGGACCGCCCTCCACGCCCGCCGCGCCGTCGTCTTCATCCACCCGACCACCGCCGCGTGCAACGAGTGGCTCAACCCCGTCCTCCCGCCGCCCATGCTGGACTTCCCGGCGGAGACCACCCGCGCCGCGATCGATATGATCATGGGCAACGTCACCCGGGACTTTCCGGACGCGAAGCGCATCCTCTCGCATGCCGGGGGGACCTTGCCGTTTCTGATTTCTAGGGTCGCGGTGACGGCGCGCGCGGCGCAGCAGCAGAATGTGACGATGTATGGGAAGACGTATGCGGAGTGGATGGAGGGGGTGCGCTCGTTTTATTACGATTTGGCGCTGGTGGGGACGCCGGGCGTGGTGGATTTGGTGTTGGGGACGGTGGATCCGGGGAAGGTCGTTTACGGTACGTTTGTCACGTCCTTTTGGTTTCTGCGGGTGGTTGTTTTGGGGGGGGGGGGGGGTGGATTGCTAACTTGGCGGGGTGATGGGTAGGATCGGATTTTCCGTATGCGAATGCGGATAAAGTGGCCGGGTATTGCGAGTATTTGGATGAGTATGCCATGGACGAGGAGTTGCGCCAGGGGATTTACTTTGGGAATGCGGAGAGGTTGTTGGGTTAGGGCTGTGGTTGGTGGGCTTGGGGTTGTATGCGTGGTTGTAGCTCGCATGCGACTTAGGGGAGATTCATAGTCAAGTTTTTGGTTTGTCGCGTAACCCACTACGCAGCCAAAGAGGAGATACTTGTTAATAATCACCTCCCCCGTACTTCTACACTACTTAAAACAGAGTCAACCCGCTTAATCCTTCTGCAAAACCCGCCGAAACGTCTCCAACGTGTGCTCCCACACCTTCCCCGTGAACCCGCGCTCGCGGTACTCGGCCATCAGCTTCTCCTTCGTCGCGTTCTTCCCATCGTAGTTCAAGATATACGACCCGCCGCCGACCTGGCCCGTCGACGCGACCGCCGCGCGCAGCCCCTCCGCCAACGGCGTGCCCACATACGACGCATCCCTGGGCTTCGCGGCCGGGTACGCCGCCGAGGTGGCGATGAACAGGTTGCGCTGGCCGCTCTCCTCGGGCGTCATGGACAGCGGCCGCGAGAGCACGCTCATCACGGACCCGGCCCAGTTCCCGAAGGTCGACTTCATGAGCGGGGTGCGCACGATCCCCGGGAAGACGTGCGCGAAGCCGACGGTCGGGTGCGTCGCGGCCAGGTGCTCCAGGGCCAGCGAGTTGAGCGTCGCCGCGTAGGAGGCCGCCTTGCGGAAGGACCACGACTGCCGCAGGTCCAGGTTGTGCTCGTCCACGTGGCCCTCTTGCCCGGCGGCGAGCACGGACACGACGCGTGGCGCGCCGGGCGAGTTCTCCAGCAAGGGCAGGAGGTTGTGGATGAAGCGCATGCGGCCGTAGTAGCGCAGGACGTGGTTGTCGTCGAGGCCTTCTTCGGTTTCTGGGGGGGTTTTAGCTTGGAGTTTTTGAGGCTCTAGGGGGCTTGGGTAGGGAAGTACCGTTCTTGGACATGGCCAGATGGCCTGTTGAGAGAAAGAGCAGGTCGATGGATTTCTCCTTCTCCTTGATCTGCTCGCAGGCGGTGTCGACATTCCGCAGCAGGGAGAGGTCGGCCTGGATGAAGTGGAACTTGCCATCCGGGTTGGCGGCGCGGAGCTCCTCCAGGACGCGCGAGCCTGATGCTGCGCTGCGTCCCACGACGTGGATGGTGGGCTGCTTCACGGATTGGGCCAGTTGCTTGGCGGTTGCTTCGCCGATGCCGCTGGTGCCGCCGACGAAGACGGCGATCAGCTCGGGCCGGCTGGTGGAGAGGGTCGCGTTGGACTGGCGGACCTCGTTGAGGGTGGGCATGATGACGGGCTGTGAGGGAAGGATAAACTGGATCACATCAATTGTTTTACTTGTACTTGTGAATTGTGAGTTATTGAGAAGTGGTGTTTGTGATGGAATGGAATGTGGTGATAGTCGGGGTTTAAATACGAAGTCTTGGCAGAGCGGACAATGGAGGATGGGATGAGATGAGATGAGATGACGTCTTCCAACATTCTGACTCAGCAACGGCATCTCGGATGGCATTCCTTTTTCGGTCGCTCGTGATTCATTTAATGCATGATCCATGCAGGTTCGGACTCCTCCGCTAGTAGTGACTAGATATGCCACTGTAGTGGCACTACACGTACCAGACCAGACCAGACCAGACCAATAATTAACCTAGCTAGTGTTTACCTTCACCATCCTCTTTTCTATCTTGAGGTCCACTTGATGATCAAGTGATCAAGTCGACTTTCCCCGATAATTGACCGTTCAGCCTCAACAGCACAGTCTACTGCTCCCAGCGTGATGAAACGGTCTTGGTCGTGGTGAAGAAGGGCCAGTACGTCTTCCCAGGAGCATGACGGTCTGAGAACGTCAGCACAGCACACCACTCCACGTTTAGAGCAAAAAGGATGCTTACCTCCTAGGAACGAATCCTTGTTGCTCGTCCGCACAGCGGTGCCATACGGGGCTGTACATCTATCAGTATAGTACTGCACCAGAAACGCCATCAACATACCTATTAGCGGGATGTTGACCCCAATCTGCCCAACATTGACGCCGCGTTGAAATGTATTGGCGTGTTTACCACTGGTGGTGAAGATGGAACATGCGTTGCCATCTACAGAGCCAGTATGAGCTGTCCGGAATCATTGAGTTTGTGGTGCCTCGCAAACTTACATATATTCTGATTAATGAGCTCCATCGCCTCCTCCAAAGTCTCAACCTCCATGCAGATGAGCACCGGCCCGAAGATCTCCGACTGGTAGCACTCCATGTACGTCTCGACATCGGTCAGGATCGTCGGCCCCATGAAATTGCCATCCGGGTAGCCGGGGACCTGGATCTCGCGACCGTCCAGAAGCACCCGGGCTTGCTCCTGGACCGCACGTTGAATGACGCCGCTGACCCGCTTGAGGGCGGCCTCGTCGATCAGCGGCCCGATCTTGGACTTCTGGTCGCCCCCACAGCCCACGACCATCGACTCGGCCAGCTCGACCAGTTTGGGGATCCACTCGCGCGTGCTGCCCACGAAGACGGCCACGCTGAGCGCCATGCACCGCTGGCCGGCCGCCCCGAAGGCACTGCCGGCGATGGCGAAGAGCGTGGACGTCATGTTGGCGTCCTCGAGGATGACCCCGTGGTTCTTGCCGCCGCACTCGGCTTGGATGCGCTTTCCGGCGGCGCGTGCAAGGTCGTGGACTTGTCGCGCGGCAGGTTCGGACCCGACGAAGCTGATGGCCTGGACGGCGGGCTGGTGGATCAGCATCTGGACGGTCGAAGGGCCGCCGTGCAGGATGTTGAACACCCCGGGCGGGAACCCTGTTTGAAGAAAGGCGTCCGCCAGTAAGGCGGATGTTGAAGGTGTCTTCTCGGACGGCTTTAATACCACGGTATTCCCTGTGATCAGGGCATAGGGTAACGACCAGAGGGGGATCATGAAGGGAAAACTGAAGGGAGTAATGGAGACACAGACGCCCTGCAGGTTTCAATCAGCATTGAACCCTTTTCTCTTTTCAGTTCAAGACAATCCACAGTCAGCACTGACCACCGGTTCGTAGAAAGTCTGCAGCAAGGTGGCATCGCCTCCGAGGAACATGCCCGCCATTTCCGGCCCGACGGAGCAGGCAGCGTGGATGCAGTCCAGCCCGCGGAAAACCTCGGCGTCGGCATCGGCGAGAGTCTTCCCCACCTCGCGGGATAAACATGTCACCTACGGCCAGTCTGCATTAGCTCCAGGGCTACTTGGTGTCCTGGCATCCAGTCCTGGCGGAACGAGTCTTACTATTTCCGGCGACATCTGCCGGAGTACATCCACGAGTTTCAACAGCCGCTCCCGCCGCACCTGGAACCCCAGCGCCGCCCAGGCGGGCTGAGCATCCTGTGCTGCCTGAACAGCCCTCTGGACTTCCTGCAGTGTACTTCCAGGAACCCTACATAGTAAACTCTGCGAGACCTGAAATCGGAGTTCAGCGACCACAGAAACGGGACAATTTCTAGGGGAAAAAGAACGCAAGAAAAGAGAAAAGAAACAACTAGACGAAGTCCTCTTACCGGATCTAGAACATTGCTCCAGCTCTGCGACTTGGACATGACATGCTCGTTGTTAAGAAAGAGATGCGTCACGGTAGGAGGCGCGGGCGAGACCGGAGCATCTGATCCATTCTCATCATCATCCCCATCGTTGTCCAATTCCGAGCTCTCCCCACGGGGTGTGACGTCCTCGACGTGACTAGACCGCGTGCTACTCCTCCGCGAGCGGGTCTGACACCAACGTCAATCGGGTGTTGTTCGTGTCGGGCTTATCGGATGAAAGTGCACATACATCTGAGCTTCGGCGGGAGGCCCGCCCGCTGGAGACGACCGTATCGTCGCTCGGAGTGGGCGATCCCGAGGGGAAGGGGGCGAACCGCGCCGCTCGATTCGACGATTTGGTCGCGATTCGGGGCATATCTCGCAGTTCAATGTGTTATCCGCTCACCGGGTAAGGCGATTGAGGCGGAGTGTGAGGGAAGATAGAGACGATAGATTGATTATCTTTGGATGCTGGGGTTCAAGGCGGCTTATCAGTGCTTAAAACAGGTCGGGATTCCCCGAGGGATTGCGCGATAAGGAGTTTGTTTCCCCGCTTTGTGGGAGATCGCTGATAAGCAAGTCTGGTGGTGGGCTTAGCTCATTGCTCTTTATGGCTTGGGGTAATGGGAATTAAGAGGGGGGACTATAGGTGGATACTGGATTCATGCAGTGTACTCCATACTGTAAACTGATCTATGCGACCGTGGATCTCTTCTGGTACTTACAACCAGGCAGGTAGACGTCATCCTCTCGATTGAGAACTATTAGCCCCGAGTGGCTAAGGCATGGCTCACAGCCGCAGGATGGATACTTGTCCATCTGACTGAGCACAGCGTATCCTGCTGCATGATAAGAATGAGAAGACATGGGCGCAAGCCTTGGGTTCCGTAGATGTGCCTTCGTATTGAAGACTCTTGCTGTATGGTCAACAACTGGCTTCAAACATCTGGTCACGCGACAGCCGGACGTCGGACTAAACAAATTCAACTTCATGCGCACGGTACATAGCAGAAAGATGTAGGATAATGTGACTTCTTGACATTGAAGAAGATAACTCCTCTTTGCTCTCCTCCACCCGACAAGCAAGCCCCAGGCCAAACCAGGATAGCGATAAGATTAGATCCGCCTTATCAACCACAATTGCAGTCGCGTGCCAAGCCGAATCTCGTTTTTTTTTTTCTTTGTAAATTTTCTTCTCCGCCTTCTTCCGCCCACGCACGCATTAATTCACTGCATTGTACCCCTCTTCACTCACACCAAAGCGAGGTACCCCGCGGTCATCTGGATATAAATCAAGGTACTTCTACCCTTGTTTCTCTAATTCCCTCCCTTTCACGAAGTTTCGCAAACTTCATCACCCCCAACCCCCCCACAAACTCGGCACATCTAGTATATCTAAACAAATACGTCAAACTCTAAAGGCCTCCACAAAATGTCAACCCCAACTGCCGGAACCACCTCGGCACTTCCCACCACCACCCCGATGGACCACGTCACCGTGCTCGAGCAGGACCGCTCGCTGCTCAGCCTCATGACCATCATCCGGGACGTCAACACCGACGACCGCGCATTCGTCTCCGCGGTGGAGAAAGTGGTGCACCGCCTGATCTCTTCCGGTATGGTCACGTGCTCTTTTCGGGGCCGGTAGGAAAAGAAAAGACAACTAATGCGAGAGAGGATATCAGCGCTGAACCATGTCCCCGCTGAGGAGTATACCGTCACCACACCGCTAAATACCACGTACCAGGGCCTCCGCTTCACGAAGGGGGTCTGTGGTGTGAGCATCCTGCGGGCGGGCGCGAGCATGGAGCAGGTTTTGCGGGATACGTGGACGTAAGTGACCCCCCCCCCGGCCACTATGGTCTCGGTTTGTGGGTGTTGTAGTGGATGGAAATGCTGATTGTTTCGGGGAAGCGGTCGCCTGAGCTTCGGAAAGCTCCTCATCCAGCGCGACGAGGAGACGAGCGTCGCCAAGAGTTATTATTCGAAGTTGCCGGCGGGGATTTGCAATGATGGTATGTCTTTCTGTGGACTTGGTCTTTACGATTGCTTTCTTTTTTCGGGATGTTCTGACCAGAAATAGTCGTCTTGCTTCTCGAGCCGATGCTCGCGACGGGAGGCTCGGTCATCAAGGCCGTGGAGACGCTGACCGAGCATGGCGTGCCGGAGGAGTCGATCGTGCTGGTGAATGTCGTCTCGTCGAAGAAGGGGCTCGACGTGGTCACGGGACGGTTCCCCGCGTTGAAGATCGTGTCTGCGGCGGTGGATGCGGATCTGACGGCGCAGAAGTAAGGATTCCTCCTTCCTTCGGTTTTCTGTCGTGTCCTTCAAAACGCAAGTACTGACCTGTCGCAGCTATATCAGCCCTGGCTTGGGTGACTTCGGGGATAGGTACTATGGTACGTGCTGAGTATGTTTTGAGGTGGGAGAGGCAGTCGGTGTTTCGTGGCTATGGTAGTGTCAGTATTTCTTCTTTGGGTATTTGGATCTTGGGTGTTCTATGCATTGTGACGAGGATGGTAGGTTCGAATTTGGATAAGTCTTGCATATAAGGTTGGAAGGGGTTTAAGTTGCATATTCATCGCATTAGGGCGGAGGTCTTGAGTCGAACAATCTTGGCTGCTATGTTGCAAATACAATGTCAAATACTTCGTTACTGAATGCGATCATTCGCTTCGTCTTGTAAATCCCTATCTACTTTACTATCTGCGACCAAGATCAGAAGATCGTTCCAAACAGCCGATCCCCGATATCTCCCACCCCGGGCTGAATATACCCCTTCGCATTCACCTCCGGATCCACTGCGCCCACCACAAACCGACTCCCCTCCGGCCACACCTCGGCCGCGTGAGACAACCCCATTAGTGTGGCGAGCATTGACAGGAAAGTCACCTTCTCCACGCCCCATTCCCTACGGATACTTCGTTAGCCACCAGAATCACAGGTTTCTTACAGCCCAACCTATGTCGAAAAATAAGAAAAAGAAAGAGACTCACTCCAGGATACCCACAACCGCCGCCGCTGTCCCACCCGTCGCAATCAACGGATCCAGCACCACCGCCTGTTTGATCTGCGCCGGCTTGAGAGGCAGTTTGTTGTAATACTCCACCGGCTGCAACGTGGTTTGGTCTCGGAAAATGCCCAGGTGGTAGATCGCGGTCGAGAGGCTCTCTGGCAAGCTGTCAATGAAGCCATCGAACATGGCGAGCCCGGAGCGGAGGACGACGATCACGGCTACGGTTTCGTCGGGGGCGGTGGTGTCGAGATGGATGGATTTAGAGAGGGTGATCGTCATTTCACGGACCAGGGAGCGGACGGTAGAGGGCTTGAGGTCGCGTTGGCGGAGGCTTTGGAGGAGAGTTGTAAAGGTGGTGTTGTGCACTTGGTGCACGTTGGATGGGAGGGTGATGGTCATGGTGAGGTGGTAGTGATTCTGGAGGATGGATGTCTAGTGTAAAAGTAGATGCAAGGGTGTATGTGTAGTCCAGGGACGATGGCAGTAAAGCAGGCTTATATTTATTAATGCCTTAGCTCACGCATCACAGAGGAACACTTGCAATGTATCGATGCTGTTGCTGTGATATGCTGTACATACAATGCTGGCGATACAGGGTGTATCGCGTGGTGTTATCAGATAAGATAGAGGGTATCAGCCGAGGGTCCTGCGTGATAAGCGCCTTTCCCCGCTCTGCGTTGTTGTTTCTTTCCCCTCCTTCGTACTCCTGCCTCCAACACAACTTCTTCATTCTTTTCGACTGGATACACTTAAGCGAAACCCCTTCTGAAAAGCCTAATAAAGATACTGCAGTGCGACATCCACCATGGATTCCAGCATCCAGCACCTCCTGGGTCTCGAAGCTGTCCGCGACCGCGCCCGTGTTGTCCTGAGCCTAGCCGAGCAAGGCAAGCTCCACCACTATGATTATCACCCCGACCGCTTGAACGCGACCGTGGACTATGTTGTAAACATCATCACGGTGCGACATGCCACTCCTTACTACTAGCAAAGTAAAGACTAACACAATACCTCTGACAGCGCGACTTCGGCCCCGACCGATACGATCAGATCCCTCCCCACGGTCGCTGGCAGCACTTCGAAGTCGGCGGGGTGCCTCGACTACAACAGCTTCTCGAGCGATGGAGTCAAGCCGGCTATGACGACAAGGAGAAGGTGCGCAGTCTGTTGGATCTGTTCTTCGTCTCCGTGCTCCTTGACGCCGGAGCGGGCGATACCTGGCGGTACGTCGAACCAGAGTCGGGTAATGTGTATAACCGCAGTGAGGGGATCGCGGTCGCTTCCCTGTATATGTTTCTCAATGGGGACTTTGCCAACCAGGGGTCAGAGAGGAAGGATGTTGTGCATGGTAGATTGCCTCCTTTTCCACTTCCATCTAGCAAGGCTGACAGACGATGTTGAATAGGGGAGGCGCTGAAAGGCCTGACGGTGGACGTATTGACCCGGGGGTTCCAAGTCGATGATAAGAGCAATCCGCTTGTGGGAGCAGGTGCACGCGTCGAGATTCTACAGAGACTGGGACAGTCGATAACCAGTCTCCCGGAGATTTTCGGACCGTCCGGTCGCCCCGGCCAGCTTCTTGGTGAGGTCAATGCTTTGAACCTCGCGAGTGTATACTGACCAATGCAGACCATCTCCTTTCCTCGGGTGCGGAGAACCTCGATTACGCCCAACTCTGGGCTGTGCTGCAGCAGACGCTGATTCCGATCTGGCCATCCGACCGAACTCGCGTTCGCGGACACCCGATCGGCGACGCATGGCCGCTGGCTGTATTGTCAGAGTCCTCCCAGATCACCGCGACGGACCCTGACACCGCCACGATCCAGCCCTTCCACAAGCTGACGCAGTGGCTTGCCTACTCGCTCAAGGTTCCCTTCGAGCGCATACTGAAGATCACCTGGAAGAATGCGGAACTGGGAACGGGTCTGCCCGAGTATCGCAATGGGGGGTTGTTTGTGGACATGGGGGTTTTGACGCTCAAGCCAGCGGCATTGGAGCGCGGGCTGCGCACCTCCGGGGCCACGCTGCCGTGCTTCGCGGTGGGAGATGGGGAAATAGTTGAATGGCGGGCGATGACGGTTGCTCTGCTGGACGAATTGCACAAGCGGATTTTGCGCAGTGGGAAGTTGGGAGATGTTCAATTGACGCTGCCCCAGATGTTGGAGGCTGGCTCGTGGAAAGCGGGTCGAGAGCTCGCGGCCGAAAAGCGGCCGCAGACTAAGTCCAGTCCCATCCTGAACTCCGGGGACGGCACTTTGTTCTAAGTTGTCTTTTAAGGATTACACATGAGTAGTCAGGTCAAGGTTCAATGGGATGAAATGGCAAGAGTGGCTTGAGGGTCAATTTGATTAGGATCGGAGCTGCTCTTGAAGCCCGACTATACTTATTCTAGACAACTGGTCTTGGTGGCTGCGCTAGTACTCCAATTACACCAAGAAATGAGCTTTGACGGCTTAGACCCCTCCAAACCAACACCAGTGGGGTCTAAACTGTCGCCACTCTGACGGAACATAAAAGGGCCATATACAGATTGTGAGACTTGAGGCGAAACCCTTGAGCGAGCGGGCGGGAGGGAAGCTTATCTTAACCCCTTTCCCGCTTGCCATCGATCTCAGGGCCGGGCTCGGCTTGAACCCGCATTGACTCGATTTGTGATGATTGACGCCAATCCCTCCAATAAAAGGTGGATCGGAACAGCACGCCTTATCACTTATCACATCACATCGCCTTCACAAATCGCGACATCTTAGCTTTACTCTAGCCCTGGCAAATGCGCGTCAATAATGTAATCAGCCACTCTTACCGAGGTTTTCGGCCCCCGGTAAGCGGGAGGAGGCACTGCGGCTGATGGGTCTTTGACTCTTTGCCCTCCCGAGCCCCAGTCCGTGCCGAATACCCGGCACAGGAACGCTCCCTGCTTTCTTTGTCCAGAGATATGCGCCAATTCGATCATAAAGGCAAATTCAGATTGCATCAAGATGTGCAGGGTCTTACATTTCATCACACTCGCACCTCATTAGTACATTTTTCGACCATCAAATCATGCAGTGGGAGAGTCATGCTGCAGGAGGACTATCATTCTCATGCATTTATTAGGAGGGGCTGTGGGTCCGCAGAGACCCATTTTTGTTAGTGCTTTTTTTTTTCTTCTTCTGCCGTCTTGTTTCGCACCGAGTCAGATTGTGTTCAGCACAATAAAAGCAATGAGTCGCCCCGACCGTTCTCACCCACCCCTTCCGGTGTGTTGGAGGATTTCTCTCTATGAGGGTAGTCCGTCGATAGTGGGCAAAACTTCCTAATCTGTAACATATTGTCGAGCGATGATATGATGACGTGAATCTCCGCACCAGTTTCCCAGAATACAGTCCGCAGGGAATAGAGTTAAAATGATCGCGGATCTGGAAGAGCATCGCGAAAAAGGCACCCTACCCAAGGGGGTCTATCGCACCCGGATCCCCCATTGGCGCATGCTCCTCGACCAAGGCGCCATAAACGAAGAAATCCTTGAATTTGAATACCCCGGCAGTGGCACCGAGGAGGATCCGTATGTGGTCTCTTGGATTCCCAACGATTGCCGCAACCCACTGCTCTTCAGCACGGCGCGGAAGATCACCATCACGCTGATTGTCGCCTTCTCCACCTTGACCGTCGCCCTGACCTCGTCCACCTACAGCGGCAGCATCAAGGAAATTGTCGAGGATCTCCATGTCAGCTCGGAAGTCGCGACCATCGGCCTGGCGCTCTTCGTGCTGGGCTTCGCGGTCGGCCCGATCTTCTGGGCGCCGGTCAGCGAGGTCTTCGGTCGCCAAACCCCCTTCATGGTCAGCTTCTTCGCGATGACCGCATTTTCAGCCGGGTGCGCCGGTGCGCAAAACATCTGGACGCTGTGCATCCTGCGATTCTTCGCTGGATCCTTCGGATCCTCCCCGTTCACCAACGCGGGAGGCACGATCTCGGACATGTTCACCGCGCGGCAGCGCGGCCTAGCCCTAAGTCTGTACGCGGCCGCCCCCTTCCTCGGACCAGCCCTGGGGCCCATCATCGGCGGATTCCTCGGGATGAGCGCGGGCTGGCGCTGGGTGGAGGGGTTCCTCGCGTTACTGGCGGCCCTGATCTGGGTCCTGATGGCCGTCTTCATCCCGGAGACCTACGCGCCCGTCCTCCTGCGGCAACGCGCCCGACGCCTCTCCCAGCTCACCGGCCGGGTCTACCGCAGCAAGATCGAGCTCGACAAGGGCCCCGTCTCACTCCCGCGCCTCCTGAAGACCACGCTCTCGCGCCCCTGGGTCCTGCTCTTCCGCGAGCCGATCGTCCTCCTCTTCGCCCTCTACATCGCCATCGTCTACGGCACGCTGTACATGTTCTTCTCCGCCTTCCCGATCGTCTACGAGGACATCCGCGGCTGGAACCCGGGCGTCGGCGGCCTCGCCTTCTTGGGGATTATGGTAGGCATGATCATCGGCGTCGGCGCCACCATCCCGGCGAACCTGCACTTCATCCAGGTCCAAGACCGGCACGGGGGCTTCGCGCCTCCCGAGGCCCGCCTCCTGCAGTGCATGCCCGGCGCCCTTGCCATCCCCATCAGCCAGTTCTGGTTCGCCTGGACGGACTCCCCCTCCATCCACTGGAGCGTGAGCATCATCGCCACCGCCCCGTTCGGCTTCGGCGTCATCCTGATTTACTTGGGGGTTATGAACTACCTCATCGACTCGTACACCATCTACGCCGCCTCCGTGCTGGCCGCCAACACCGTCCTCCGCTCCATCTTCGGGGCGGTCTTCCCCATCATCGCCCCTTACATGTACAGCGGCGCGGGCATCCACTGGGCCCCCTCCATCCCGGCGTTTCTGAGTCTGTTGTGCATGCCGGCGCCGTTTCTGTTTTATAGGTATGGGGCGGCGATCCGGACGAAGTGTAAGTTTGCGGCTGAGTCGGAGCGGTATATGCGTGCCTTGCAGGAGAATGCGGCAAGGAAGGCGCAGGTGGTTGAGACCGGGAGGCCGGTGGTTGGGGAGTCGGTGGTTTCGGCAGATGGGGAGCCGGGTCCTGCGGAGGCTGTTGGGGGAGGAGGAGGAGGAGGAGGAGGAGGAGGAGGAGGTGCAAGTGAAAAGTGATCTTGTTATTGGTTCTTTGCATTCTGGAGCTACTTAGTAATGGGTTGCAAGGTGTACACGTTATGAATAGACACGGATAGATTATATAGCACGTGCCCATGCCTCCCAGATATAATGCAGCAAGAATATATTTGGTTCAATGAATTTGGGAGATCAAAGACAAGTAGAAACGTGACCTTATCTTGAGGCCTTCACTTTCCCTAGAGATCATTGCCAGTCCTCATCAATGGCTAGTTTACCACCGCCTTGAAGCCCGCCCCGTCGGTAAGCCGGGCTAGGGCTACCCCGCTCGTCTTCTCCGCCGGAACCTTTCCATTCCCCTACTGTGTAGCATTGCATTCACACCGTATTTCGAGATTCGTGCGGAGTCTCCGTTAACGGCGTAGGGCCAAGAGAACATTTGTATCCTGGGAACCCGTCACTAAAGCATTTTTGTTCGAGTCGAGCATGTCTAGCCACCTCCCCGGTACTACTGAGGGACATCGTCGGATAGTGCGGCGGGGCCGACGGGATTTCCGACAGCTCCCCCCCTCCCGGTTTTCAACTCATTATGTTTATATGAGGGTTGATTTGTTGGTTCTTCGTTGCTATTACTTTGTTTTCTTTTACAGGGAGTCGTGATCCAGGAAGCACTGCCAGTAAGACTGACCAAGGGCTATTGCGATCTGTGCTAGCCTTCCCAAGTCGTTGCCACAGAGAAGCCCGATCGTTATCATTCCAGCCGGCGCATTGTTTCAGCACGATTTCGCCTGTTAGTAACGCGCTTCAGAGTCCCCTGTACGCTGCCCACCTTTTCTGAATTATCTATACGATCCAGTAGGGTGGAAGGACTAAGAAGCAAAAAGACCAAAACATACAACAGAAGGGATTCGCTGGTGGTCACCCACCCAACTACTAACCTCCCGGCGTGTGGCTTAAGTACGGCTGAGCGGACGGGAAGCCCTGTTTTCCACACCCTGTGGTCGTATGTGCTGGTTAAGGACCTGGCAGAGTATATATAGCAACTCATGCAAATCCAGTAGCCTGCTGTGGGGGAATTCAACCGTGGACCCCTACGACTCCTTCTTTCTTCGGATGGCCACTCTCTAAATCTGGAATAATGCCAAATTCCTGGCCGCAGAACAACTACAATCCCTTCTGGCTGAGGCCGCGGAGGAGATCATTCTAATCGACCAACCCATAAACGAGGACTTATAGACCCAGTGGATTACCGGGACATTCAAACCAACCAGGCCGGTTCGTATCAGTGGGACCGGGGCCCTAACGGCTAGGATAGCGTGCTGCGCATTCTCAGGGAATCCGTGACAATCATGAGCCATGATAGGGCTTGGTCGTGACAGGCACAAGCGATGGAACACGCCTTGCTCCAATGCTGGTAGGCGATGCTCCATTCTTAGCCCTGTAGGCCGAGCCGTAACTGGAGCAATTGAAGTCAGCGTCGCATTGACGAGCTTCACTGGCCACTCGGGTAATTCTTGAAAGGGCTGTGTCATCTTCCTTAGGCTTCGTATTGCGCCATTAGCTCTGCAGCATCCCGCTGTCTCTGCTTTGTGTTTTGAGGCGAGGGCAAGGGGCCTGGGGAGTTGAGCTAGCCCATCTCTTGGACTTCGGTCTTTGCGGTCACCGGCCATCAATTTGCGGGGGCGACGGGGACGGGGCGACTCACTCGCGCGGGTTTCCCGGCTGCTCAAATCATGCTTATGCATCTGATGGGATTGTCACAAGATACAGGACACCCATCATTGTTCAGTCTTTGGCATCGGGGGACTAGGTCGGTCAATCCGTGCGTCGGATCTTTGGCAAACAAATTCGACCTAGGCCTTTTTGACAATGCGTTTGTTGCCGCGGATGATGCGCGGGAGATCAGATCATAGGACAGCCGCGCAGAGCAAAGCATCTACACTCCTGAAGAATGCATCTTGACCGTCCCGCGATCATTCCCGAGGTGCTGAGCCAGGCCAGCGCGGTGACGGTGAGCTACGGGAGCAGCGAGAATGCTTTCTTGGACGTCATCTTGGGATGAATTGGGACCAAGCTCGAAGGCAAGCTGCCTTTTGACCTCCCTAGCAGTATGCAAGCCGTAGAGCAGGGCAAGGAGGATTGACACTATGACACGGCAAATCTAGTTTTCAAATTTGCATACGGGCTAGAGTATTCTCCTTTGGTCAAAGATTCGGTCCAACGTTTTCTTCCATATTCTATCTTCCTCATAGGCGCTAAATTCCAGCAGCGAGGGTGTTCGCCGGGGAGAAGTGATCGAAAAAGGACGAGGAATAAGTAAGAGAAACTGCCATTAAGGTCCTTTATTAAGGAGCATCTTCAATCATCTTCTTAATCTACTTGTTGGGGCTTGTATATAGGCTTGAGTCATGATTTTTCCAGCAGCTTGAAATTGGACGCGTCGAGTCGTCTACACTCTACAGAAAGCATCTCTGGGCCCGAGAAGGGGAATCAAGTCCGAACCTGGATGTATAACAGCTGGTTTGCTCGGCTATGGCCGCGGTATAGCGGGAGCGGGATTTTCCCGTGTCTCCACAGTGCTGAGAACCAGCGCTGAGAACCAATGCTGAGAGCAACACTCGGTGCCTGACCCATCTAGCCAAATTGCTTGGAAAAGACTCGAAAGCAAAAGGCCCCTGTGTTCCTCTATTGCTTGTGTGTGCCTCTACATGCGGAAATTTCGATACGGTCATGGTTGTCAGGTTCGAACCTCAATGGCAAATCGCCGACTTCCCAGACCTCTCCTGCAGAGCCGACAGATAGCCCAATTTGCAATCACCTCGAGCGCAAAGGAAAATACACTTACTCAGGCTTTCAACCAGTCATGTGTTAGATCTCTGATACGCGGTCTTTGTGTGGGGAAGCTGCATGGCGGAAGCAGCCCTCGCAAACCCACACCAAATTGGGTAAGTTTCTTCCCCACGGTAGAACAGCTTGACACGACTCCATACAAGGGCTTCAGATTACGAATTGTACACCTACTGAGATCTACCAGACGCCTGAGTCTACCTTCTACCTTTAACAAATCGGACCATGTCGAGGCAAGCCCTGAAGAACTCGAACCGTGATCTAAATCTTGGCAGGATGATCGGTTAGTTCGAACTTTGCTGCTTGGCCAAAATGCTGGCAAAGGCGCGAATAAGTTTAAAAAGCTTGTTTTCTCTTGTCCTGCGCTCGGACCCTAAGCAACATGGCTCGGGGTGACGACGACGCCAGACGCAACTTGGACAGTCTAGATACTAATACTCACTAGCTTTATGGTTGCGCCAGACGGCCACTTTGCATTGGAATAAATACTTAGATACCCGCGACGGCGTAATAACGAAATAACCTCGGGTCGGGGACACAGTATCCCTGGCGTCTATTGAGTCTTGAGCTAACAAAATTGTGTTGTGAATATGGATTGTTGCAACGTGCTTCCGGTATATAGTGTGTAGCCTATGATTCCTAGCTGCATGCCGCTATCCGGAACTTGGCAGATAAAGCATAGTCTCTTGACAATCCAACAACGAACAGAGTGGATGCTGTGAATGCTTTACAATATGATAGGTTTGGAATCGACATGTCTATTCGAGCCCTAGAGCGACTCCAATCCTCATTTCATATAATGGACTGCAACAATTGAATCCGGGTGACCGGCAGGGTTGAGGATTGGACGGAATATTCCTCAGTATCCCATAGTGGCTCTTTATTGATGGAATACCAATAGCTGACACTTGCTAAGGGCATTGGCGAGGTCCTGCTAAGGTAGTATGCTTTAGCGTTGGTCGGTCATCACATCGGACGACGCGATAACCTTGACAAAATAGCACATTACGCTGCTGCTAGCTCGCAAGCCAGTCTCCCCCCTCGACCTTTCCAACACCTTCTCGGAGATTGACAGCGAAGGAGAAATACATGCAGGGGTGCTCGGCAAGAAAGACACCCTGTCCCTGCTCAGCAGCGTAGTATAAAGCCACGGTCTGTCCGCCGCATTGTTCAGTTCAATCAGAGCACAGCCGATCTTTCCTTCATTTCTGCCTCAGAGCTCCCTCATTCCTTTTTCTGCTTCTCTGCACTCCCCCATTTGAAAATGCCTTCTTTTATCCACTCTCTGTGGCCACTGCTTCTGGCCCCACTGGCCACTGCCGCCAGTGGCACCTGCAACACCACCGCCCTCAACACGACCACATACTGGTACGATATCACCGTCGACGGCACAACCGTCTTTGATGTCGCTCGCGCCACCAACCGCGGCGTGTGCGACATCGGCCGCCAGAACCTCATGGCGGACGTGACCATCATCCCCAACGTGGGCGAGTCCTTCCTGATACCGGCCGAGGTGTGCGAGCCGGACAACACCAGCTGCCTGCTGCCCAATACCACCGCCACCCGCACGTGTATCTACGGCGGACCACGTCTCTACTACACGGTGCGCGGCGACACCTACGAAGTAATTGCCAGGCGTCTCAACATCACCGTCGAGTCCCTCATGCATGTCGATGGGCCCACCAACGAAACTCTGGCGAACCCGACCTCGCCCACAGCCCTCTTGAACGTTGGCCAGTTCGTCAAGGTGCCCCAGTGCGATCCCAGCCAGTGCATCCTGCAACCATATTCCTTCAGCTGGGGTGTGTACAAGGATCTCGCCGACCATTTTGGGACCACCGTCGGACAGATCATGATGTTGAGCCCTACATACAACTACAGTAGTCTGGCCTTTACCCCCGGGGGCCAATTCCCCCCAATCAATATTCCGATTAACTGCACGGCATTGTCTGACACTGTTACTGTGCTTGACTGAGTGGCACAAGTATATGGATTTGTTGGAACGCGGCCAACGTCATTGTCTCTGCCCTCGCTTGAATCATTGCTACAGTTTGCAGGTCAATGTGCCACTACCATCCTCAAAACACTTGTCAACCTTTTCTTCATTTCTTTGCTTCGGATGCTTACTTTCCGTGATTCACTTTGCCCCATATCAGAGACATGCTATCAGCTCGGGGATTGTTACTACATTTTCAAGCCCTTTGGCCGATCTGGCTCGAGTACGAGGACCAAAGATGTTATATTTTGGATTAGATCTGTGTCAACATGTTGATTTATGCTACTATATTCTATTTGAATTGATTGGTCAACCTCTTCCGCCACACCACAAGCTTGCGTTTTCCAGAATGTTGATTTCTTTCTCAAGCTATTCGATGCTTCCTGGTACTCTGGGACATGGGTGGCGCGGAGGGCTTGAGGGCTCAGGTGGTCAATAGAGTTGGTCAAAGCGTAGGTTGTCTCCGTTCCGCTTGGAATGATACTATAAACTTTCCATCGTAGGATATATACTTGATCGGGGGGAATTGGCCCCCGGGGGTGAAGGCCAGACTACTGTAGTTGTATGTAGGGCTGATGTTAATAAAGAAAGTAAAGAGGGGGCCGCACTTTAGATAGCAGCAGCAAGTGGCTATTCGAAAATTGTGGAAATTCTACTTGATTATGAAGCAGACCCGACCATCTAGAACCATGAACTTGACTTTACGGCGCTTTACGGAGCTGCAGCGAATGACCACCAGCGAGTCATCGAGATAATGCTCAATCATGGGAGCGGGTTGAGTCTGCGAGATGACGATATCCACGCAGCACTTTGGGCAGCGAGAGAAAACAAGTACCTGAAGATTGTTGAGATGCTAGAGAAGCATACAACTGCTAATTGATATTTTCTCTGGTTGGGACGCTGACTTTCACTTCTGCGACAGCGTCTGCTCTTTTCGGAGATCCGCTAGATTCCAGTCAGTCCCATCTTGTTATACTCGCAATTTGAATCAAGGGCCTTGAGATGTAATGTGACAGAATCTGATTTGTGCAAACGTGTAACACTCCAACCTGCTATGAGTTTCTTAAAATCTAAGCCCAAAGCATTTTCTCACTCTAAAATGCAGTAAGAAATATATCCGAGCTAAAAGGTTCAACAAAGTACTACTCGAAAGACTTTGGACAAAGTAAGACAAAATGTGTATTCTGTGAAATTCCAGAGAGTATCAAACCAGATACAATGATGTAGAGAAGAGATGTGCCCAAGATGCTTGGCTGATCAATTGCTCTAGTGGCTGCCTGAAGTCTTAGCCAGCCACACCAGCCACACACGGGTTGGAGAGCAGATTCGGCGATAGCCGAGCCCCACATCGTGACAGCTGGAGGCAATCTTCACCACGCACGACATGCAAACTTCGCCCACGCAAGCCAGCTAGCTGCTTCGGGTATTGGGTAGCTCGTATCGCTAATTGTCTTACTGGTTGTCTCAATGGCTCGAATCTTCTGAGCGCGTCGTAACTTCCTTACATAATTATAGAGAGCTCCCCAACCCGAAGTGCTGTATTCAAGATCTCGTTCTGTCAACACCGTGCGCAAACCCTTCCCAGACCCCCACTTTAGTTATCAGCTGTCAGATCTGAGCTAAATCTTAGTCATACTACTGCCACCATGCCTAGAGAACACAAAGAAGATCCTAGCGATGTACGTTTCCTCCCTTGCTCTTTTTAAACCCCAAATCCTCGGCGGCCTCCCCAAACTGACCCGATTTCCGGAAAAACAGGCCACTTATATCTGCGACACAGATGGCTACCGCCTCCAGCGAGGCTGCTACTACCACGTCCGCCTACCCGGCGGCGACGGCCGCAAGATGAGCATTGTCGCCCCCCAGGACAAGAGATACAACTACTTCGGGCCCCTCTGTTTCGGTCCCGAGCATGCCGCTCTTTTCTCGCTCCACGAGAACAACGAGTTTTGGGCGAGCGATCAGAAGGCGAGACTAAACGTGCAACGCGCGCGGGGCGCCGAGGAGCATGGGATCTCGGCCAGTGTGGATGCCATTTACTGGCACTACAAGAGACTGGGCGAAACATTGAACGGTCATCGAACCTCGTCGGGCGAAACGATCATCTGGGGAGACTTTATGGGGGGTACGTTGCACCTTAGCGAGACCCCGATCGTCGACACGCTGTTCGACGAGAACTATTACCCCGCCGTCTTCACCTTAAGTTGGGATAAGGAGGCAAATGCGCGGATGGGGAACTTCGCGGTGGAGTTTGTCTATGTTGGGGATATGTAGATGGGGTTCTGGCAATATTGATCAACTCCACTGCCCCTGCAACCGCCACTAATACGACCATTATCATAATTTCATGGTGAAAAGTAATCACGAGCGCAGCCTTACCTCTCTGTAATCGTGTATTTCCGCGCCCAGCGTGCATACTTTCGTGTAATCGAGGACCTCTAGGGTCATCCTTGAAGTATCGTGTCTGAGAAAGAGATTTTCCAGCAGGAGCCGATATGCATGCAAACCGCGAGCAGATCGTTCCGTTCCGCATCAGCCGCGGTTCGCAAGTGCCCAGCAGCTACCTAGTACGGAGCATCAATTCCCAATTGGAAAGAAAAGGTTAGAGTGGATCAGGTGGCTGATCGACCATCTCCTGTTTTGTTCTCCGCCAAATCGATGATAGGACGACGGAACTGAGTGCGGGGCTGAATCGAGCCCGGACAAACGATGCAACGCATTGTGGCAGTGCTGCAATACAACGGGAGTAGTCTCTTCACTAGGTTACCGGAAGTCTAGACTTCCAGAAAGCTTCCAGCAAAATTTCTAACCTCCTTCTCTAAGCGAAGGCGGTTGCCGAGGCAACCATCATTTAAGAGATCTGTGGCCAAGCCTATCCTCAAAAATGAGGAGCATGCTCAGTCGCTATCGAAAGAAACCAAAATAATGCCCGTAACTGACTACTCAGATCTGTCTAAATATCTTGAACTGGATGTATTCGTGGCGTATGCGCGGGATTGGGGGTTTGATAGTCTGTGCCATCGCAATGAGGCTGGCTGAAAAATGGCCAGCCGAGTTAGGGCTGCGCGGAGGCGCAGTGATCGTCGTGACTCACCAAGTATGGGGTCGGGCCGCACCAGCCCTTCGGTATTTCTTGACATGAGATGACGTTTAGTTAGTTTAGTTCTGGACCATAGTACGTAGTTCATGGCCTGGAACCAGGTATGTTATCTAGAGCACTGGCTATTGGAAAAAAAAGGTGGAATGCAACGCTGTCATGTTCGACTACAGACTCACTGGCTAATTCGCTGGCAGAATCACCCTGTGCTACACATTACATCTCATATTATTTTGAACATGTGAATTACCAATGAAAGAAAAGTGAATTTGGTCATATCGATACTCCTTTCACTTTGAAACAGGCAAATACAATTGTCAAGTGAGTTGTTAATCAGCCACAGGCAAGGCTTAGTCCCTTTTGGCTGGACTAATACGAAGACGTTCCCCGACAACGGGAGTGGAGACCCGGTGGGTTTTTGAGGCTTGTAACAATCAAACACGCAGTTACGTTCGAGCTGAAAGTGAGGATAATCGGGTCGTGCAAGTAAATCCCCTGAAGGTTTTCATGAGCTACAAGGAAGTATTTAACAGCCAGAGAATTCGTCCATCTGGGAGTCTTTAGCTCAACATCTCTCCACCTTCCAAATCAACAAACATCACTATGACCGCGCTCTGGGATTATGCGTCTCCCGTGGACGATGGTGATGAAGTCTTATCCAGTGTAAAGGAGCTGACAGGTAGGAAAATGTTATGGTCTTGCGAGAAAGAAAATTGAATAACATTGAATGACAGAAGATACCTCATCTGCAGCATCGGCACAAGGCTCAGCTCCCAGCGAAGTTCTCAATCTCTACCGGTTGAGCCCCGACAAACCGTGGACGAAGCAGATTCCGAAAGACCTGGACGAGCCGGTCGAAAGCCTCGAACCCGTAAAGTCCCCCTTGATAATCCGGTGGACGAAGAACGAGGAAGCCCGCTGGCAGGCCCGTTCTTTCACACTGGGGAGCGAGCAGATCAGGGAAGCTCTGAAGCCAGCTTTCGCCAATTATGCTGGCATCACACTGACCCTGGAGACCCTCACGTTCGAGTACCCATACGTGCCGTTCGTGCGCCGGTGGCAACAATTCTGCCAGACACGCGAGGATACGCGGGACCCCGCAATCCGCTCGTACCTCGACCTGCTGCACCGGATTCTGGAAAACGAGGTTGGCGCCATCCTGACCCGGCGGGCGGACCTGCTCAAGAACGGGGTCATCACCCACGACCTCCTGTGGACGGTCTTTATCCCACAGACAGTGCTCTTCAGCGCGCTGAACGGCGCCCCACGTGCGTACGAGTGCGTAGACTCATTCACCCACGGCGAGGGCGGCTTCGTCGAGGTCAAGACGAGGTATATTGACTACGACGGGGAGAAGTACCACTACGAAAACGAGGGTTTTGAAATCTGCCCATTCAAGGGCACGATGGCTCTCGACGCGCTGCAGATCTTCCCTCTGGCAAACCACCGGGACGCAGAGGCCATCCGGCAGCGGTTGATTGCACGCGGAAAGGTCTGGGAATCATACGACGGCTCGCATTACAGGCATGTGCGGGAGCATGGGCGCGTGATGATTGACCCCGCCGGGTACCGGCGGAATCACTATAACAAGTCGCACGGATGGGAGACTGAAGTCACCGGGCTCTCGACATCCGTAACCGACGAGCACCGGCTGCTGGCCACCCCGTTGGTGCGCGGCTTCTCGTTGCGGAAGAAGGAGTGGCGGGCATTTTTAGTCGATGATGTCGAGGATATCGTCTGGAACAAGGACGCGTTCGAGTCCTTGGTCCTCCCCCGTGGGCAACAGGATCTGAAGAAGTTGATTCTCGCTGTCGCTCGAGCCCAGTCGCGTGACTCGTTTGATGATGTGGTTCAGGGTAAGGGCCAGGGAGTTATCCTGCTTCTAAGCGGCCCGCCGGGGGTGGGTAAGACCCTAACAGCGGAAAGTATTGCCGAAGTTATGAAAGTCCCGCTATATGTGCTGGGGGCCGGGGACCTCGGGACAACTGTTTCCAACGTGGAAGCAAAGCTGGAGGAAGTCCTCGAGCTCGTGCCTCGATGGGACGCAGTGCTTCTGATCGACGAGGCCGATGTCTTCCTCGAGGCCCGCACGGTATCAGATTTGGCCCGAAATGAACTGGTTTCGATCTTCTTACGAAAGCTAGAGTACTACGAGGTACGTATGCACCAGCTTGAAAACAGGCAAGTGGCAACGTTGACGTCTAAACAGGGCATCCTATTTCTCACGAGTAATCGCGCGGAGAACATCGACCCGGCCTTTGACTCTCGTATTCATATTTCCCTTCAGTACCCGGACCTTGATGCTGTGTCCCGGCGGCAGATCTGGGCGCAGTTCTTACGATCTACCGCGGATGTTACGGAGGCGCAACTGGATAGCTTGGCGGGATTGGAACTTAACGGCCGACAGATCAAGAATGTGCTGAAGACTGCGCATCTCCTGGCGCGGGATCAAGAGCGAAGACTGCTGTTCGCTGATCTGGAGACGGTGATCAAGTTGAGATCTCTGAGCGGGAAGCCCCCAACAATATGGCAGAACTTACTCAAAAGCTTAGGGCTTGCTTGGCTTGGCCTAGTCTAATACGCATTCCGAGTCTGTTTTATCAACCAAAGTAGTTCTCTCTTGCCAAGTATGATATATTCGGACTGAATTTGTACTCCAGACTAAATTGTTCTTGTCCTTTGGTAACCTAATGCGGCTCCAACACCCTGACTCTACATATGGTCTGGCGAGGTCGATGACATGGAATTTTTCTTCCTTGGGCGGTGCTGTCCTTGCGTGAGATTATTGACCGTGACCGTCAATGTCGGGTCCGCTGTCATGCCATGATCGATCTGTAGAGATCCTTGAATACTTGAATATTTCGACGTTTCTCGATTCCCGCAGGACACATGAATTTGCATGAACCAAAGTAGGGGCGTTTATGACCCGGTTCAAAGGTATCCCGAAGAGTCCCCGTTCCTTGGGGTACTTAATTCGGAGCGTCGCGGAAGATGGAGAAAGGGTTCCGACCATGATCGTAAAGAAAGGAGTGTACCTCTTCGTCGAGCCAAATGCCCAGGTCCGGTCGAGGGGGCCAGGGGGCAATTGCAACTTTCAGCTGGGGTCTCAACCCTGGGTCTCTTTTCGAACTGAAACCTCTCGCGAATCTTGTACAAGAGATCTCTGTAATTGCCCCCGTTATCTAGGAATCCCGAGAAGCTCATTTCGATCTTTCGGAGGGCTGGTAATTGATCCAGGAGGGATATCACGTCGACATGGATAACGATAAACCGAAATAGTTTGAAGTTTTGCAGTCTAGACCAGCTTACCACTGGGAAGAGAGTTTGAAGAGAGGTGAAATGAAAGCGAGATGTTCTCTCCTCGGGCGCTCCGTCCATTGTTGACCCTGCCATCTTAAATTAGTCACCGAGTCGATCTCGATTGTCGTATAGAGACTGAAATGTTCCAAGCTCGATGCCTCACTCAAGGCGCGACGTAGGTTCCCGTTGCGAAAGGTGCGCCCCTCCCCATATTCCTGGCCACGAACAATGCCACGAACATGCCACGAACAATCAGGGGAAGGTCCAGACGGCGAAATCCGGGGCGTTGCAGCAGGGCTGGTGGAAGATGGTGCAATTGAGTTCCGTATCCAGCTGATTAACATTCAGGGTTAGCTCGACTACTCAGTGGTTAGGATGCTGGGCCAATGCACGCAGAATAAGCCGGGCTCCCCGCCACTGCTCTTTGACATTTTCCAGTAAAATGCCCCAGTCCTCAGCCTCTGGCGTAGGTTCTCTCTCCGCCGCTGTCTGCCACCCATGCGGGATTGGGTAGTTGAATCCTTTGGGAAATGCCCTGATCATCGGCGTCTCGTAGACCGGCTGATATAGCCAACCGTGAGCGGCAGGGGTGATGGTAATTCTTTCTCGCGCAGGAAAATGTTGAAGGCCATAGACCAAAGCCTCCGCGTCGCTCTGACGAACCACAACTTCAGCTTGCTGGACAAGGAGGTTCTGATAATACTGCCAACAGATCCACAGCGACGGCCGCGTATCCTGCTGGGCTGCACACTCCGCGTTGTACCATCCATCTTTGTTTCGATCCATCCGCACTGGCCGTTTATCAAGATTATTCTTACAGATCGCGGCCAACCACTTTGGGCAGCTATTGCTCTCCTCTTTATCGTCGTCCGACCCGATGACTGCATCAAAGTCATACGGGTCAGATTCTGCTGTTGGATCGTCGAACAGAAGAGCATCATCCTACATGATCTCCGTTCTCTGTTTTCGAAAGGATAGATGTTCTGCGACGGCACGAAAGACCCAGATATCTAGCGGGTTGGCAGAAAGGAAGACGCGAGAGAGACGGCGGCGAGCAACATCGCAGAGAAGGCGGCACGTCGAACACAGCGATTTGATCTCGCGGTTTGATAGTGTTGAGATTATCAGGTGAAGCACTCCAGATGGTAATGATAAGAGAGGCATAGTGACCTTGAAAGTCAAAAATGGGGATGCATGGAGGCAGTAACTGCGGGTTTTCAAATGGTGTTAAGGTGGGATGGTTAGGAAGACGCAGCTTATATAAAACCGCATGAGCTGGTGAATGTCAGACAGCTGATCTATATTAACTGCCCGCCACTAGTTCAGGGGCCATGATAAAAGCCACTTCGGGAATTTATCCCTGCCAACTTGGAACCTTAACAATCTAGTGTGGCACACATCACATCACACTAGTTCTATCTGGTCCAAGCTTTCTACATTCTGCCCTGTCCGCTGAATTTGCATCTGGCTGTGGTCCAAATACATCAAACCATGCTTCAGGTACCTTTATCTGTATTATGGTCCATGTCCCTTGCTACTAGACCATATTGACTTGTTTTGCTAGTTTTTTGAAGTCCTAATTTATAGATGACCCATGATCCTATAGCAAAGATAAATGATTCGAAGGGTTTATAATACCATCCGAGATTGCACTTTCCCAGTGAATTTACGGTTCATTTTCTTATATAGGTCAAAAGCCCTTCTTCAGGGCCAGCGCAATCCTCCTCGAGCTCCCTGGCTAAGAATGTCATTGGAGGGTGGAAATGCTCCACAGTACCAGGGGGTCATATGTGCTCCAAGGCTGTAGAATTTGTGAAATGAGGTTTATTGGTTTGTGAATTTGTGCTTACGGGCCCTTGCGTTAAGACGATAATTGGTTTGGTTGACACCGCTATCCTTGGTTGGCACCGCTCTCTCTCTACGACTACTCGACCCTGAGGTTCGCAATATGAGGTTCCTCCGGTCTCTATCTACGATCCATTCAGTAGCAACACGAATGGCCTGTTTGACCCGCTGAATACGTTCTATGGTGTAGCTTCCTCTTAACAGACAATCGAAAAGCCATGGTCTTATTAACTCACCGTTGATGAGAGATAAATGGAGTGACGTCATATCACGTTTCCCTGGTTCAAACGTGGGGTCGAATGTATCTCGAGGAGAGGAAATGAGAGACAGGGACGATAGCTTAGACATCTGAGTTTACACTCTAGGATGGCGGCCTGAAGAGCATATGCACTTCAAATGTCGAACAGAAGGTTGCTTAATATGCAAGGGATCAATTGCCCTCGCTGCCACTTGTTCCCTTGCCCTCAGCAGCCAACAAGACGTCAGTGAGTTGGCATTCGGATTCCGTTATGTACATCTCATGCATGAGCCTGTCAATTCTGAAAAGACTCAGAATGACCCTACCAATACTTGAGCGGGTCTTGGAATAGTATGTTTAATAACGACAATGGTTGTGAGTATAACTCAGGCAGTGGTTCGGGAGCCGGATTCACAAACATATTCGTAGGAGAAAAAGTTCTAAAGTCTGGCACAAGATATCAAGACGCTTCAGCACTCGTATCCTCGACAAAGTGTTTATCTGTTAGGATACGAGGTCAAATCTTTGGAAACCAGCGATTAAGCTTGAACTAAGTGGCCGGGTACCCATGGATAGCAAGGGGTTGGCGAAAAGGTTTTTTTACCACGATTCCGCTGTTCTGCATCCTTGTTCAGACCCACTCTGCCTTAACCACCCGTACAAATGAAGCTGCAGACAAAAACAAGGCGTTTAGAGTCTTGTTTGAACTATCGGTACGACTCGTAATCCCAAAAACCAAGCCCGATGGCTTCCCATTCCTTGTCCTCCATCGTTTTCCATCTTTCGGGACCCTGGCTCATGTACATACAATAAACACTGGAAAGATGGACCGGGTGGCAATAGCTGGCTATCTTGTGATTCACAATATCTTCGGTTGACTCCTTACCTAGTACAACATGTTATAACTATAAGGGGATTGCACTGGCAAACTTCTCGCCCACTTTCCTATGTGTACTTTCAGCTTCCTTTTACAACGTCTGATCTGGCCTGAACTAACCTTCTAAGGGCTGAAGTCGCTCTACACTGACTAACTCAACATGCGTCTTGAAATAGCGTTGGGCCTACTCACAGCAATTGATGCTGTGAGTGCTGCCGGTCCATGCTATTGCTGTGATGTTCTTATTCGAGTGGTTAATCCAGAATTCACAATCTCCGGTGGGGCCGGAAACTGTCAAGATATGAAAGGTGAGATGGGCACGAGTTGTTTCGACCAAGCAAACAGCAAAGCTCTGATCACAACTCTCAGGCTGCAAGCCCGCTTCCTGCACGAAGACTTACGTATTTTGTCCGAAACCTTATGCTGTATGTGTTCTCCAACTTTCATTCTGATTGTGATCTAATCTCAGTGTAGTTTTCCATCGATCTACCCGATCACGTGTTGTGCAAATTTGAGCCTGGGAAGGAGCCAGGACCACCGTCTTGAGGATTGACTGGGTTTGTTTTCTGTTGCGTTGAATCGCTGGCAGTTCCAATATGTCACCTTGCCAAAAGTACCTTGCGAGTTGTTGGTACCGAATTGACAGCTGTTTTCCCTTGTTGATCAAGCGGGAGCATACTAGATCGGCACTGCCATACCATAAAACGGATAATATCTTGCAGCGCGATTTGGGGAAAGACTCGTAAGGAGGTGAAATAACGATTCTTCCTTACAAGGTTTGGCTTCTTCATTCGGTCGCGTCAAGGGATTGTCCATCGACTATTCCAGTGAGATGTGTTGCTTGTGTTGTAGAGTACAGCCCCTGAGGGAACCTTGCCTATCGATATCGAAGCAGTCGTCCAGACAAGCATGTCGACTGGAATGCGTCAGTGATGCCTGAAACTTGTCACCGGGTGGCAATACAAAGTAATATAATTGATTGCTACCAAATTCTACAATATCGCCTAGTTCCTCCTCGAGCCGAGGTGAGCTCTAGTCCGGTCCTCTAACGGCCGGTGTTAGGAGGCTATCACCGCCCACTATCTCCGGTCCCGGTCATGCCATTCCCATCCCGCAAGGGATGCAGACAGGCACTCTGATCCTTCCTTCTTCTCCATTCCTCCAGATCCCAGGAATAAAAAACCCAGACAGTCAATCAGCCAAGATGCTCGGCAGCAAGACCATTGACCATGCGCTCTCTCTCCTCAAACAAAATCCATCCATAACCCTAGGTCTAAGTCTGGGCGCCCACCGCAACATCCAACCAGGCCAATACATCCCACGAGCCGGTCCGTCTCGCGCTCCCACATTCCACAATCATTCATTATCTGCGCAAGCAATTCCTGGAGAATCGAATCTAACAGAAAGACAAACAGACGCCCGCACCGCACCAGACCTCACCTTCCCCGTCCCCGACCCCAACCGCATGTACATGGTGGTTAACCTGGACCTCGACGCCCCCTTCCCGGCCTTCAGCTTCCTGGGCCCGATCCTGCACTGGCTTCAACCCGGTCTCCGTCCCGTCCCTACGACGGCGACATCGGCCCCGGACCAGACTACCTACGGGTTCGAGGTCACCGCCCCCTTCGTGGCGGATTACATCGGGCCCGGTCCCCCGCCCGGTAGCGCGCCGCATCGCTACGTCTTCTTCCTGTACGAGCAGCCGGCCGGTTTCGATGTCGAGAAGTACGCGTCCCAGGAGGGGAAGACGGTTGGTCGCTGGCCTCGGTTGCGGTACGACTGGGATCGATGGGTGCAGGAGGTGCAGTTGGGGGAGGTGGTGGCGGTGAATTACTTCACAAGTAATTAATACTTGCGCTGTGGTGCTTGCTTGGGGAGGTAGAGCCGGTTCCGGGAGTGACTACCTTGCTTGGTTTGGGGGGCCGCGGGGCCTGTGGGGCCGGTACCGGGATAATAAGCCGGCCCCGGGTGGTAACTAGTTATGCTGATAAGATAAGGCCTTCGCGATGGGACAGCGTCATGACTCGGCCACGAATCGTCATCTGCCCTCTCTCGGTCTCGGCGTCCTGCATTCGAGCGGAATGTCTGCGGTTTATCATAGCGAACTGAAATTCTGAGCTTTTGTCTTGTTGCACAATCACCGAAAATCTCGTATCAATTTCTACAGCGCCATGTTCCTCTCATAAGCACAATCTAAATAGGCTCTGCCTCGACATAAGATCCTGCGTTTCCGCCCAGGAACTTTTCATCTACTCTTTCCTATAAGATCACTAAAGCTCATAGACACTACTATTCCTTCCTTTGGGACACACTAGCCGAAACCAGTCATGTTAAGTCGGATACATTCAGAAAGCTATGAGCTGGAACATATGTCCGTCCCTACTGGGCACGAGGAGCGTACCACCAGAATCAAAATTGATTTGTTGTTCTCGAGACACCCGGGGTCATCCAGCTTCTGTTATCCTTAGAGTCTTCCGTCACAGTCGTAGAAAGTAGAAAAAAATACTTCCGCGATGATATGCATTCCTATATATGTTAGACCTAAGCGGCACAGAAGCTGGAGTCTATCACATACCACCCCAGAGCAACCATACGGCCCGTGATTTCGGATTGAACCCTGCATCTCTGCACCCTATTTGTCCTGGTTCGGAGCAGGAGTCTCGTCAGGGATGTATTTAGCTAATGTGATTGACCCGTCGGATGCAGTCTCGGTGACGATCCGGGCAACAGCGATGTCGGAGAACATGGTGAGGGTGAGGAAGAAAGAGAGAGAAGCAATTGATTGGAAGATCTTCATCTTGTGCGGTGTATGTCTGAGCAGGATATCGGAGCAGGATTGGAATCTCGAATGATGGGAATTTGTTCAGGACTAGAATCAGGCCCAGGAGTTGGCTCTGTATCTATATCTATACCTCTACCCTCCAAATACTCAGCCACCATGATTGAAAGTTGCAGCTTGGATGCCATGTAAAGATCTTGTGGTCGAGGGTTTGGAGTCTACCGTTATCACATACGGTATGGGACCAACTTTCATAGGTTGTGAGTGATCTCGATGACGCGCAGAATGTGGATGACTGCGATTAAGGTCATGTGGTTTTATGCTGGAAACAGAGATACTGTTGATCATGCTGAAAGCACAAGCATGTAGCAATAGGTTGAAACAAGTACTGTGAATGGTTACCAGTCATGTGCTGATGGGGTTGCGACTGTGGTCCAAGGAAGACATGAACTTGGTGTCTACACTTTAATTGTCCTCGGGTGGGTGTGGAAACTGATCCATGGTCTAGGCGTGCTCCGCCCACGCGAGAGTGTTCTGGCCTGGGTGACTGATGCTCTCAGTACACACATGTAGTACATGCGGAGATGAAGCCTCATTGAATAAAGTTACCGCGGCGGGTCCAGGCCGTTTGCGGCGAAATAATTAAGCAGTGAAAGTATAACTGAGCCGGCCCACTTTGCGGGAGCCAGATCGAGCAGCATAGATCGATCGAATCGATCTGAGCAGGAAGTTTCTACAGCGACTTCCACTGCATGATAGGGGTCGAGAAAATAGTAGCGAGGCATTGAAAAAATCGCGCATACCATTGAAGGTGAGATCGTACCGTCACCAACTCGGTGCTGCGGGTTATCATGGTGTTGAGCTCGAGAGTCCACTTACCTACAGTCTGGTCTAGACTTCGAGGCGGGTCTGTCGAAATGTTGGTACGTAAAATGCACTGCGCCAAGGTATCAATTCATTTTTGATCTCGGATCCTGCCGTATCACAATGCAACCTCTCGAGTATCCCACGTGTGAAGTTCATGGCGCCCCCCCCCCCCCAACCCCCAGTCAGTTTGCAACATGAGCAGCATTAAAGTACTCGATGGCCTGTAGAGTCATCAAATCCCAGTTCGATATCATTCATACCTGCTGGCCTATCAAGGCAAGGATTTCCAGACAGTCAATCTTCACGTCCTCCAACAATACCCTTTCCACAGTCAGTAGGCCTTGAGAATGTCATTCTCAAACCTAATCGCCAACCGTAGATGCCCTACATTCCCGCACAGCCCCCTTCGCCGCAAGTAACCTAAACCCAAACGCCGTTTGTCTATCGATTGTACCAGGGAATTCGCTGTCAGCCGATACTTGGCATGGAGTCTAGATTGCAATTTCGGGACCTGCGGTGCATCAAAGCAGCAGAAACATCATTCCTCATCATCAAAGCTCCCCGTAATCAGGGACGTCATCGGTAGAGTGTGTGGTGTATATAAATGTCGCCGTGGGTCTAGAAATCGAATTCAGGAAAAAAGAGGCTGGGATGACCCTTCCAACTACTGCTTTATACCCATCCTACCGTTGAACATGGTCAAGCCTACAGTTCTTGCGCTACTGGCGCTAAGTAAGCCAAACATCCAAGCACACACGCAGCTCAAAACAAGATACTAAAGTCATCAGCCTCCCCTGCTTGGTCAATGCCCCAGACCGCGGTGACCAACCTCGCCAAATGTACCGACTGGTGTTACAAGAACTACGCCAACCCGTCGGCCACCTGCGTGTTTCCTGCGTTGACGGGAAAGGGCCCGTGCTATGTCTGCGGTCCGTTCAAGACCTCGCAGTCACAACAACCGTGCAACGGAGCTTGCACGGATACCAACACCGACTCGAAGAATTGCGGCGCCTGCGGTAACGCGGTAGGTCCAGACCCTGTGTGCTCTCCCCCCGTGCAAGCATTCCCAGGGTAACCGTGATACTTAGTGCCCGAATGCTGGGAAATGTACCCTGGGCAAGTGTTGTAATCCCGCCGGTACCTTCGGGTGCACTATCGAGAATCTTTCAACGTTCTGTTGTCCGCTGGATCCCTCTGGTGGGATTATAGGGTGTTATCTTGGAGGTAACCCAACAGGCACATGCCTGTGAGGCTGTTCGGGATAGGCAATAAGAAATGCCGGGAGCGGCGTTCATGATACAATACTGTCTTTGAAGTTCTATGCACCAAACGTGACTCTCTCATAGCTCTGTATATCAATTTTAATAGGTGGTGCATTCCAAGAATGATAAATCATGCATCCCGCAAGCAGGCAGTGGGGACAAGACGTATCTAACTTGCGGGCATGTCCTTAATCCCGTCGACAACAATACACCGAAACATATCATCTCCAATGAAGAAAGTCACCTAAGCCACGCGCGCCAGAATCCCACCCAAATACCCATCAACCCGAGCAACCTCGCCCAAGGACGCAACCATGCCCACATACCCATCCGGCCGCACAACCACGAGTGCACCATGCGCGGGATCAACGCCGTAGATCCCATACGCATCAGCCACCTCATAGCCACTATAAAATGACATCTCCGCGTGCTTCTTTACACACGCCGGAATATTGGTCCAGGATACCGCACCAGGTAACTCGGGATGCAAGACAATCTGCTCGAGCAGCGACGGGGGAAATTGCTGAATCAGGCCCGCCACGTCCTTCAGCGCAGTTGCGGATACGCCGTTCGGAGTCAGTAGGTCGACGGAGAGGAGTGACAGGATGCGAAAGCGCCCGGTAGATGCTAAGTCTAGAAGGTTCATCAATCTCAGTCAGCGACGGTTGTCCTCTCACGGATCAAACAGGGAAAGTCAACCTACCGTCATGGATATCCCGGTGCGCTCCATCCGCAAATCGCTTCAGCTTGACATTGAGTAAGCGGCGCCCAGGCCGGAGAATGCCGGAGAGGTAGTCATGGCCGCTGACGACGGGCTTCGCGGTGCCAGGCGAAGGCGTCCGGTCGACGGCCAGGCTCTCCACATACTCGACGCCGCAGCCGCTGGTAAACTCACAGCCGGTGCTGAACATGTCGACAAATTCGGCGTGAGAAATTCCGGACTTGGAATCAGCCGTGCCCACTTTATCTGAAAAGCCGGTAGAGAACTTTCTGTCGAAGTCGATCAGTTGCTGGGCGTTGGCGTGGCGTTCGATGTTGTATGTGTCGAGTAGCGTATTCCCTGATGTAGACGGTGTGAGTCCGTTGACGTGGTAAGCGAGCTTCCATGCTAGGTTATATGAGTCCATCATTGATACATTCATGCCTTGGCCGGCCTGCATAATTGATATTTGGTTAGTGGTGTCTATAAATGTGGGTGTAGCTGCGATTCTTTACCTTCGGGCTGTGTGTATGGCACGCTTGATCCTCGCGTTAGTCCCAGACATTTCCCCGAGAAGTGATCAAGACGTACCGTCACCAACGATAAACACCCTACCAACCCCAGTCTTATCCTTCACAATAAACTCAGGACAGACCCTCTGCCCGATCTGGTACGCAGCCCACCAATCAACCGCATCGTCCCTCTTGGGCCGGATATAGTAGGGTTGGAACACGTCTTCGATCTGCTTCAAGATCCCTTCTAGCGTCACCTGCGACCGTCTGCCCCTTGCATCCTTCCCCAGGTCCGCATCCGCATCCTTTCCCTCGGGGTCCACGAGGCCCGGAACGTGCACATAGATGCGAGTGATGTACTCACCGGTACAGATGCGCTCGCGGGGGATGACCATGACGGAACCGGCCCGGGAGTGAATCGCACAACGCCGGCGGATGTCCGGGAAATCCGTGTCGACCACGAGATCCACCACGCCCCAGATGTGGTCGAGCGACTGGCCTTCGAGCTGCAGCCCGACGGCCTTGCGGACCATCGAATGCGCCCCGTCCGCCCCGACCAGGTGCTTCGTGCGAAGAGTCCGTCGCTGGGTGCCATCGACCTCGATCTCCACCAGCACGGGAAACTCCGCGTCGCCTTGCTCATCGATCCGCAGGGACACGAGCTTGGTGTTCCGCAGCACCCCGCGCCGCGAGTAGCGCAGCAGGTCCTGGTCCATGATGCGCTCGATGCGGCCCTGGTGGATGGTGGCTTCGTACGGGAACCGGGCCGGCGGGATCACCTGCGGTACGACGGTCTGTCGCTGGATGATGTTGTGGCTGCCGCCGGGGCTCTCCGCCTGGTTCCAGAAGGCAAACTCCCACATCTGGCACGCCTCTCGCTCGATCTCCTCGGAGATTCCCAGGGTCTTGAAGACCTCCAATGTGCGGGGCTGGACTCCGTCGGCCTGGCCGGACTTGAGGGTGCTCGGCTTCGAGTCGATGCATAGAAGAGACTCGTCAGTTAAGCCGTACCTTGCGAGGAGTAATTGGAGCATCAGCCCGGCGGGTCCGGCCTATCGTTCGTGACGAGAATTAGTCTTTGATCATCGGCACAACTCCTCAGGACTAAGCCCTTTGGTTTGCTATGAGGAGGCTTAACCTACTCCGACAATGAGTACTTCATATCGTTCCACATCATTCGGCGTAGAAGGTACGAATGCCGGTGCCAAGCGAGGCAGTGGGGGAGCCAACGACGGCAGGACCCTAAGGTCACGCCAGCTAGAGGCATTTTCGGTGAAGAGCGGCATGGCGCGATTGGCTGGGAGATTGAATTGTATGTCGACCTAAGCACGGCAGGAGATGATATGATTTAGAATCTCGGACTTTTGGTCTGCAACAACGGTACATAAGCTTCCATCTGTCTCTGTATTGCGGGGGCTGGGCGTGGAGAAAGACGGGGGAAGGAGACTAAACCCCGCAGCCAGGATGAGCCTTCGGTAAATGAAACGGCTATTATACAGCATGAGGCCTGTCCTATCATCAGTCCTCAGAGTAAGGCCCTAGAAAAAGCTGAGTCCCTCGGTTTGTTCGTGTCAGGGCACCCCGCCGGCCACCCCGCCTCGTCCCCACCTTGCCCGGAACAGCGTGGTGGGGTGACTACAAAGTGGCCGTCAGCCCCCCTTGGCCCTTGGGAGGATGATGGTTTTGGAGATAGATGCTTACAAACCGGGTTCTGCGTTGGATGCTAGTGGTCTATGCACCATGGTAACCCTCGATTGCGGCACACAATACCGATGCGAACGAAGATGAAATGCCCCATCGTCCGACTCGACTCAACATATCAATCAAACGGTGCACCTGATTGGCGTCTGCCAAGATCCAGTCCCTGCCGACCTTCCCGAGTGATCCAGGCGGCGCCGCATGGCTATCTGACAGCTGGACTTCCGGGGCCTCGAACGCCTTGACGTCGACTCCTTGTTGGCCTCCAATTCGAGTAAAGGCGAACCAACACAAAGCGGCGTGAAACAGCCCTCGAGGGATGTGGATGGCCGGCTCAGCGGCGACCCGCATTTTCTCCACGTAGCGCTGCAGCAGGAATGCATGAATCAAGCATTTACTGGCGGCGAGTGAGCTCGACCAGGAACGCACAAGAGGGTAGCTAGCTTGCACAGCAGACTCCCCATCCCGGCCGCTGGCTTGTTCCAACAGGTCGAGATCGGCGTAGATGGCTATGTAGGTGGAGTGCCACAAGATCTGCAACGCAAAGGGGTCATTGTCCTCGCCGTGAAGAGTGGACTGAGTGCTGTTTCGCCTCCACCACCACATGAGCATGTTGGACAATCTCCCCACTTCCTGATTATCAAGTGTATTCGACCGTCGAGCCTCACTGACGTGAGCACTGATACTCTCAAGTAGTCCGTAGGCTGCAAATCTAGAATCTGCTGCATCACTTGGGAGGATATTGTCGAGGTACGTGTTTGACAATCGAGGACTCGGTGGAGTCGTAGTGAGTTGGTAAACTCTGGCCCATCTCACCGCTGTAGGCGCCGTGAACAACGCATCCGAAGCCAAATGAGGGTACTGCGAGAGCCGGTGCTTGCAGATAGGCTCATGATGCAATAGGCTCGCGAGCTCCGCGTCATGAATATTCAGGGCGATTTTGACCCTCAATCGCTGCTCGCGATCGATCCACCGACTCCACTGATCGTCCAGGGACGCTTCCTCGGAATCGAGATCGCGCGGGGCGGAGGGCAGTGGCAGCGCATTCCTGTCGGCCTCACGCGCCCAGGCCATGACCGTGCCGTGCAGAACACCCGCCAGAATAAGGTCCTTGGGACGGCCGGAGAGAATGGCAAATGTCTGGCCGATAATGGCTGCTTGGACCATGGACAACGCGTCGGAGCAGCTGCGGGCCAGGACCGACTCCCAGGACGCCAGAATCGCTTTGTTCAGCCTCTCAAAGAGTCGAGTCCCTTGTGCGACCGCGTGCGACGACCCGACAAATAGGCTTCCAACTGAACAGATAGAGATGAAGAGTAACGAGTTCTCGGTGGTGGGCTTGAATGAGGGCACATGGACGATCGGTAGAAGGGGGTGAAAGCGAGTGAAGAACTGATTGGCGAAGAGATTGAGTTGCTCCGCTGATGGCAGTGCCTCATCGTGCATGCGAGGTTGGAGCCTCTGTGACAGGCCTGTTCGATAGTTTTCGTCAGCCGCGAGGTTCCCTTGACCAACTTCCCCGCCCCGACTGCCGGAACTGTTCTGGGGGGCAGGCATGTCCTCTGGGACAGTCAGACGCGTAAACCATTTCCGCCTAACGGTGTCAGCTGGCAACTCCGCAGTCTGCGTTGAGCTTGGGGTAAGGAAGGCGCCGGTGTCGGTCAAGCTCGGGATGGACGGGATGGGAGGCAATTGCGCCCATTCCGAAATCGCCGAGGTCAAGGTGAAATCCAACGCGTCGACATCGAGAAGCGCTCCCGGGAGCCAAGAGGAGCTGGACTCGCTCTGCTGGATAGAGTTGACAAAATCCAACTGATGCTCTGGCTCCAGGTAGTTGCCTGTTGGTGCATCTGAAGGGTTGGAGGTCTCCTGAGACAACGGCGTCGACATAGCCATCGCGGCTACTCGGCGCTCTCGAGGCTGAGGCACCGCCGTTTGATGAATCTTTGCGTGTCGGCGTAATACATCGCTGCATCAGGACACATTAGACTGCGGTAGAAAGAGCCAACTTGTGGGCTGTAGAGGAGCAGGGGCCCACCTCCTGGAATACAACCTGCCACAGATCAGGCATTCATAGGGCCTGTCATTAGTGTGACTCCGTAGGTGACGCGTGAGATGCTCGGCTTTGGAGAAGGTCCTATTACAGCTCAAGCATGTTCTACTGCGTGTAGCACTCATTTTCGGGGCGGTTGATGGAGATTTGGTCGATGGTGACAGAAGGATGAATTTAATGAATTAACAGTACAATGCATCTCCGGTCGGTCCGATTGCGGGGGATCTCCCGATCACGTGATAGTACATCTTCCCCAGTAGAACTACTCGGCAGAACAAGGCAGAATCTACGATTAAGTTATTAGTTGGTACAGGTCGGTTAAGCAAAAGGCCCTTGGTTCTCACGCTTGAATCATTCTGTCTGAACTGGGTTAGTGGGGGTGAGGACGCCGAAAAGAACAGCTTCCTTAGACAGGTGTGGATAGACAAAGACTCCCCCGTCCCTGAATAAAGTGTATTGAAGTGTCCACCAACCACCTGTAGCCTGGCCAACAAAGTAGTTCTCTCGTGGCTCATACATCTCTTCAAAGCTTGCCGAACAATGCGTGTCATGAGCTTTGATAAGAGCCAAGCCACACAAAGAAGCCAACAACAAACCATGACCATCAAGATAAGCGTAGCCAAGCCCGCAGCATATAAAACGGACTGGTCCCACATCGTTTCCCAGAGAGTCTACACTTGAGGCTAACAGCTGTCCCAGCTTTCCAGTAACAACTAGTCAGAGGATAACAACAAAACCTCTACAGCACCATGGAAGCCCCCACGATCGTCCATCCCTTCGAGGAGGGCGTCCCCTTCGAATACGAGTACGTGCCGCAACCCGAGTTCATCTACGACGGCCAGACCCCACCAGGGATCGAATGGTGCGTCGTGGTTGTCTCGGACGCCAAATGGCACGAGGCCCGCGACGTGCTGGCGGTGAATCTGGGCGGGCACGAGTGTCTGGACTGTACATTTCCGATAAGCAGATACCACTGTCACTTCGTGGATGAGGAGACGGAGTTGATGGTCTTCCTGCTCGCGGAGACGGAGCTGGCCGCGCTGAAAAGGTCCCGGGATGATCGTGGGTCGTTTGGGCCGCCAGGTGTGGCCGTGTATTGATTGGTGCTTGGTTGTTAGATTTCTTGGCTGTGAGGTTGCTTAATTGCTAGATTGCGTGGGGACGGAAAGTAGCTGCAATGGTATCTCTTGCCTTCCTACGGTCACTTCAACTTTTGCGAATGAATTAGTATCAATGCTGTTTGTGATTTGACTTTGATGGCCGAAACTGTCAATATGGGCGTAAGTCCCATACCTATTCACATGTACCCTGGAACAATAGCCCTATCTAACTTGAGAATGCACTGATAACTTCAACCTCTCCCTTCAAAACTAAGCCTCCCTCAAGACAACGGATGGCCAAGCACCACCTTCCCAAACCCCCTCCCACCCTCCGCCAGCCCCCTCAGCTCCTCCAGCGCAGCCTCCGCCGACCCCCTAAAGACCTCAACGCGGGGCAGCCGGAAGCGCACACCGTAATGCCGCACCGCCCACTCCAGCACCCGCCACGCGCACTCATGATCCGCCGGACGAGCGAGGATGGTAATAGGCCGCGGAGCCGCGGCGACCTTGATGGTCACGTCGCGGTTGGGGGTCGCAAGGGGCATGCGGAAGCGGGGATCGTCCTGGACGACCAGCGAGACGAGGTTCGCCTCGGCGGGGAGACACCGGGCCAGCAGCGCCGCCGAGGACTTCTCCGACTCCGTGCCCCTACTTCCCACGGCGTCGAGTCCGTAGGCTATCGACGCGCTGCTCTTCTCGATCGATTCTCTGATCTCGCCCACCACCGTGGCGGACCGGTAATCGAAGCAGTGGGTGGCGCCCAGCTCCGTGAGCAGGGCATGGCGCTGCGCGGATGCCGTCACGAAGATCGGGGAGACGCCGCTGGCGCGCGCGAGCTGGACGGCGCAGAGACCCACGCTGCTGGAGGCGCCCCAGATGAGGATGCCCTTGCTGTCAGGCGCACCACCGGTCTTGGTTTCCTGCGGAGGGCGAATCCCAAACAGATTGAACAGTGCATCTGCCGCGGTCATGGCGACCACGGTGAGAGCCGCGGCATCCGGCAGCGGGAGGGCGGCGGGCACGCGAAAGGCCATCTCCTCCGGACACACCAGGTACGCCTGGTGCGTGCCGTACTTGGCCGGTCGGCTCAGGCCTGTGGGCGTGTACCCCGCGACGATGTCGCCCGGTCGGAATCGGTGGCATTGCGGCGCCGTCTCGAGCACTTTCCCGCAGAAGTCGTAGCCCAGCACGGCGGGGGTGATGCCCAGCTGCGTGGCGTGTTTGATGTCGGCGGGATTGATGCCGGAGTATAGCGTCTCCACTAGAATCTCGCCGGCATCTGGCTTGGGAATGGGTAGGTCTTTTTGGACGCTGAAGCTGAGGGTGTCGTCGACGTATAACCCTGTCTGTGAATTTGTAGTGGTCATCCTGGTGGGACAAGGTGAGCAGGGTGAATGTTTACTGGAGAAATGAGGGCGATGGATGTGAAGAGAAAACCCTTTTAAGACACCACGCTAGTCTAGTGAAGCGACTAGTCCTCCTGCTTAACATTCCCTTACGTCATTATTCCCCTCTCGCTATGATGGTGCTTATTCTGGATATACGTGATAGATTTAGGGCTGGGGCGATAGCCGATTACTCATCGGAAGCTGAGCAGCCGAAGCCGGCGGGGTGAAGCGGGGTGAAGGGGGGTATGGCGGGGTGCATGGATAATCTCTTGCTGACTGGATCCCCGGATATATCGCCTGCGAGATATGTGTGTTACTCTAGGTTTGGGAATAGTTGTCGAGCGTGCTCCAGTGGTCCCAGTTCATCTATTTTTTTAAGCTCCTGATATATGATGCATACACTCCCCAGTCGAGAAATATCGCAAGTCCATTCAACAGGCCAGACCCTACTATCTGCCCAACGATCCTGGATTGGGCCTCGTGGTTTTCCTCGTATGATTGACAGTGGATGTCAGATCTGTTCATTCATCCCGTGAACAGTGACTCAAAGTACAGAACAATGTCACATGTTGTACAGGCAAGCTATGGAAAGGGTAACCCTCAAACCCCACAATCATTGCTTCCAAAGACTACCCTAACAATTCCATGGTTTCGCCGAAGAAATCGTGTGAACCAGCCAGAACCAACACTATCAATCCCACCACATACCATCCAACTAAAGCACATACCGGAACCACCCATTCTCCCGATCCGTGAGATCCTGGAACCCCAACTTATCCCGCAGCTCTTCATCCAGCCCGGCCGCGTCTCTCTTCCGATTCTCCCGCCAGAGAACCACCCAAAGCGCCCCGGCAGCCGCAATCACAATACAGTAACAGATAACCATCCCCGTCCACAGCTCGGGGTAGTGCTGCCCGACGGTCTCGGACTTGATCAGCTGCGGGCCGATGATGTTGCCCACGGCGTAGGCCACGAACACCGTGGCGGCCATGATGGTCTTCTTGGTGGCGCCGGCGACGTTGCTCGCACCCAGCGTGATAATCAGACTGACTACCGGGCCGAAAAAGCCCGTCAGCGCGTAGCCGACTACCGGCGTGGCGGGATGGTATCCCCAGCTGGATTTCCAGATCATGACGCAGCCGGCGATGACGGGGAGGCAGCAGGTCACCAGCAGCAGAATGCGGGTGTTGGGGAGGACGGTGGGGATGTAGCCGACCAGCGGGATGAAGACGATGCAGATGGCGCCCACGGGGAATTGGAACAAGATCGAGGCGAGCGTGTTGTAGCCGAAGGTGGAGACGATCAGAGGGCCGAAGCCCGAGATGGCGCCGTTGATTGTGTAGCTGTGGGTCATTTAGCGGAGAAGCAAGCGAGAGGAAGACGGAGGAAAGCTCACGCAGCAGCCATCATGATAGCAATCAAATACACCTTTACATCGGTGAATGCTTCCACTATCTGCGACATCTTGATCGTCTGGCATCGCACGCCCGTCTGGCCGCGTCGCAGGCGCTCCACGGCGACCACCCGCTCCTCGGGGGTCAGAAACCAGGCGGACACGGGGGAGTTGGGCAGAATGCAGCACCAGATCCCAAAGAGGAAGGTGAGGACTCCCGCGAAGATGTAGATGTATTGCCACGGCCGGAGCGCGCCTGTGGTAATCTGACCGAAGGCGTAGTTGAGCGCCCCACCGATGATGGTGAACCACCCGGTCCCGGAGAACCAGATCGCCTGGCGCAGGGTTTGCTCCTTCTGCGTGTAGTACCCGCTGATCACGGTCATGAACCCGGTGGGGATCACGCTTTCAACGAAGCCTATGCTATGGTCAGGAGCACGGATCGAGTAAAACTGAATCAAGAGAGAAAGATACCGAGAAAGAAGCGCTGGACGAATAGGCCCCGCCACGAAGTGACACCAGCAGTAGCCGCGCAGGTAATGGCCCACAGCATGACAATCGGACCCAAGACATGCTGGATCTTGAACCGCTGCAGCACCAGAGTCATCGGGTACAGACCGGCCATCATGCCGAAGTAGAAGATGGACGTGGCCCAGCTCAGTCGCGAGGTGTTCTTGGTCGGGGGTGTGGTGCTATAGTCCACTACCGAAAGGGCCAAGTCGCTGGTCATGCCGAATAATGAGGCACTACCGAGGATAGCCTATGGTTGCTCTCGTCAGGAACATCGCCATACCAAAGAAGTGGTTGAATCAGACCTTATCCCAGTAAACAAACCCATAGCCTGTCCTATCTGTCAGTATCTCACTTCAGGCTTTTCTAAAGAAGGAACATAGATCTCACGCACCAACCAACATCGCAGGCATGAAGAACAGGTCAATCTTGCGCAAGACCCGTCGCTCCACCGCGGGGTCGATCTCCAACGCCTCTTCACTATTGACCACCTCCAAAGCCTCATCCTTGTGTCGGTCATGGGCTTCATCGCCCCCAGCTCCGGGCACCTGAATCATCTTTTTTCCCTCGAAAATGAAAAAGATTCAGCGGTTCTGCATCTGCCGGAGATTTATGGTTGGAGTGATGTATAGATAAGATTATCGCTCGTCAATAGAAAAAAATTCTGCCGCCGATTGCGGAGAACCAAACAAGTTAAATCCCGCGCGGTCGGAAAGCGTTTATTTATTCTTGGTGTTTATTTACCCGCGGACTTCATCGCTCCGAAGCTTGTTTCCTTTGACCATTTCGTTGGTAACTGAGTTTGCGTGTAGGTTTGCATAGAATTATATCTCGGTGACTCATTCTGTCGAATGTTGATGGGAATCATCGAGGTGTCTTCGCTTGAGGGATGTTCTGAGCTATGTGCGATCGAGCGAGGCCTGGTGATGAAAATATATAAATGTAGCTATGCAGGCAGAGATGCTGGCTCGGGGAATTCGCCGGCACTGCAAGTTTCGTGCTCCTTCAGTGCGAATCCGAGCATAGTGGCATATGGCAGGCGAAGGTTTGCCCTGGATTATCCTATTTGTATCCCGGTGGAGCGAACAAGCCAACCGTGTGGGTGGAGATCTGCTCCAGAACGCGCAAACCAGTCTACGCAATACAGGTTCCATGTTCATCTTAACTTCGGCTTCACGAATTTGGCAATTTCTACGCCCGGAAACAGTGGCGCGAGATGATTGAGTGATGGATGGAAGAAGTGATCAAGAAGGTGAAGGTAAAGGCGCGACAAGACTCACGTGGTAGCCTGCCCAAGCAGGGTATGTCCCAGACCATGCCATATAAGCCCATGAAGAACATCACCACAACATAGGCTGGCCTAAGAAAACATTCCGTCCAGCGGAGAGCATATCCCGGGAGCTATAGCAAGACGACAGCGATAAATGTATTGTTGACATCCCCGCAGCGATGAAGTCTTGGGCGGCCGTGAGAGATTGCCGAGACATAAAACCCACGACTAAGTCAAACGCCACTGGAAAGCTGGGAAGCCGTGGAATAGCTGGTGGTTATGCCGACAGCTGCACCGGGATCCATGACGGCGTGACATCGTAATCTCAAGGGCATGCGCTCCCTGAATGTGCTGGTAGCTATGCCGCCGAACGCAATTCCGAAAACGAGACCAAGAATGCGGAGCTGGTCTGGGGAACGCGAGGTCATTTTCGTAACGCTGCGAATAGCCTGATCATGGAAAGCGATCTAAATGGAAATATAACCAAGTTAATCTAGAACAAAACGAGGAAGCACTGTGCCAGTACCAAGCACACGGCCCGGAGACAAATATAGCCATTCCAGGCCGAGGTCTGCGGACGCTGGCAGACCCGACTCGGCAACAATTTGAATCACCCTGCGAGTCGGACTGATGTGAATTCAGACACGCCGTGATGCATCTTTGGCGACGATACCAGATGAGAACTATGCAAATGTAACCTCAAGGGCTCACACTTAATTCCAATGAGAGTCGGGCACCGGGCGATGGGCCAACCGGGGACACGGCCGGAGAACCAAGCACATGCATGGTGTATTCATAGCAGCAAGAATGAAGGAAATGCCCAGGCCAAGGGAAATGTGCGCCCAAAGATGAGAGATTTGAAATAATTCCACAGTAGCGGTCACCGAAGGTCCGATACGAAAAGTCATGCGACGGGCGAACAACAACCGTGGTGGTCCGGTCAAATGTGGAGGTACTGTACTCCGTAGAGCTCGGCACGGTCGCAGAATGAAGCTCAGGTGCTAAGCACTCCACGCGGGCTAGGATCAATCTCTGCCTTACACCAACAGCGGATCACAGTTCCACCTCACAGGCTAATTCCACACGAGCAGAATTGTTGAGCGATTGGAAACGGGTCGGAAATGATGGGTGTCAAATTTGCCACATATGTTGAGTCCTTAGGTCTTGGGTGCGTTGATAGTGTGAATGCCCGCGGAGAAACCACTGCCCTGTCTGACACGACACCGAGGCGGGTAGATACGAAAAGAGAGGGAAAGAAAAATCATATTGATTTTTCTCCTACTCGTACTCAATGAGGATTGGAACGTTCAGACGATGATCTGCTCCTCATCTGGGGTCTTAGCGGGCGATTTGCGCTGTCAGTGTCATGAATGTCACGAGGAGAGATGCAGTGAAGTGGCCCGTGCTGGATGGATTGCTGCTGATCGGCTCGCAGTTCCATTTTTATCCAGTACCGACCACAACACCTGACCTTCCCACCGAGATCGACCGTGGAGTAAATCTCACAACCGACGATTATCGATGTGTGGCGAACAAGCAAGTCGGAATCAGTCTGGTTTGAGACAGTGGATATGCAATTGTGCTAAACAGTACTCGAGTACGAGTAGCGCAGCTTAGTGCCGATATGTGGGCGCGTGGCTCGTCAGATGTCGCCACCTTCCCTCCGCTTGACACTTGGGGAACGCTTCGGCAGATCTTAGGGTGGCTTGATGCAGGGAGATAGGGCTAGCCGCATGCCACTCGACGGTCTAGAGCCACGATCACTCTACCGGTGGGGTGGGTTAGCCCCGAGGCTAACATTGGGTACTGTACAGTACTGTACTGCTGCCAGTCCGCCTAGCCCCACGCGATGGGCAGCACGACACTTATTCTGGGTGGCGTGCTTCCTGTGAAATCTGCAGGAAGTCGTTTCCGAGAGGCTGATGCAGGACCTGACCGAGGATTCCCCAGCGTCGAACAAGGTATCCGCCGCGTAACTTTTCGCCACGAAAAATACTTCTCCAATTCTACGCCCACAGAACAGGGGGTATACGGCCAAGAACAACCCAATAATGATTTGTGATCCCCAATAAAACTTTTGTTCAATTATGGTATAATAATACTGAAAGAGACTCTTCACCCACCTGAAGGGTCAGCGTCGTGACTATTCTCGTGATCGCGGGAGCTCAGCTTGGATATGCTCAACGCATCCCATTTGGCCAAAAATTGATCCAAATCCACATCAGGTTGCCGCAGAGACCCTTGCTGAACCACCGTATGGAAGTGTGGGTAGAAACTGCTGAATCCCCGAGAATCGCTCGCCTTCCAAGCTAGAGTCTCGAAGTCTGTAAAGAGCGCCTCCGTCTCCTCGGGTAAAACAACCTGCATCTGACTGGCAGATAACTGAATCATGCGGAGAATCCCCTTTGCAAGAGGCATCCGACGAGCAAAGGCGCGGGCAATTATACACAATTCGACAAAAGCATTTCTATTTTCCTGGGAGTCGAGAGATTCCATGAGGGTAAAGAGCCCAATGCTCCACCACTGGATCGTCGAGGGTGACATGCGATCAATACCCCATTTGGCGCGATGAATACCCAGCAGATGGGTGATTCTGCGGGCGGATGCGAGGCAGAGTTCGCGGGCATGACTGGCTGATGCCGGATCTAGAACCAGGTCATTGCTGGCGCGCATAAAGCCAAAAATCTGCATCACAGTCGTATGATAGAGAAGATGTAGACTTAAAACGTGAGGAACAGTTGCGGTCTCCGCCTGTAAACATTCTGGCAGATTAGTATACCAGCCCTGGAGCTGTGTAAAGATTGCCGGCACAAATGTCGCGATATCCGACCGGGGGATTCGTCGCTCGAAATCATGAAATGCGCGACTAATGGTGATGAGAATGCAAGAAAGATCGCACCAGCGGTCAAATACGCAGGCATGATGGCCAGGTACGGATTCAACTTCGCGAGGATACGGGTACCAAATGTCCTGAGGATCGCCGTGATCCATCGATGTGCGCGGGCGACGTGGGGGATCGATATTAAGGTGCTTCATCAAGGAAACATTGGCCGTGCTGGCTTGGTCAGTCAAAGGCATGACCAACAGGTATGAAGTACATACGAAGCCATGCTGAAGACGCCCCAGAGAGTGCGATTGGCCGCATCTTCTAGAATACGATCAGATTCCGAGTTCGTCGACCGCGGCGGGTGCGCAATTTCATATTCTTGGGCCGCTCGGATGGCTAGATCGAGGTACATCCAACCCAATCTATCCTTTCCCATAAGGGTGAGACTGAAACAACGCAGAGTTAGATGGGATGACCAAGGTGGTACGCGACACACTCACCGGATAAATAGCACGAGGAGGCCGTGAATGGTCGGTAGACTGGCTGGCCCATTCTCTTCCTCCAACAACCGACGCGCCTCTTCGTAGAAGTGATCACCTCGAGAGAACATGTCGTTTGGGACGGTAAATACTTCGGCGTAGTCGGAAAGGTACTGTGCAACGCATAAGAATCATGATTGAGCCGTCACCTCGCTCAAGCGACGCTATAAGCACAAATGTTAAGATAGGCAACATACACTAGCCTCCGCGAGGATGGCATTTACTAGGAATGGTGTACAGGATTGGCAGTTGAGTCGGCCCGCCTGCATATCCCGGATGAACGCATCTTTGTCCAACCAGTCAAAGAACGGATACGTCCACGTCAACCAGAGCGAAATCAAATGAGAAACCAATTCATCATCGTCGGTGACCCTCGTCCATGGCTTCGCGGGTACTCGATACACCGGGGTGTCTGCGAGGCGGCGCACATCTAGAATACGGCGGCTGCCACTCCGCGCAGACCGACCAACCTCATCGGCTTCTTCGGATGGGCGAGTAAGTTGGTTTCGAACTTCCTGCAGACCCGGTGATATTTCAGAGCCATCTCCAAATAGCTGCTTGTCGAGATACAATTGGAGTTCGTCGAATGAGGCGTTGCTTCGGATCAGATTCAGCACCTGGGCCAGATCTTTACTTTCGCTATCCCGGAGCGTTTCAAGCAGCCGAGTCAGTGTCTCTTCGGCTTGCTCTAGCCGCTCCAGCTTCCGTTTCATGGCGAATTTGCGACGCATATCAGCCATCTCGTCGACATGGCACTCGATACCATTGGCCACGCAGTGTTGACATGGTGGATCTCCCCTGCACTGAAGCATAATCAGATTCACACTCTGTCCTAGTCATGCCCTCCTTTGATCCACTTACTTTGAGCTTCTTCTGCTTACACGCCGTGCAGGCGGTGGTTTTATGTTTCCGACCCTGAACTACATTGTCGGGACTCTTCGAGTTTTGCGGGAGGCCGGGAGCGGGAGCGAGTGAACGGGAGGCGGACTGCGAATCGGACATTAATACAGACTGAATTAAGTGAACGACAACCAGGTCAAGACAACAAGCAGGAGGAGGTTGTCCTGGGATGAAAAGCGCACCGGGTGGCAAAAGACGAGACGGGGCGGGAGGGGAAGGAGAGACGGAGCTTTCAGCAATCGTGTTGGCGATACTGTTATATAGGTCGGATAAGGAATGAGGCCGAGGGATAGCCTGTAACCGACGTTTCGTCACTGTCGATGTGGAATTATTGCAATAATATAATTATTTTGTGTCTTGCCCGTTTTGTTCCCTCCCCCCTGTAGTAGAGCAAGGGCACAACCGGAACAAGAACCTTAAAAGTCCTCACCAATCAGAAGAAAGACGTCTGATCATTCTGGAATCTTGGGCTGCAAACTGAATCTCTGCGGGCCTAACCAGCTACGACTGGTCTTTTCGGGACGAGGGAGCGACCAGATAGAAGGAAGGGGAGGAAGGAGGACAGGACAGGCTAAGAGGAGGGGGGATCGTGCCGGACTGACGGCGGGTTGCTGATGGTTGGCAGAAACTCCCACCCAATCAAGGCCTGGACCAGAGCAGACCTGGACTTTGCATTAGCCTCGTTTTGGGGCAGGAAAGAAACAAAGAAGGGAACAGAGAGCCGGAGAGCCTAGAGGAGGAAGGGGTGGGGGAACATAAGGGAGGGGGGGGGGCCCTTCAGTGTCTTCGGCCGCCACTGGGCTTTTCGGGGCCGGAATATTGGCAGTCTCTCACATTTTTTGATGTACGATTGGTTTGGAAAGGGGAATTGTGAGGGGCCAAGCGTGCACGGAGGACAATGTTGGAGAGGGGCGGGTCCCAGCAGCCCCGGCCATCATCAAGCCTTTCGTTATTTGGAAACAATAATTTCTTGGGATTCGGGAAGGAGGATTCTGGGATTTTGGGGAACTTGGGTACCTTTTCTCACTACCTGATTCAGGTTAGCTTGGTGATCCGGGACGAGCCACAGAAAGGTACCTTTTTCCACCCAGTCAGAATGCTAGGAACCCCAAACCAATCATGAACCCATGGAGCCGTGCACCCATGCTTTTTTGTCCATCCCTTAGATTCGGATCAAAACGTGGTGGCGTAGGTATTGGGAGAGGAAAAGGAGCGCGTGAGTGGCTGCAGCGGTGGTAGTTGCGAAGGGACTCGGGGAGAATGCTGGCAAGAGTTGAGTTGAGGTTGGGAAGGAGCAGGGACGAACGGACGATAACGTCATAGCGTGGTGTGGAAGTGGACCGAGTCGGCACTCTGTGGTCGATCGCCCTCCGAGTTTGCCTGGGAGACAAACATCGTTC